AAATAAATATGAAGAATTTTTTTATGAATTAATTAAAATTAAAATTTTGGACCCATGCACAAGGGGAAACGAAGGTTCATAATAATAGTGTTCAATATTGCAATAACGCGTGTTATCAAATATTTATATTAGAAAATTTAATAACAGAGAACACAATTAAAAAGTAAATTCCACAGTTCCATATTCTATGTGTAAGTATAAAGTTCGACGCAAACGGGCGTATTCGATATGCGATCTTAAAATTTTGGTGGGCGTTATAGGAGGGAATTTGGAAAATTATAATTCATAAAGTTATTTAATTTATATCTGTAAGTAACAATAAACTATTGATAAAAAAAAACGATTCCGAGTGGAGTTCAGTTAATATGATTCAAAAAAAAAAAAAATACTACATTAAACTCAACTCTTCTTGTTGACCACTTAGTACAACTTATAATGTATCTCCTATTAAATTTTCAAGAATTTCTGTTTGGTCTAACAATCTTACATAGAATGCCAAAAAATCTCGCAAAATTAAAATGACTCTTAATAGCTCAAAAATAAGTCAAATGTTTTGAACACTTTACTACATCTAGAAACGTTAAGTACAAATTTTCTGTCCAAATACCAAAATTTTTAACTGAACTAATAAAATAATTAATTTTGTAAATTTTACCGGTTTCTCTAATTAATAATAAAACTTCTAGGAAAATAAAAAAATGCACCACTCAGAGAAAATTTACTTCCAACAAGGTAGTATATTTGAAAATTGAAGCAAGATTTCTGGTAGAAAAGTTATTCAGTGATAAAAAAAAAAAAAATACAAATTTAAAAATCAATGTAAAATTCAATACTTTCCTTGCTACGCTCCAAATCTAAAATGTGAAATATCAACTTGGCCTTACTTGGCCTATTTCAAAGACCAATTTATGTACTACAATAGTTATAATACAATAATGCAACGTAATTTTCTACTACGCCATTACTTGCGTTTTCAACGCGTAAACGATAGTCTGGTACGATTTATTTAACACCGTATTTTAAGAAATCGAATATTTTGACATTTTTACACGGTTTGGTCAGGAAATGCTTTTATTTGTGATAGACACAACTACTGACGAACATTCTAAACATATTTCCAAAACTTTATTATATCGAATATTGCGTATAATATCAAATATCAATTTCATCGTTTCTTACAAATATTTTGGTAAAAGTTTCGAATAATAAATATTATTTTTATATGAGTTTATATTTTATATTATACTTATACTTTTATATTATTATTAAATAACAATATACTTATATATTAATTTTATTGCGTTTTTTCTCATAATTTTAATTGTTTTACATTTTTTTAATATTCATCGTACAATGTTAATTTTATAGCTATTGATCGATTTTTTTTTTAAAACAAAATAATATTATTTATAATAATTTAATATAATTTGTTTGCGCTTAAGGAACTTGAAATTCATCTGCTCGCAATTTTTGTAGACATTCGAAATTTGTATGTTTGTTAATATTAATTATAGATAGGTCATATTATTAGAGTAGGCCATAAGCATAATATATACCTAGCTACTATTCATAATCTATACAGTTCATTCTATTCCCGTACAATATGTTGATTTTAACTCCTCTGCACTTTATAGACCACTCGATAAATTTAATAAGATGCCATTTGCGACCCTATAAACAGGCTCGTAGGCATTTAATTGTCCTGCTGCACTTGCCACTAAAATATTTACCCTAATTTCATTTCTTTCGAGTGGTGCTGCTCTTTATCTCTTTATCTTCGGGGTAGAATCCAACATTTCGGCATCCCACTCCTATACAATATCATATTATAAATTCTCATTCGGCTTACTAATTTAATTAATCGGATAATATTGTAATTGTGTATATAACAATATTTATTATACTTGAATAATTACTAGCATGTACATTAATTGTTATTTTAAACCAGTTTTTCTTAAATTCACTCATATTGTTTTGCATTTAAGAAATCCATCTCATTAATCAGTATATGAGTACATTACATAAATACAAATATTTTATGCTTATTATACATTTAAATATTTTTCAAAAGTTATATTGAATAAATATTTTTTAAATGTACACTGACATTGGAAAAAGTTTAATTTTCAATGTGCCTATCGTACTTTATTATAGTAATTGTTGGTATTGATAATAAAAACTTTAATTTATATTGGTTCAATAATATTATATACCTAATCAATAATTTTTAATGATTTAATATCCACGTAAAACATAATCATATGAGATTATCCTTGACGAAGATTCAGAGTAATAAATAACATTTTGAAAAATTCTGCAATAGTACTTTTCACAAACTGCAATTTTAGATGACCGGATTGCCGTATAAAAATCAATACTTAATAAATAAGTGTTTATTATGGTAAACGAAATAAGAGATATTTTTAAAATATAAGAAAGCCTCTAAATAGAGGAAGTTCTCAGTCACAGAAATTTTGTCGCTATTCAGTGGAGGGTAAATGTGTAAAATTAGAATTTAACTAACTAAAAATTAAATTTAAAAGTTAAATTAAATTATAATGTTATTTTTAAATATAATAACGAATTGTATAGATTTAATATGATATTTAAAGCTGATATCGATGAACATTAACGATTGATTTAAAACATACGTATATTTAAAAAAAATAATAATAAATCGATCAGGTGCATACGTGAATATTCAATTCGGCAAAAAAAATCTGTTCCCAGTTTTGTAAATTTCATCTTTATTTGACACGATATCCGCGAACGATCAGAGTTTTTCCAACTTAAAACTTTTCTGCGAGTATCTATACAAACACCTACATTTCCATTGTTTCAATGGAAGTCAAACATTTCAATTTTTTCGTGAAGCAACCATATCTTTCACACTAACACACTCATCACGTCAAAAACTAATCACTAACTAACAAACCTGAAGAAACATTGACAGTCAAGACATTGATATATTCGTCATGATCGTCGTAATCTTATCTTATCGTTCGATAACAAGTTTATTTATTAAACGAGTTTGTTATCGTTATATCTTGTGTGAGTGCGTATTGTCAATAATTTTTAAATTAAGGTGTCAGTTACTCGAAGAGTCCGCCATTCGGCAGTTTTCACATTATGAAGTAATAAAAATGTCCTCATTCCCAAAAAAAACGCCCTCTATCGGAAGGCGTCTGTTAGTGAGATGGATCCGTTAGGGGAGGTATTAAAGACAGGGTCTTCCAAATTTTATATTACAGTCAAATTTTCTTAGTTTTTCAATAATTTACGCATGTGAAAACTTAATGGAACATATTATATTCTAAAATATTGTACTGTACTTATTTAGTTCACCATTATTTTTTGGGGGGAGATGAAGGGGGTAAAATAGGTACGATATAGTTCGTCTAAACATATTTTGAAGTGCTATAATTTTCATAACTTATTTTAGGCATCAATTAGATTCAAAATACTACAATGGAAACTACTTTGTCATTTTTTGATTGAATTACACGTAAAATCTAAAATCTACCCAAACCATAGGACATAATTGAAGAATGAAAAAAACTACCTAATCAACATTATATTATAAAATTTACCCACAAGATTTATTTTATACGCACATATAGTCAGGGATGGGCCAGATACTACAAAATGAGTATCTAGTAACTCGGTACTTGATTGGTACATTCAAATTTAAATTACATTTTTTTTCCCCATTACAGAGGGTTTTATCACTAAATGGCCTCATTTACTTGGTTTTTTTATTTATGTCGTATACACATTAATTATTTTATCCTATTCATTCAATATGAATAGATAGATTAATTTTTCTATTAAAAAAAAAGAATGGGTAATTCAATTTTCCACGAATGCAGTTTCCTAAAAAATCCGGGTGATTATTTATTAACTATTTTGAAACATTCTTCGAAATTCCCAATAACGCCCCTTTTTTAATACACAGTCACTCTCAATGTTAAATATATTTTTCGAAAATCTAGCAGGGTGGAATAACTAAGCTTTGTCTCCTGTCGGGTACCTATAGGCAAAATATAAAATACAAGACATAATTGTACCTAAGATACGTTTTTAAGATAATTGTATCGAAGATAATGCTCAACCCTATATAAAAAGAATTATAATGGGGACGGGTGCAGACACAGATGTAGGTGGGAAGTTAGGAAGGTAGGATACAAACGGGAATTTAATGTATATCTGTAAGCAACGATAAACCATTGCTTACGAAAAAACGATTTTGAGCAGAGTTCAGTTGATAGTGATACTTTGTCAACAATATATATGCTATATTATAGTAAAATAATTAAATAGGCTCTATATTTTTCTTAAAAATATTTGTTTAATGTTGTATCGATTTTTCCAGTTTTCCTACGTTTTTCTCGGTTTCCCCATGCTTTATCCCAGTTTTTCAAATTTGCTGAGAAAACTCAAGAGATAATCGAAAAAATGATCTCTCTAAAGTGCACAGAAAAAAATAAGGCTGTAATATATTTTAATTAATACCTATATTTCTTATATTTTCTCATTTTTTTTTTTTTTGGTTTTTCATATCTGATGAGAAAATTCCTGATAAAATCAAAAAATGACCTGTTTAAATTACCTATCTAGTGAAGTTTCCTTTGAGAAACATTGTTATCATTAAAAGTTGAGGCTGGTAGAAAAGTTGTTCACAAAAAAAAAAAGTGTTACGCCAATTCATCGTGAGTCAACACATCGAGCATCAATTTACCGCATTTATACTCAGTATTAATGCGTATATGATGTTTTAAATATGTGTTAAACAATTTGCAAAATTGTAAATACCTACAGTTTAATATCAGATGAAGATTAGATAAGATAAAGCTAGTTAAAATAATGTGAAAACACAAAATATGTTTATCAGAAATGAAATAGGTATACTAAAATAATAAGCAAACGAAACTAACAGATTATTTCGATTAAAATTAACGTTAACGAGGTCAGACTGTCGTTTATGTCTTAGTCTGTTGACAGCAGTTTCCGTGTTTGTACGTTTTTTCGGTTTGTGAAGTTATAGTTATTCAAATGTTGAAGACTGATAGAGGGAAATATATGCTTTCATATCATGGCTACAAAGAATAACAAACAATATTGAATTGCAAATATAGGTAATATTTTACATTTATACAACTTGTATACCTAGTTAATTATTTTAACTTTATTACTATTATCAACGGGATTTTAACCATACTTAAAAAACAAATAATAAAACAAACAAATTTGTAGACAGTACTAATTCTAACAAAAAAAAAATATTTTTAACTATAAAAGCATAAAAAATAAATGTAACAGTCCTAAGTCTATAAAAAATAGGAAAAAAGTATTAAATTAAAAATATATATACGCGAAGAGTTGACATCGCGAAAAGTTGATATAGCGATGAATATTGACGTATATCCGTATAAATGTATGCATTATACGACATTTATATCATAGTTCAAAGGTCGATTATTAACTATATTATATATTTTAAATAATAGACATAATCTGTTTTATATTTTCAAAATCATTAATCGAATATTGACGATTTAAAATATATTTCAATTATTAGGTTTTTTTTTTTTTTTTTAATAAGGGCCTGAAAAAGTAGTTAGGAAAAATGTCTCTAGATTAATGTATATAGGGGTAGACATTTCATTAGACTTCCGTGACATTTTTCTTAGCCAGTTCTATGAATAGATTGTAGACACGTCTATAGAAGTGCATAATATGTTATAAATTAGCAAAATATTAATGTCGTTTAAATTGCTTATACACAACTCTGAACTCATTTGTTGTGCATTATAGATATTTTGTTTTCAAACGCCTATTATATGGTCATCTATTTTCGTGACTACCATATTTTGTCGAAATTTCCTATATCTGTGACGTATCGAAGATCGCATATTAAACCTTCACGAATATAAATTGCATAACGGCTCATCTGTGTTATTTATATAGAATTGAAATTATTCAAATAATATACACGGATATTCATTGAAGGATCTGCGCGAATATTGTTCGAAATAATGTCCAATATATGTATAATAATACATTCTCTCAGGAAAGGTCGCCCACAACTATACTCGCTAACAGTTCGGGTATATTAAATTATGAGGTTGCATTATATTCGTATAATATTAAAATACAGTGACTATAGAATACTAATACTAATATTAGAAAATAGATTTAAATTAATAACTCTGACGTGATCCCGGAGGTTAAATTAGGTTTTGAAGAACAGCAAACGTTCGGTCGGTCGATGGTCAATCTAATAAAATAATAATAATATTATTTTCAATACACGGAATGAATACCTACGCTATCGGCAGGTTTGAAAATTTTTCGAAAAATTTAATACAAATACAGCAATATAATAAAATATGTGCATTTATCGATACACTCGTCAGAACTTTATATCAGTATTGTACAAAAGTACACTATAAGACTTTCAGTGCAATATGTAATAACGGACTGATGCACCATGATATATTCCATGTTTGAGTTGTTCGTACAATAATAGAAACCATTCACCATAAAATACGACTCGTAAACGGACAAAGCCACGTTATAACTTGATATTCATTAGAAGGTAGCCGCTAAAACATTATTGCATAATAAAATTATAAAAATTTGTAAGAGTTAGAATCGAATATATTTTTTTCTTACGTCTAAGTATTTATATTACGGGGTTAGTTTGTTATCACAATGGTAGGCCTCAATTTATTGGACGATACACATTTTTATATTATATAAGTCCTTTCATAGATACGTCCGATTCGAGCTTTTAAGCTCTGTCCCTTCAAAAAATAAATAAAATATTCTCAGTGACCGATTGTTTGTCCGGATATATTATGTGAATACAGCACTCAGTACGGATACATGATGTGAAAGGACCTCAAATTGTCAAAATAATTACGGACTCTATTTAAATAGTCAAGTTTTACATAGCACTCCTATTAAGAAAATAGCAGTTAGTAGTAGTTAGTAAATGCCGCCAAAGACAATAACCATAATAATCAATAACATTCGTACAGACGATACGAACTCGGCGGCGGCGCGGCAGTTTCCAATAAACTAATTTGTATAGGTTGCCGAAGTTGTGTGTAATTATTATCAATGAGACACACGACCCGCGAGTCCGTTGAAACGATTAAAACCGAGAAAATTGTCTGGCAAGAGGAAAAATAAAGGTACTAGAATTCAACTGCTACATAATACGGCGGCGTTGGAATTATAATTTTTTTTTTATAGGTCGGTTAGGTTTAACATTTCCGAGGCCTAAAAACGAATAATAATTATTACCAGAGTATTATTCAAACAAAACTCATAGATTGTGCGGTGCACGTTTTACGTAATAATAATCGTTATGCCACAATGAAATAAGAAAATAAAAATTACGTATCGAATAGCGAATAAAACATGATAAGGATAGAACGTTTTCGAATAAATATGTTACAATAACAATATTATAAAGATCAACTTTCCGGCCGACCTGCAATACTAAGCACACTAACTATTATTTTTTATAAAGTTAGTATTGAGTTTAAAAGTTCTTTATGTACATAATAAGTTCAAATTTAATCAGTTTATCTAAAAATAATTCTTAATTTATATAAGAGTTGTTTTAGATAGGCTAGGCAGATACTTGAAATATTTTATTCTAACGTGTTCAAACGAAAAATTGATCGGTTTTTCGGTGGGTAGGTTCAATGGTACAACCAGGAAGAAAGTTAAGAGATACTACTCTCCCCCGAAAATTTAGATATTGTACGCTCTACGTAGGCACAAATTTCCTTTAAATTTTGAATATGCTTACACTTTATCGATTTAGTAATTTACTATCCTACCCAAAAATCTGTCTAAAAACTTGATTGTGCTACTGAGGTTATTAATTATATTTTAGTATTTACATTTAAATATTTAAACAATAATCGTGAACTATAGTCAACATAGAGAGTTTCTCTTATTTCACTGCGATGGTGGATATCCGAAAAGTGAGAAAGGGAAGGGGGGAGGATTATTCAAAATTATAACCATCTATAAAACTTTTATATAAAAAGATAGATATACTTCGTTCGATGAGTGGGCTACAAGCTTTCTGGTGGAATTTTTGTGCACAGTAAAAAAAAAAAGTCTAAATCACGAGTTCGAACTCGCGACCCCTAAAGAAACCAATAGGCTTGAAGTACCATAAGTCTACGATAAACATATATTAAAGTACATAATATAGAGATATTTAACATATATAATATTAGCACTTTAAATTTCGAAACTAAGTCAGTCCGCTCAATTCCAATTTCACCATCGTTTTTAAATCGGCAATATACATATCTTCAAAGCAAAATATTGAAAAAATTAGATTTCTTCTCATAGTTTTTTACACAAACAATTTTTGTTAATATTTGATTTTAACATTTCTTTATAAAAAATATCAATTTTTTTTTTTACCATAACGTCCACCTTTAATGAACCTTCTGTTGAATTGTCAAGTATTATTGTCATGTCTAACAATTTTACCACACAGTACCAACCGAATAAAAATTCTTTCAAAACTCTCAAAATTAAAATGTCTATAAATATTTCAAAAGAGGCTTAAATTTTTTGAAAATTTTACCACTACTACAAAAGGCAAATATAAGTTGTTTATCTAAATTTCAAGTCTCTACGAATATTTTTAACTGAATGACAACAAATATTAAAAGTAATCTTAGTAAAACCAATATATTCTTTGCGACACTCAGAATCTAAAATACCATCATTGTAAAACCAATACATTTTTCACTCCACTCAGAATCTAAAATTGCATTGTAATTTTTTTTTTTATTTCGACGTATTTGTCAGCGTTTAAATTTAATCTATAATAAATTCAGACCCGAATCGACACACTTATACAGAATAAACATTTTTTTTTTTTACAGTTTTCAGTAGGAAAAAAAATCGTACAACTAAATCTGTTTTGTGGGTTTGTTGTTTTTTCTAATATTTTGTCGGCATTATTTTGAAGATGTTCCAATTAAAAGACGTGTCTGTGAAATTTGTAGTTGTAGTGAGAATGTTCATGACGTGTATGTCGAAAACGAGTTACGTACTTATACACATTATTATTTCCGATTAATTTAATTTATGGGAGGAGGAACTAATAAAAAAATAAAAGTCAATTCATAACGGGCGTTTTATATATACACAAAACGAATTTTTCATCACCTAGCTTGTAAAAAAAAATAACATCGAAAATAATAGAAACCGTTATTGCATACATATTTCCGTTTTACTGACATGTTTTTTCAATTATTATTAAGAAAAATAGAATAAAATTCAAAAAAGAATTCGCCTACATTCTGACTAGCCAAAACTTTCTATCGGAAACTACACCTTGCAGAAGTTGACGAATGGCCCAAGATTTAGGGTCTAAAAGTTGTCTGAATAGAGGAAGAAAGCACACGCCATAATACAATTATTGTAAACTCAAACATCACGTCACTTCTAAAAAAAAAAAAAAAAAAGAAAGAAACGATTTATTTTTACGATTATCATTGTTAGATCGACATAATTCATATTTTGTTTGACCAGTTACAAGTAGGCATCTAATACAGTGGTTGAAGTTCTTCACGAAACTACATAAATTATTCGGAATAAGACATGTATAGTTGCACTTTGTACATAGGATTTTCGTGCGAATACCTTTTTATAATTTATAATAGCCTAATAAAGGTAATAAATAATATAAAATAATAATATATTTTGCGTTCCTATAATCCTATACTTCTACTGGGAAATGCAATATTTTAAAAACGTGATCGAAATGAAAAATTCCCAGGTTTCGCCACGTATATAACAAATATCTGTTTTTGTTATGATGTTATTTAAGTATATAACGTGTACAATAATAATAATAATAATCAAAATAAGATTAATTAAAAACGTCTCTGCGTGCGTTTAATGCGTGTCGACTACTGTGAAAACCCGCAAGTGTGCGGGAATACCGTGCTGTGATCGAGACGAACGAACGGGTCTCTCGACGCGATCAATCATCTGGATTTCGGATCCGCTGTTGACAGAATGACTCAATATATATAATTGCAGTGGGTAGTTCAGATTTCAGAATCAGGGACCACTTGTAATTTTTTTTTTCAAGAAACTTTAGAATAATAGAAAAATTATTTGTATGTAACATGACTTACGAAGATTTTATGTACATATTCGATTTTGATTTTTTTTTTTTTCGTTATTATAATAATTTTTTTACTTAACTATTAATAGAATTTTGTCTTTAAAAATATTTTTCTATGGGTATAGGATATTAATAACATAGATCTGTTACCAGAAATTTTAACAATTGTTAAGAAATTATGATAATTCCCGGGAAACGATAACGATATGATTATATCTGATTTTATTATCCAGTATTATACTAAACCATAAACTATAATACCAAGAATAAATACATTTTTGACCCTTAAATGTCAGTTCATTAGTTTGTGCATTCTTTTTTTTTATATCGAATATAAGCATATTCGAATATATTAGGACATATTAGAGTTATCATAATTAAAAACATTTTGTTTTCAACATTATTGATAACTTTTCAATTTATTTACTATAGGCAAAGGATTTTAATGCATATTTTTTATACCGCTAGTTATTACTTACTGAGTGTTTTTGCTTGATCTGTCTATTAAAACAGAAGCCCGATAAAATAAATAATTTGCCTTTGCATGGATTTAGTTTTGTTCTTGTAGCAATAAATATAAAGGTTTCGGTGATATTGTCAATTTAACTATGGAAATGACAACGAAATATCTACTATAAACAGTGATATCATTGTTTAACGGCTTAACCGTATAAGGAGTTTCTATAATTTCCAGTAACAATAAATAATACATATTTATGTTATGCATACCAATAATAACACTAAATAAAATTGGATGTATCGTGAATTAATACATTGACAACCGTTCAAAATTCAGAACAAAATGTTTGAAAAATTTAATATTATAATACGTGTATTGTGTAGGGGTTTAAAAATTACAAGTTATTCTAATATTTTGAAATTATCGGCGTTTATACCCTGTACCTAATCAGCGCATAGTTCCTACCATTATTCTCGAACAAATTATCGATTACCTACATATAACAATAATTTACTGTAAATGTAATATAATCTGCAAAGACTTATGATCGTGTTGTATCCGCAAACATTTCAATCTGAACCGAACACGAAAACGCTCGTGAAATTAATTTACACAATACAAACACGCGACGCACGTGACCTGAAAATTATAAATGGTGACATCGTGCAAGTATATAGGTAAGTACCTATAATATATTATATGGAACGACGAGTTCCATAATATTATTATTATAATTTGCGGCAATTTACTGAAGGAGAGTAGTATATAGTCGAACTTAGTAATAATATATTATACGAAAACGACACAAAACGCATGATATTTTGAACATTTATAGGCATTATAATAGCTGTTTATTATTATTATTTTTTTTTTTGTATATTATCGTGCAAGTGTCGAAACTGTTATAGTATAGTCTTATTATAGAAATTAAATACTAAATTTTTAGTTCCCATTACTATTACTATTACTATTAACAAGCTTCAATGTTAATATATTATACACAGTACTAATGATGGGGCCTCACCTTTTAATACGGCCATTGAATTCAAGGTCAAATGGCGAGTTTAAAAGACGAAATTACAAATTTTATATTGAGAATTTCGAAAAATGTTTTAAGCAATTTCATTATTAAAACTAACCAACAGAATTATTTAAATTTAAAGAATATTATAGGTATTGTACATTGTGTTATATTAGTCATTAGAAATACAGAGATGGCACTTCTATACCACACATTTTATACAATCATACTTAATGATATTCATTAAAATTATAAAGACTACGTCAAGTTAGTAAAAGTAACTTTTAACAAACTTAGTTAATTTTCAAAATAATGAATTTGAACTAATCAAGTTAATTTGAAAAAAAATCAATTAATTCATAAAGTCACATCAACGTTATGTTTAATGCTTATACTTATGAAATAGTTCATATTTTAAATAATGTTCAAAGGTCTAATATATATGTATATATATATTACCACAACATAGTCCACAAATTCCTTACAAGTTATTGGTTATTATTAAAAATATGAACCGTTTTAGTACGCGATTACAAACCCGTAAAAATAGTAAATAATGAATATATTCCAATATCTCAAACTATATGACTTATTTGACTAAAATATTTAATTAGCAATGTTTTAAAAAGAAAACAATTATAATTTGTTTTCATATATTACGAAAAAAAAATAAAAATTGCATATCAATTTTGTTGATCCACATAAACCTTGGTGAGATGGGGGAGAGGAACGGTTCTCCTTCTTGCTGTTCCGAACATTATACTATATTTTAATACATAATATTATAAGTAGGTTAATACTGCAGTAGTTTGCTACCTAGGTACTGATATACGAATTGGAATAATATACTTAATATTATTTTTATAGGGCCACTTGTTTATGCATAAAACAACGTTTTAATGATCACGGATCATAATATTGGTTAATATTCATTTTCATTGTAAAACCTTTTATAGCCCGAATGATATTATTTAATATCGTAAATAATTTACGAGTAAAAAAATCCATATACTAGTACACTCAAAAAAAAAAGTTAAAAAGACATCTTAGGAAAATGGATACGGGTGCAGCCACTGTTATAGGTAATTTAATGTATACCTGTATGCAACGATAAAAAGATTGCTAATGAAAAACCAATTCTGAGCGGAGTTCAGTTAATAGTGATGCTTTTTCAACAATATATATGTCATATTATGGTAAAATAATTAAATAGGCATTATATATTTTCATTAATATCTTATATTTGTTTAATATTGTACCGATTTTTCCGTTTTTCTTGATTTTCTCACATTTTGTCTCGGTTTTTCACATTTGCTGGGAAAACTCTCGAGAAAATCAAAATAAAACCTGCTTAAAGAACCTCTCCAGTCGGATTTTCTTTTAGAAAAAGTGCTATCATTGTAAACTGTTGCGAAATTGCTGGTAGAAAAGTTGTGCACAGAAAAAAAAAAGGTCATAATATATTTTAACTTACACCTACATTTCTTATAAAATTTCCTGTTTTTTTTTTTTTTGGTTTTTTAAATTTGATGAGAAACGTCTTGAAAATATCGAAAAAGGAATTCTTTAAGTACCTTCCCACGCCAATTTCCTTTCAGAAAAGGTGATACACGTAGAAATCCGAGCAAGTCTTCTGGTAGAAAAAAAATCTTAATATTTTTCTAATATATGTTGTATATTTTCCCATTTTTCACGATTTTTCCTATTTATTAGGAAAACGCTTAGGAACATCGAAAAATTACCTCCTTGAAGTACCTTCTCAATCAGATTTCGTTTCTGAAAAAGTGCTATCATTTTATATAGAAAAGAAATTCTTGGTAGTAAAGTTTACACAACAAGTCGAGATATTTTGTGATTAAAATAGTCCGAGTGAGTGATGGCTTGGGTCTATTTAGGTACACCGAAATTGTATTTGTATTTTCCTTGTTTAGGTAAAAAGCAAAAAAAAGGAAACAATTAATTTCCAAACACTGGTTTGAACTCGAAACCCCTATGATGAAAACAGGCATAAATAACCATACGACCACAACAAATATGCTTTTAGAAGAACAATACAAAGTTAATCAACATAACATATAATGTCCGCATAATATTAGAATTTCAAAAAACTATAATTTTGAACTTATTCAGTCCGCTTATTTCTGACTTTTTCATCGCTTTTTATTCGGCAGTGTATATATGTTCAAAAAAAAAGAAAGAAAATTGATAAATTAGATTTGTTCTTCATAATATTTTACTCAAACGATTTTCGCCAAAATTAAATATTAAAATTTCCTTATAAAAAAAAATACTTTCAACTACAAAGTAAGACTCTTAATGAATCTCATGTTGAATTTTTAAGCATTTCTGTTCTAGTCTAACAATTTTACCACAGATTACCTACTGAATTAAAATTACGTACAAAACTCGCAAAATTAAACTGTCTATAAATAACTCGAAAATGGCTCAAATATTTTGAAAATTTTACCGCATCTAGAAAAGGCAAATATGAGTTTTCTCTCCAAAATTCAAGTCTATAAATATTTTTAACTGAATTTCCACAAATAATAAAAAGTATTATTTTCGAACATTTCCCATTTTTCTTACGTTTTATCCTGGTTTTTCCCAAATATTATGAATACACTCCTAGCCCCAATTTACTTTGAGCTTGATTTTCATCATAAATGCGTGCCTTGTATGAGTTTTCAAAATAACCCCTCCTCCGTTTTATTATCCCGGATCTGTCCCTGCTATACATGTATCAATGTGGACAATATTGTTAAATACGCTTACGAAATATATTATTAAGGACAAGATTAATTTTAAATGTAGAATGCTACAATGTGTGTTAATAACATGATTTATAAGCAGGTACTTTAAAATATATTAAAGTACACAAAATTCGTAAAAAAAAAAAAAATATAATTATTTATGGATAAAAACTTTTGTTTTAGTTTTCGTGATACGGCACGTGTATTATGCAAACAAAATAAAGGTTGATCATCAGTATTATCAAAACTTTAGTGTTTATTATTAAAACAAACTTATAATTTTAAGAAGGCTTAATAACGATTACGTACTGTAAAGTTTTGTTGATCTTTTCACGTTCGAAATATATTATATTATGTAAATATATTTACAATAGTGTAACAATATTGTTTATGATCTGAGTAAAATTGCTGGTAAATCAATAAAAACTATCCTTTACAGCAGGATCGTTTATATCTGTTTATATCGTGTCATACTGGATGTTGATATTCATTAAACTGCATTCAAGTGTTCGTCGTTTAATCGGGATAATATTTATTTTTTCGATACTTAAGTAGTGCAATTGTGTGCTCACAAATATAAGTGCTACCGAAAGTAGTAATCATTTCTTTTTATCATAACTTTTAATACTTTTACAATCTTTTTCTGAAAGACTTGAATAAAATATTTTTATTTCAATATAATTTCTATAAATTATGTTTTAAGAAAATCATGTTTTGCAATTATATGTTTTCCATCTGTTATTGCAAATAATATTTCAAAAGAAAATGGGTTATCAACCAACTTGATTTTTTTTTTTTTTTTGTACCTACATAGAAGTCAGAAAATCAAATTAAAAATTAGTTTTGTAGGTTTTCAATTATATCTAAGAAAATTGTTTGAAATATCATGAGATATATTTGGATTTTTGGGTTGTCGGAGGCTGTTTAACAGAAAATTTAGAAAAAAATAAGCTATCCTAGGATAATTCACTTCACCCGTTCCCTAGAACTGTTGTAGGTTGGAAATCGGGATGGTAGGATACACATGGAAATTTAATGTATATCAGCAACGATTAAATATAGAAAAACAATTCTGGGCAGAGTTCAGTTGATAGTATTGCTTTGTCAACAATATGTATATCACAGTATGGTAAAATAATTACATATTATGTATTAAAAATGTTCTTTAATAATATTTATAATGTACCTATTTTCCTGTTCTCTTGGATTTTCCATGTTATTTCCCATTTATTGGGAAAACTCCAGGGAAAATCAATAAAATTACACCCTTAAAGTACCTCCCTAGTTAGAGTTCCTTTCAGAAAAAGTGCTATCATTGTAAATCGGATCAAAATTGCTGGTAGAAAAGTTGTTCACAGGAAAAAAAAAGGTCATAATATTTTTTAACTAATACCTACGAGTACACTTCATACATTTTCCCGTTTTTCTTCAGTTTTTTTCGATTTTCCAATCTATAGACAAAACTCCTAGGAAAATCAAAAAAAAGACCTCCTTAAAGTACCTTTCCAGTTAGATTTCTTTTTAGAAAAAGTACTATCATTAGTTGTTCATAGATAAAAAAAAAAAAAAAAATAAACATCACTGTAAAACTATAAGTTTTTTCTCTCTACACAGAACCTAAAATTAGAGTAACAGAGCTTGGTCACTAGAGTCGAATTTCCTCGCAGCCGACTTGTTATCGTTATAACATTTCATTTTTTTTTTTTTTTTTTTTTTTTTATTTATAGAATTGATTTAAAATAATTATAGTTGCAAAGTTTTATTACTTTTTGTCTGAATACATCAGATATATCTGGATTTTTTAATATCTGCAGTGTTTTCTATGAAAAAATGAAATTTGAGCATTAAAATGGTTGCGGAGGGGGTCAAAAGAGGAAACCCTTTAAAGGCACTTCCTAATAATTACACCATGCACACACGAAGTTGTATTTTCCAAACCTCTTCTTGAAGAGTCGGTATAAGGGTGTACAAAGTTAAAAAATCATCATCCTCCCGTAAAAACATGATTTAATTCATATTTCAATACACCAAAATTGTATCACTTCAATTCGCTTATAAATAATTTTAATACAAAAGTTAATTTAAGTTAAGAGTTAATTTGATCTTGTAGGAGAATCACTAAAAGTGGCCAAAAGAAGCGGAAAAATTATATACGGCATAGTTTTAAGACCATAACAGGAAAATTAATTCAGAGGGGAAGGAGGTTGTAAACTAAACATTTGTGTTCTTCTAATTTTAATAAATTTTAATAAATCGATTAGGTACGTCAAAATCCGAGTATGGTGGTGTAATTAAGTATAAGTAGATCTTGTAGTTTGCTGATATTTGCTGCTATAACGAGCCGAGGAGTAGAAACTCTTGAAAGGCAGAAAATATGCTTACGTGGATACTTGAACTTTGAGCGTTTATAAAGTCATTCATTTTTGTAAAATGTTACTATACTATATTGCGGATGACGTTTCTAAAACGGACTTCATTGCTTGTGTATACCTATAAGCATAACACGCGGATCATCGCACTCCGAGTATAGGTATATCAATCTCGTTTTTGCTCCCACATCGCTTAGCATGATGTACACATTTATTTATTTTTTCAACAGAAAACTGCTCTTTTTGTACTATACGTAACTATATAAAGTATTTCTCTAATGTTAACGATCGGCTATTTTCAACACCGCGGTAATCGTTAGCGCACAGAATTATTGTACTTTACACCCGTTCCGGAAATACCTGACAATATTGTAGGTATATTTGACCGAAATACTGGAGTTTATAATTTTGTTCTAATTCGGTAAATAATACTTGATGTCCATATTTTCACTAAATACTTATTTTATCCTTATATAGACGTGGTAAACATTTTCAAAATATATTTAAGCTATTTATAGGCATTTAACATTTTCTAGTTTTTTTTTTAGTTTTTATTTGGTTTAATGTGGATAAAATTGTTTTGGACGAGTAGAAATGTTTAAAATGTAAAAAAGGTTGAGTTTAAAATAGTAGTTTTTGTATATATAAGTGTTTTAAGTGCAAATTTTGACGAAAATCGTAAAAATTACGGAGAGGATCGAAAACTCATATCATGCCGGACATTTCTACCATTCCATGATGCCATATTAATAGTTGTATACCTAATTACAATTTTTTTTTTTTAATGAAGTGTTTATACAAATGTTTTTTAGGTGTTTAATTTCGAGATAAAAGTAGACAGTGACCGTCATATTGCTTTGAATAACAAATGTGAAAAGTTTCATCCAGATCGGAATAAAATTGTAGATTTGTATGAAAAGCCAATATAAATTGAACTTCATTTTATTTATACATATAGGGGTTAACGCTGAATGGATATTTGTTTTGTATAAAACACGGCAATTTAACTTTTATTAGACAATTTTAAACATAAAATTAGACATCGTTATATCTTGACGATAGACCGTTTACAACTTCACGAGTATAAATATGTTAAAAATGAAAAACAAACAAAACATTTAAATGACTTCTCCAATACAGCAACTAAAAATTGTCTATCAAAATCCACATTTAAAGTTGATGATAGGAGTATAATTTCTAGTATAAAAGTAGTTAACAGATATAAAAACGAAATAAATGTAGAACTAAAATAAAATACGTACATCGTAAAAAACCAATACATGCTATACGCTTAGAATTTAAAAATGCCTAGTATACTAGTATACTGTATCGCAGCTCGTGTGTCACTTGTAGGGTTTTCCTTCGTCTTTCGCTAATTTTGGCACTAGTTAAAATAAACCAAATTACTTAACTAAAATAATATGACGAAGTTTTTTAATATTGCACGATTAGTTTAGAAATAGAAAATATTACGAACGTCAATTATCGCTGACAGATTTAATTAAAAAAATTGACCAGTATCTATCGACATTTCTTCTGTACAATTTTATATGAATATAGATTGGTATGTATATCATGCAATATAGTATACATTTATTATGATTCCTTTATCAAGAAATACAGATCTATATCTGAGTTATTTATACTATAAAAGTATTTTAATTATTAAACAATTTATCTATAAGTAACAAAACAAAAAGCTTTTAATTTTGACTACTTGGAGCCACTCATAAGCCAGATCACCGGATATTTTCCCAGCATTTTCATGAACAACAAGAACAGACAGGCGTGGACTGGTAAAAAAGGGCATGGGATACTTTATAATTTTAGGGCAAATATCAACAATTATTAGGGCAAGGTATAATAACAAAACACGTTTTAAAAAGCTGACATAGTAACTTCACACCATGAATAAACTAATGTTGTAAGTTAGGGATGAAGATATACATATCGTAATTTAATTTATAACTGAACGCAATGATAAATCAGTGCAAACAAAAAGCGACTCCGAAGTAAATTTGGTACATGTTTTGGCTATTTTAAATTAAAAATTGTACATTATTTTTTGACGACGAAATAAATTACAATGAAAAAAGAAACTCAGAAATATCCAAGTTGTTTTAGCTACATAAGGACCTCTTAAAATATATTTTTCCCGACTAAATTTTTAGGAATTCGGCCTCAATATAGTGTAGCATTTCAGCGCTCCAGCCAGCTTGTGCATGTAAATACAGAATGTCCCATAATGATCTGCCAATTGAAATAACTTTTGTTATTATCAATATTTTTGATAAATACAATGTTTTTTAATAATTCTGCGCTACAGTTTATAAACGAACATTTTTTTTTTTTGGGGGGGGGGGCTTAAAATAAAAAAGTTGAAATTTTGCTATGATTGTTAGTAAACAAATTCAAAATAGCCATTTTGTAAAATAAATTATTAGACAATTTTTGGTGGTTGAAACCATTGTTAATGTATAGTTTTAGATTTTTTACGTTTTTCTTGAAGTTTTTGCAAATGTGAATATTACCTATTGTGGTTATTCCATCACAATATTTAATCAGTCAGGGCACATGACAAGGATTTCTTTTCCATGAGTTAATATCATGCAATAATATTATCATATTATGGGTATTAGGTAGTAGGTAAATGAGAATTGATGTTGATAAACAATATTGTTATGATTTAAAAGAAAATTGTGAGAATATAAAGAGACGAATTTCCAGATTGTGAAACCGTACATTAAATATTACGACTGATACCATAATAATATAAAAATATTATATTTTGTTTTACAACGAGTGATACTCAAACGGAAGTCAAACGACCAAAGTAAAAAACATGAATATTTATTAAAACAGCGTGGAAACAATACAGCAAAGAAAATAATTGGGAAATTCTTCCCGTTAATTCGTAGAAAAGGAAAATAACCGTTATAAAGATTTTTATTTTATTTTTGTCACCATTATATTCGAATCATTATTTATGAGAATATATAGGTCATTTTTTTTTTTAAACGAAAATCATTGTCACAACATATAATAGGGCTCGTACTGGCTACTCTTGTATGGCGGTTACAGTTGCCACTTAAAAGGGTGTCTACACCAGTAGCATAATATTATGATGTAGTTTTGGAGGTATCCACTATCAACTTACCTTCCTCAAAGTCACACAACTTCTACAATTTGTCTCATGTAGATAAAATAACTCAGTCCATATGGATACCTAAACATGTAAATTTGACGAAGGGAAATTAACAATATTTTTTTTTTTCGTTTTTGGTGTAATTCAAGGTAAGATTTTATCCAATTTTATCCATTCTTATAATAGATAAATTCTTTCAAAGTATAAAAAGTTGATATTCTCACAGGTTGAGGTAGAATATACATTGTTATCAGGGTCTTGAAAAATATCGAGGCCCAGTTCAGTCAATATTTCATGGTTTCGATTATCCGATTTCACCTTATTCTACAATTTTGTTTTTTTGAATTCTGCATACATATTTACAATTTGTCTTTGTCAATATATTTTTCTAAATAATTATGAGAGATTATGAATTATGAAGCAGGTAGCGAGAAGCAACGCAGGGCTCCTAAAAGCACTAGGCTCTATGCATTCTCACAGCTTGAACCACCTTCAAGCCTTGACTATTAGGACAGCACTGTTCTAGGTGAGTAGTTAAAGAGGTAGTATGTACAAAATAATTAAGTTGATACACTCTATATACAAAAATAAATGATTGAAAACGAAAAAAAATTCTATGTATGTAGTATTATTAGTTTTTTTTTATTTCGACGCCGAGGTCACAAAAAAATTAACAAAAATAAAACCAATGCATCGTCATTTTTTGAAATTTTTTAGATTTAATAAAAAGGACGTTGGTAATTTAGATAATTTTTCAATTAAACCTAGTGAAAAATCCGTATTTTTTAAAGCGTTTAAACAATTTCGAACCTTCTTACTAGGTAACCAAAAAATTATTATTTAGAAACAAAAAACAAAAAAAAAATATATATATATAAAGGATCTATAGATGAATAGTTGAAATCGCAAGGTGTTCAAATAAAGTACCATTATGAGATTATATTATATGTATGCTTATGAAATATAAAAATAAAAATAGTTTTGTCCGTTCTCGACTTCACGCGTTGATAGTGGTCGTTAGGTATTGTTTAAGAATCACAAATAAAATATTATTATACAGCCACTGTAAAAATGTATCATAAAATGCAGTAATTTACGATAACGTATTATTAAGTAGTATTTCAATAAGATTAAATTTATTCTTCTAATATTTCCCCAAAATTTTAACTGAACTACAATATTATAACTCGATAAATGTTCACGTGTCAATGTTATTTTTATTTTTAGATTCAAAAATAATATTGTATTCCGTGTACCATCAGACTTAATTCTGCGTAGTATTTAACGCTAAATTTAAAAAAAGTTCAAATGTTTTACGCTAAATTGAATATAACGCGTTTAAATTCCTTATACCGTTAAACGCTAAATTGATCATAAAGTCATAACCAGAGCTCATAAGTTCATGCATTTGCATGTTTTTTCGCTACATAGTAAAACATTTGTACAAATTCGTTTCGTAACAATATTATATCTAATGAAAATACAAATTTGAATACTTTTTTTTTTGTTTATTTTGGGTATACTGACTTATTTGGCACACAATAGACTTTTGGAGTTATTAACACACATAGTTCGTATACATTGAGGAAATTATTGTTAACTGTTATTTACTTTTTTGCGCGTGTTTACAAAATCCAAAATTGCAGTTATTAATGCATTAATACGTGCTTTTAATTCGTTTTTTGATGCACGAACTTGCGATCTCTGTTCATAAAGTTTAGATTTCTTACAACGGAAAACAATATTATTATTTTTTTATTTAAACACTGATTTTATAAGTATAACATTTGTTTGGTTATGTAAATAAAAAAAAAAAAACGTAATGCAGTAGTTTTTTTTTATAAACAATTTAAGTTTAAATTTCGATGAAAATCGTAAATATCGAATTTCAAAACATGTTTAACTGTAAACTTCACTTAAATTCATTATTAGAATCGGTAATTTCATTGTTTCATTTTGAATGTGGCTCGATCGTACAGCCAAAAAGATAAAACGTGCTCAATCGTACGATAACCAATATATCACGCACCCGGTATACTGCATTCCAATGCGTATTATAATATAATAATATATAATTGTAGATCGCAGAGGGTATATTTTTTTAACTTGGTCTAAAATAAACGATCGAATTACTTGTGTATACGAATAATAATTGTATTCGTTTGAAAATCAGTATTTTTTTTATGAACCACGATAATACAAAACCAAATTAAGATAAATCGACGATTAGTAGATACAAATTTACTTAAACGCACCGCCAACACTGTAATTTTGGGTAGATAAAGATACTTATATACATATAAACAGTAAAACACTAATCATAATATTCAACACCACGACAAATTTTACGTCTACATCAGCTATACTTTTACTCGACAAGGTTTCTAATCACTTAGATATATGTATGTTGTTATAATAGTTTAATTTTAGCAAGAATTCCAACAGTTTGAAACAAAATATGAACACAATATATTATAAATTATTTGTAAAATAAAATAAACCGAAAAAAGGCTGATAGCAGTAGGTATCTGCTAATAATTGTGCCACCGTTTTAAAAAGGAAGTTGGTAGAGAGAATATATAGAGTAATTTAATTTATATCTATAAACAACCATGAACAATAATTACTAACGGAAAAAGATTTCGAGTAGAGTATTATTAGTAGTATTTATTATTGTGTTGACAAGATAACCCAGTTAGGCCAGTTGGTGGCAAGTTTTTCCCATTTATTAAAAAAAACTACAAAAAAAATTAAAAAAACGAAATTACATATCATATATTATAATTTTTTAAAGCGGCAACACTGGAAATATTTCGAATATTATTCGTGTTCGATTTTTTTTTTTTTTTTTTTAACAAAAGAAGTTGGATTTTAATTTGATTTACATAATTTTTATTTTTTTGCTAATTACAAAGTTAATTTAACATACTTATATTATTTTTTACTTGTTTTTTGTCCTGCAATCAAACAATAATCTATTTAATGCAAAGACCGCTCATATTTTACTCGGTTTGTTTGACAATATATTATACGTAAATAATATAACGTGGGTAGTAGCTAATATTAAATATTATTATTTATAATTAATGTCTGCCTAGGAAAATCTACGAAAATTGTGTTTTTATCAAATCAAGTCAATGAACTTCATGAACGGTTAGGTTAGGATAGATAGGAGAAATGAAAAAAATAATTTCTAACAATAAACGAAATATTTAAGGAAATGCTGAAAATTTTCGTAAATAATGAAATATGTAACAGATTCAAACTTTAAGTTAAATCGGCACTGGTTAACTTCATTTGATTGATCTAAAAATGTTTTGTAGTTAATTTTTATGTATATACACACCCATATAGAGGGTGAGATAAAACATATTATATTTTTTTTTCCATGATATATAGAACACCCTAGTAGGTACCTACCGCAGCGTGATTTGCAGAAAAAATGTGAGGCGTTTTTGTTAGGTAACTATTATAATTTAATAAACGCACGTTGCGTAGCTGGCTGACACTCGAATCGCACTCGCGATGGATTCGCCGAAAAAATAATATGTAAAACTAGATGGAAAAACCATATTACCCTGCACAGGGGTAGGTTTCGGTAAGAAACGTATTGGCGTCGGTATCAACGAACCGCACAAAGAAACGCCGAGTATAATATACAGCAACGTGCCCCCGAATCATATCGTCCATGAATATATAGCGAACACTGTATATATAGGGTAATTTTAGATTCCGAGCGTAGCGAGGGAGCTATTGGTTTTACTAAGATGTTTATTTCATTTTTGTTTAGTCCGTGGACACGTTTTTTCCTAGTAAACTTACTCAGATTTGTATGTGTAACAACTTTTCTGAAAGCTCAAGTTGTCTAGATGGTACTTTAGAGAGGTAATTTTTTAATTTTCGACGCTATTTTTTAAATCAAAGCACTTGAATGGGAAAAAACGTAGGAAAAGATACAATTTCACGTTTTCATTATCTCATAAATACATGGACGTTTTCTACCAGAAAAAAAAATTTAATCGAAAAATCACAAGGTACCTTTTTTGTTGTTTTTTCGATTTAATTTCTTACGGTGTCATCGCTAAAACTTTTGAGCCAATTTTGAGTATTTAAGGAATTTTAATTTTTGGGCGTTTTTTTCTGTAATTTGCTTATAAATAAATATAGAGACTTGAAACTTGGTAATAATATTTATATTATACTTACCTAGGCGTAGTAAAATTTCCAAAAATCAGCGGAAAACTTTTTTTCCACTTTTTTAAATTTTTTACCATGATACTTTATTATTATTCTTTTATAATAATAATTTCATAATAATCGGGTAAAAAATGTAGGAAAAAAATATAATTTCATGATATTATTTTACATTGATACGGAAAACGTTTATTATTAAGAAAAACGACAAGAAATCTTTTTTGTGTCATTGTACATATTATTTCTCATAGCGCAAGTTGTTTTTTTAACTTCATAATAATTTTTAAAAACTAGAAAAAACTATGTAGTTGTAATTCAGTTAAAAATATTTGTAGTGACTTGAAAAATGGACAAAATACTCACATTTCGTAATCAAATTTAAACGAAAATTGCAAAAAAATTACGACACTACAAATTATGTACTACCGAATTGTGCTCGGAATCGTCTTTCGTCAAGTAATGTTTTATCGTTGCTTATATAAATGATATAAATGATTGATAAATTGATATAAATGAAATAACCTTATGTATTCTACCTTTCCAACGTCTAACCTACAACAGTGGCCGCTCCCATCCCCAGTATCAGCTCTTTCTTTTTGTACAATCCAGCAATTTTTTTAGAGAAGATTTTTAAGATAAATTCTATTTGTGTTTTAAATGCTTTATTTTAGGGCGTGACCCGTTTTGCCCAAACTTGAACTTTGCCATTTCACCCAAATAAATTTTGGTTATTTTATAATTAAGTTGGCAATAGTTTTTGTGTAAAATATAGAAAATTATTTGAAGTCATCACAAAAAAAAATCATTATTTTTTAAACATTGTACACATGCTTTTTACAAACTCATACCTAGTTATTTCATCAGATCTACACATATAAAAGTATTTTAAAGACATTTAAAAATAATATTCTTTGTGTTTCAATAATCATTAAAGATTTTCAGCTTCATTTTCAAATTTCTAAAATGTGTTATAATATGAGATATATATTGTTGACAAAGTTACACTATGAACCGAACTCTGCATAGAATCGTTTTTCGTTAACAACGATTAATCGTTGCGCACATTGAATTTCCCTTCTACCTTCCCAACTTCTCACCTACATCAGTGACCTATCCGCGTGCAAAGTATGACCGTCTTTTTTACACAGATTCAAAAAAAAATACGAGTTTATCAACATTTAAACTGAAGAAATATCTGAAGGAATAGTAATACTCGTACATTATATTCTTTTATCAATGTTTATTGTTTAATGATAACCTTCCCCTATTCCTTTGGTTGAAATTTGTAAAATATGGTTAATTTAATATTATCGGTAAGCCTGGCCCACATGATTACAGCGGTCAGAACCTGCTGTATAGTAAGTGGGCGGAAATTGTTTTAGTCATCACTTACCTTTTCTATAGAATGTCAATGAATCGTGCACAGGGATGGTTAATGTATATTATGGTATTTCCACACGTATCGGCAAGTGGCTGGCCGACTATAAAATGATCCAGCACATACGCGAATGTCATAAAAAAATTGTTTGTACAATTTATCAGTCAACAGGGAGCCAATAGCCAACATTCACGCAATTATTTAAATGTTTATTATTCCATGACTATTAACCAATCCAATATTTGTCAAACGCAACATTGGTCAAATACACCAGTTGTATGGAACCGAATTTATACATATTACCAAGTATTAGAAAATTAATCCCTAATGAAATCCGGTATTAAAAGAGCCCTTTGCCGTTCAAATATTAAAAGTTCATATAATTACGTGTTTATGGTATACTCAATACTGAATAAAGATGCAATTTGAAAATACTACACATAATATCATTTTTATTATACGTGATTCAATAAAATAATCAAAAAAATCAATATCAGTTTTATTCAAAATTATCTTAGATATAATAGCTGGATCATGGTAAAAACCAAATTCTACCCTGTATATTATTATATCTCCCCCACCTCTGAATCGAATTTCGCCAAAAGATTCTTCCTTTTTATAGACTGCCTATATATATAGGAAACCATCATTTATTTATATTGAAATCCGTTACCGTGGTTATGTTATAGGTTACTTAACCTACGGCGGATTCTCTTTTCACGGCCCGAATACATAGATATATTCCACTATATTTTATATATTATTATGATTATTATACATAACGATACACAAACACCTCGATTACCAACCTTCGACAAATATCCGAGAGACGAGTCCTATATAACGAACTTTCTACCTACGCTGATCAATTAGGGATTTTTTTTTTGTGTATACAGGATGATTCACTAAGCAAGCTCATCCCATATTTTTTGTTAAATTTCGCATATATTCAAATTCTTATTTTTGGAATTTTTAAGTGTGGTGAAAGCCAATATTTTCGGATACACAGATTTTTCACAACATTTAAGGAGTATACTACGGCAATACCAACTTTGGTTTTTCGAATGAGAACCTTTCATTAAAAGTTCCATAAATAGATAAAAAAAAATTACTTTAAATACATTGAGGAGTCAACATTTCTGATTTCCGTCAACCTGTTGACGTGATATTTTACTTTTAAGTTTAGGTTGGAGGAGAGTAGTGGAGCAATAATATAAAACACTGCACGCCGTGCCACCACACAAATGATATTCTACTACTCTCCACCTACTTAACTTAAAAGTGAAATATCTCGTCAATGAGTAGACGTAAATAAAAATATTGACACCAAAATACATTTAAAGTAATACTTCATCTATTTATGAAACATTTATTATAGGTTCATATTTGAAAAGCTAAAGTTGGTATCGCCGAAAATACTCCTTATATGTTATGAAAAATTTAAGTATCAGAAAATTTTAACCACTTAAAAATTCCAAAAATCAGAATTCGATTGTATGCAAAATTTAACCTAAAAAATGAAGTGAGTACGTTTAATGAATCATTCTGTATCTATATATATATATTGGTATTTTATTCCGAGTAGAGTGACGCAGCTATTATTACAGAGGTTATTTTAAATGGATCTTAAATGTATCGTATTTAATATTCATATTTATCGAGCAGATATTTCAAAACAATTGTATAAAGTATTAAAAATAAAAAATAGTCGGTACTGCTAATGGGTGTACCATTCTTATAGACGACTAGTTGTGAAAATATGGTACATATGTTATTTAATTTATAACTGAACGCAATGATTATTCATTGTTGACGAAAAACGATTCTGAAAGGAATTAGATTAGACACATTTTTAAATTTGGTACAAGATTCATAATGAGTTGTACTAATAAATTGTGTTAATAACTTTAGTAAAACAAAAAAAGTTGAGCGTTATGTCTTGAATTTGATGTATCATAGAATGACACGACAGTGGACGAGTGGTGGAAGCAGGATTAGACATTTTTACCATGGCGTGCTCATATGCACATTTGTTAATGATTCAATCACTTCAAAAACTACAAAATAAGCTAGAACAGAATATTAATGATTTAAAAAGATGTAGTGACTTTGGTGGTAAATCAATTTACATTTATTAAAATGTATTTTATTACATACATTCTTTTAAATTTATGGTATGATATAAATTTATACAATCTCCTCCGGAATACATATATTTAGAGAGCATGATTTCAACTATAAAAAAACGGACAGGAAAAATGTCCTATCACTAAAACTTGTATGATATTTATGTTATAGAAACTCATCCAATTTGTATTATAATTATATATAAAAACTTAAGCATAATATAATTTTTTAGATTCGTGATTTTTAGGAAGCAATAGTTTCGAGCAATAAGTTTTCGAGTATATAGGTGATGAATATTTTTGGATAAATATTGTGCAACTGGAAATATTTGAAACATGAATCTGTATTTTTTTCAAATTTTTTTTTAAGGTCCTAAAAAAACAAGCGATCTTTTTTTGTAAATCAAACGAAGAAATTCTTTCTTTGGCGGTTTGGCTTAAGGTACTTACAAATTTCCCAAATGTTCCTGAAGTGGTGACGAGGGTATGATTAGGTTAGTCGTAATGACTTATTTTGTATTGGTAGGTAACGCGACGTGTAAATTTAAACGCAGAAAAACTGCTACGTACCAACATAATAGTATCGTTAACTACTCTCAAAGTAGTTAACTGGAATAAGTAAGTACCATTAGGTATTTACCACAAAACAAAAAACACGTGTTAATATGTCATACCATGTATACGCAGACGATAGAGTTCGTGATTTGAGCGGTTTTGAGCGTTTCACTAAAAATTAAGTATCAAATCGTCGATTTAGAAAATATTTCAACAACGATAATATGCGATAACGATAATAATGGATATAATAGTCTAAATCAGTTTCATAACGAGGAGGGCAGGGAGGGTTATAATTCACCTCTAAAACATAAATTACTTTGTTTTACAAATTCTGCGTAATACGTATGATAGTTGTATAATATGTAATGCAATATGACAGACATTTTCTTAGAATTTTAAATATGTATACATTGTGCATGCCATCAATTTATAGCTATTCTAAAAAACTGTCCAGAAATTTGTCCAACTTAAGATTGTATAATATTTTACATATTTTCCCGTTTTCCTACATTTTTTCTCATAATTTTTCACGGTTTTTGCGTTTATTATGAAAACAACTGGAAAAATCAAAAACTTGATTAATGAGATTATTATTTGTAAATATTGTTTTCTATAAATTATTAAACGGATCTTGTTTTGACTTTCAAACCGCTTTTAAATTATAGATTGTGTTTACAAAAATGTTTTTTTTTTTTTTTTATGTGCTCAACTTTTCTATCAATCTACCAGAAGACTTGCTTGGATTTCTATACGTAACACTTTTTCTAAAAGGAAATCGGCGTGGAGAGATTCTTTAAACAACAACGAAAATGAAACGTAAGAAAAACGGGAAATGTACGAAAATAATGTTTTTATTATTTTTCAATTTTGTTATTTGCTGTAATTCAGTTTATATTCCTCAATTATAATTGATAAAAACCAAAAGTACCTCGTAAGTGATACTTGTGCATACAAATCATTTCCTGTCATAATTTCTAAAGTATGTTTAGATAATCCTAATTATAAAACATCAATTGATTCTAATCAGCATCAATTTTTAAATTTTTGTAAAACCTTAGCTATTATATGGACCTTCATTATTATACAAGGGTCGTTTAAAAATTCTTCAGATTGTTTAAGAAAAACTGTGGTGTCTGAAATCAAAATAATTAACGCTGAGTGTAACGTTACATATATAGTATTAGAACTCTTAAAAGATTTTCCTTCGTGTTATTTAATTTTTTTTTTATGTTATAATAAAAAGCTGTCCTAGGATAAGGAGGAAAAGTGCAGCCACTGTTGTAGGTGGGGAGTTGGGAAGGTAGGATATAGACGATAATTTAGCGTATATCTGTAAGCATCGATTAACCGTTGCAAAGAAAAAAAAGATTCTGAGCGGAATTCAATTGTTAATGTTGCATTTTCAACAATGCAATACATGTTATATTATGGTAAAATAATTGCATAGGCATTTTTTTTAATAATATTTATTTAACAGTGTGTCTATTATCCCGTTATCTTGGTACCCCATGTTTTTTCCATTTTTTGAGAAAACTCCTTGGAAAATCGAAATATGACTTCACTAAAATACATCTTCAGTCAGATTTATTTTCAGAAAAAGTGCTACGATTGTAAATCGAAGCAATATTTCTGGTAGAAGTGTTGTTCATAAATAAAAAAAAACTAGTTAAGAAAAATCTGTAGTTAATATTTTTAGTGATATGGAAATATTTTTTTTCTTGTAATTTTATTTGTAATAGTGAATATATTTATTATAACGTCATTTAAATTTATTTTTTTTTTTTTAGTAAAATTTGAAATGTTTTAGTTATTTTATTATTTGATTTATTCAATTTATTTATTATAGACAATTCTAATTACTTTTGGAATATTAACACTAAGTTCTCGGATGGGTTTTTTTTTCGTAATATAAATGTATATACATATTAAGTCAGATAATTCTAAATTAGTCATTGTATATTTGTCCAGAAACCATCAATAAAGTCGAGAGTATTTTTTGTTTTGGGCAGTACGATAGTTTATACATTTGTTAAATTGCACTAATATATAATTTGAAATTGTTTACAATCTGTATATGTACAATCTAGAAACAAGATTGCGTGACGTATAACTTCCCGTATAACATTGTGATACGGTGTGAAAGGGGCCGTCAACTACATAGAAATCATAATCCTCTCTATTTATTTTTGATTTAATGGCCGAGTGGGGCATTTACAAATTCGGAAACTGAATTTACAATTATTTACAATGGATTTTCAATTGTTTACAATTTGTCCGGATGCAATCAGTCAAAGTGGGAGGGCAACTTCTCGTATGTGTTATAAATGACAAAATTATGTTATGAACGATTTCGCTGGTTGTTTTAACATTTTCCATTCGAATATTTGCTTCGTAAATTTTACAGGAATAAAACATTTCAAAATTTAAAATACATTTATTTTTTAGATTTCAAATTTAGAGATGAAGTTACGAGTTCTACTCATAGATGTGTGTTATTATTCTTGGAAAATATTTTTAGATTAGTTAAATTGCCCCGATTTTTGTATGATAAAGCTTAAAATATGTGGATTTCTTTTGCAGTGGTTAGTTACTTGAAAAAAAAAATTCAGATTCTCAACAGTTTTTCTATCAAATGACCACAAATATCAAACATCGATTTTATTTTTGTTGAATTCTGGGTTACTTTGGTGTCAAGGAAGAAAAACACGACTAATTATATTATTAATATTTCGCTCATAATAGTTTTTTAATTATATTGATTCATCGTTTAATCATCTCATTGACTACAGTGGCCTATATCTATAGTGTAAAAAACACCGAACTTTTATATTATTATATAATATAATGTTAGGTATATAATTATTTACAAAAAATTAGTCGTATTGTTTTCTCCAAATATATTCTATCGGTGGACGGTAATAATATTTCGATATCAATAAAAATCAGATTACGATTTAACTCTCATTAAAATGGTCATAAATAGACCAACCAAAATAATTAAATTTGTACAGTTTTACGGTCATAGCAAAATTATATGAATAATGAGTCGAAAAAATTGAAACGACAGACAAGTCGTAATTTATACCTAACTCACTATTGTGTATATCTCTCTCTAGTCTATGCAGTAACGTCGGTTATCTCATAAATCCGGTGAAAATAACATTCCTATTTGTCTAATTTTCGCGACAGTCAAATACAGAATTATAATACAATTGCCTCCAAATGTATTTCGCACGAAACAAAAACAAAACAGGTAGGTATTGAATGTCTCATAAATGATAATCTTATTCGGTAAAATGTAAAAACACGTTTACGCAAAATAGGCCTTTATAACAAATGTTGAAATATATGAAAGAGTTGAAATATTTATGATATAAAAATCTAGAGAATATTTCGAAGTGATCTAAAATACTATATTATATACGTTTTTTAAAATAATTAGATGGTATCAAAAAACGAGATAACGATAAACTATTATTATTGCATAGTGTCATAACTCATAACTCATAACATTGCACACTAACAACTAAAAACTACAGAATTTGGTGATACCTAAATTACAACTCTAGTGACTTGACGATTGATTATTTTGCCGTAAACCAAAATTTCTTAAAATGTGATAAGAAATTCATAAATTGAATGAAAGGAAAGGTTAGGTTTGTGGTGAGTAAAAACCGCGAATACAGTACTTTTACGTCGGTAAAAAAAAAAAAAAAATAATAATAAGCTACTTTGTACAATTTTTACACAGATTTACTCTAGCGAATTTTTTATAACACACCGGTTTTGAAGAAATCTAAACCGGTTTACTTCAAACGAATTTCTCGATTCAATATTTCATTTCCTCGTAAATTGTTTATGCTTCTATTTCAAAATAGATACAGTTACCACGCAGCAACCTATATAGTATAATAGTATTTATATTATTATGAATATTATTTTATTTTTCGTTTGTTGAAAATGTAATATAACATTTCTCGTACCTATACCGTATATAAAACCAAAGTCAAGTCTGCATACGAATACAAACAAATCGGTAAAACATAACACGCCAACAAGTTTACGTCTGGCTATGAAATATGACGTGGTACCTCGAACACGTATTGAGAACGTTAACACTTCAGACCGGTGTAGTTTTATTGAGCATATTGTTTATTGTAAGGAAATATCGATTGCCTTATACTTATGATGAATTATAATCAGTGGTGTTTTTATAAGGTATAATATGTATTATGTATATTACATACAGGCCGTTTACTTTAAATATTTTGTTAAAAAAAAATACGGGTGTACAGTGTACTGTGTATATTCTCAAATAGTTTTTCAAATAAAAAAATAAAACCATCACGATATATTATCATCATTGCTCGTTCATATACCATTGGGGCCACTAAAACTATTAATTTTATAAAAATTAAACGTAATTTTAATTAAATTTGTGTACAATCAATGTATTATCTGCCCTTAAAACTTATGGTATAAAGTATAAAATAAATCATGAGCATGTAAGATGTAGGATGCTATATTATACCCTTAAATTGTACCTTAAACCACTGGTTATAATAAAGAAAATTCGAGAATAATTTGTTTTATAGCATTGCAAATCGATTTTTTTTCTAGACTCTGTCAGTGTGCGTTTTATTGGTTAACGCGACGTTCTTCGAACTGCAACAGCCACGTATGATTATCATTAAAAAATAAATAAATAGTGTGTTCACGCCAACCGATATAGAGAATGTTTTATTTAAGAAGACAAGTTATAAGGACACGTTTTGAGTCAATTTTCAACATTTTTTATCATTCGCGTTGCACGCAATTAAATAAACATAAAATTATTATGTTTTAATACAACCGATGATATATTATGTTATTAGCACCAAAATTTAGTATTCCTATTTTTTTTCAATTCAAAAAGTGATTGTAAGAATTAAAAATGATAGTTATTTCATGAAACGTTTGACAAATATTTTCTTCTATTTTAGAAGATCGTACATGGGATATGACGTGTAATAATAGGTTATTTAAATTAAAATAAATTTAGATGTCCGGAAATTTTTGAAATTTTTGAAATAGAAACAAATTGTGCCATTCAAAGTTACTGTTTAGAAAAAAAAAATATACAAGTCATTATGAACAAAATATTATGTACCTAAGTTTTATCGCATTATTAAAAATTGACTCGAAATGTGGGTAACATATTTTGGTACCTACCCATCCAACTTACTCGAAAATACTTATTTCTATCAAAGCCAATCCGTTCGGATATTTATTCGTATACGTTTATCTCTTATTACAGCGAGAACACACACGGTGTAGATATTTTTAAACGTATTATTTGTTATTATTTACATTGCCGTTTTGTTTACGATAATGTACAGTGGCCTGGATCATTATGTTCCTGTTTGTTTGCTGTATGATCTTTATTTGGTCAATAGCGTTTTGGGGCGCGTACAAAGTAAAATATTTGAAAATGTTTATTCACGAAAAAACTTTAAACGCCTGACCTAATCTATATTTATAGTACAAATCTCTGTGCATAATATATTATAGGAAATCCGTACCGGAATTACCACGGCTACGGTTTTGTGGTCGGTTTACGTGATACTTTGGATAGGCGTAGTCGTTTGGTCGTTTGCGAACGCGCGGGACAAGTAAATCCTAACTTAACCTATATAACGGTGAAAAATATACAACACAACGTGTTTTTCGGCCAGCAGGAGATTTTGCATCGAGTCAAGGTGTCCGGACGTACTGTGGCTGATAGACAACGATTGGGGATATGGTCCCATCGAAAACATACAACCCACGAGTTCCGATTTGCACGGACAGGAAATCAAGAATAATATCAAAAACAAAGGTCAGGTACCCCAGTACTCGAAGGTAATGAAATATCCGAATAACGACGGCGGTAATATTATGGTCACCACGATAGCTGTGAGAAATAATAAAACGTCGAGACTTGAGAATAATAAACAAAATATTCCCAATTCAAATACTACCCCCTCAACGTTATCGAATATTATGGCTGACGGACATTTGGAAAAATTATTGGAGTTTAAAATATTAGAGACTAATTATATAAAGAAATTTTGTGGAACACATTCGATGTCCGATAGTCGATGGGGTATAACGTTGCCCATAATAACATCGATAGTTTATGTCAGTAAGTGGTCAAAAAATAACGACAAATTTGACATCATATTAAAAAAAAATGTAATATAATATTTCAATTTTACAGTAATATCGCTGTTTTCGTGGATGATTTTGATCAGTTACCGACATGAAATGAAATCTCAAATCACCGTAGTACTGTGAACAATAGAAATTTAGATGGCAAATTATTAGATACAATTATGTATTTAAAAACAAATAACACGAGATACCGCAAGAAGTTTTTCAAATAATAAATACATATATAATGAACAAAAGTACAAACTTTAAAAAAGACTCAAAATCAATCAAATACTTATAGTGGCATAACATTTCCGAGGAAACCTTACACGATGGTACGTTTTTCAAAATATCGATCAAAAATATCACACGAGGTTCCCACGGAAATGTAATTGCCATTTAGATATTTTTCCATTGGATGTTTAATATTTAAAATTATGTGAACGTTACAAGTGGTTATAAATTAGTACATAATCGGTGCAAAGATAAAATGTCGTCTACTAAACACGGATATAGTGATAAAGTGGACATGTACATGTCTGGTTCGACCAAATTTTGCAGAGAAAAAATATGACAATTCTCAAACAAATGTATGTTATGTTTATCTTTACGGTTCTTAGTTTTGTCGAATAATTTTGAATAGCAGACTTGTCTCGTTTTCGCATTGAGCCTTATAATTTCAAATGCTGCAGTATTCAGTCAAAAATAAACCAACAAGCCCGCGCAAGTATAATATTTGAAAAAGGTATTGTATACTAAGGTATAGTAAGGTATTGTACCGTATGAATTCATATCGCCGTACCTACATACAATATTTTATAGTTTTTTTGAAATAACACGCACGCGTATCAACTGGAAATTTAATCTGATAATAATTTAGTTTGTTTATGCCCGTGTAACATTAATCGCACACTACACGGACAGGCAGGTACCCGTGTATATAAAATTATATATATATATAAATATTGTATACATGTACATATATATATATATATATATACACATGAATCTTATTTCCACTATCCAAAACGCGCGTATTGTAGGTATACGTGCTACAATATTATACTAACGTACTTAAATATTTCAAGACCACTTGAATATTGTGTATCAGTAGTGTTACGTCTATTTCATGGAAAACAATAATTGTTTACGTATTTTACCTACCGTCTCGAGTAGGTATACAATTTTTTAAAACATTTTTATTTGCTATTTTTTGGCTGCGAGAGTCATCGATTTACTAAGAGATAGGTAATAATATTTTAATAATTACCTACTTACATCAAACAAAACGCATAAATCGTGTACATTTTATACTTTTATGTTTTGTGTATCAATTTCATATTTAACCGATCATTTTGACCGCACACGTCCATGTACCTAAATTATATATTTCGTATCAAAGTCTTCGTCGTCGAAACAGACATTATTATCGAGGGTAAGTAATGATTTTTTTTTTTTTTTGTCTAACAAGATTTTTCTTATATTGATTATTATAGTATTATAATATCGAAGTTAAAATAATCAAAAATTAATAGCTAACAAAAAATAAACCTGATTGAATGTTTATCAAAAGCAATCAATAAAGGAGAGAAAGCATTCTGTATATTTTTAGTAAAAGTTTCCGATACTATAGATCATAATTTATTATCTAAAGTTTTTATTAGTAACGGTATAAGTGGTTTGTTTAAGTTGGTTTAAAAGCTATCTTAATATGAGGAAACAAATAACCCATGTAAATGGTCTACTAGGTCAGGAAAATGATATTCTGTGTGGAGTACCTCAGAGAAGTGTCCTAGGGCCTATAATGTTTACAATGTATATAAGATATCAAATGCATCTTTTTGTAACTGCCCAAAGATGAATATAGTGAAAAGAATTAAATATTAAAGACTTTTATTGGATTGTAACCTTAAATGTAATGTCCATATAAGCAGCTTAACAGTAAAATTGCGTTCTACAATGTTCAAATTTTATAAATTAAAATACATAATTTCACCGAATACTCTGAGGATAGTTTATCTATCCTTATACCAATCTATAATTAAATATGGCATGGTAATTTGGAGTGGTGCGTCTAAAATTGTTCTTAATCCTTTAAGAGTTCGGCAAAACAGTATAGTTTAAAGAAGGACAATCTCTTAGGGTCTACCAAATCGAATTATAAAGAATAATTTAATGTGTTTCCGCTTGAATTGCACCTACTGTTGTAGGTGAGAAATTGGAAAGGTAAGATACATAAGGTTATTTCATTTATATCTGTAAGCAACGATAAATCATTGCTGACAAAAGAATTTCCGAGAGCTGTTCGGTAATACATAAATTGAAGTGCCGTAATTTCTTTAAGATTTTCATTTAAATTTGATTTTAAAACGCTTATTAAAAAAAAAAGTCGTCTGATGATTTTGGAAATTTTACCACGTCTAGGCAAGTCCAATATAAGTATTATTACCAAGTTTCAAGTCTCTAGGTGTATTTATAACCGAATTACAGCAAAAACTCCCAACAATTAAAATTCCTTAAAAGCTCAAAAGTTTTGGCGAAGAAAAAATTACCTCTTAAGTAAAATTCAGACAACTTTAACTTTCAAAAAAGTTACTACACGTAAAATCGGAGCAAAATTACTAAGGAAAAACGTGTCCACAGACTAGAACAAAGAAAAATGAAATAAACAGCATTGTAAAACCAATAGCTCTCTCGCTACGCTTGGAATCTAAAAATAAGAGTAAATTACGAAAACAAAAAACTGTTTATTTGTGTCTAATATTTATCTACAAACAGGTATTTCAAAATATCGTAGATACCATTTCGATTTTTGAGTATAATTTGAACATAATTAAAATTTTGTCAATAACAGATTATTCGTAAATATTAAATTTCAACATACCATAATTCTGCCAATTTTGTAATTAGAATAAACTTTTTATAAAAAAAAACTATTTTAAAAAAAATACACGCTATCCGAATCTGTGAAAAAAAAATGGTGTTGCCGTCTAAAGAAAAATAAGTTGTATTACGTATGGGCGTACCGAAAGGGTTAAAAATTTGAAATTTATTTTAAAATGTGTATTTGGGTACTCCCTATTAATCTCTGAAAATTCCATTTCAATACTATGTCAACCAACTGAAATATTTAGTTGTTCCTCTTAACATGAACGCACTGTACATGTATTACCCGATGATGAATTTTTAATTTGAAACCGGTCGTACAATACACATGTAATAATCCAGGCGACGCATTCATTTATTTTTTTATTATTTATTTACGAGTACTAACCATTTAATTTATTTTTGTTTTTACTTTATTATTTTATTGTTGTGTATAATTTGTTAGTGTCGAGTCTTTATTTTATTACTCAGTATGTATAATTTAATTTAATTTTTATCTCGTGTGTACTATAGCTCCCACATCACCATAAGCTCTGCTTAAAGGTGTAGGAAATTATTTATTAATTAATTTAATACTTTGTATGTTATACAGAATTTAATATAATAATGTACTTAAATATAGGTTACCTGTAAAATAAAATTCAAATTTTCTGTTTTATGGTCTGACATTGTTTAGAATTTGTATAGAGCCAAATAAGTTTAATCCATATAAATCGGAAAATAGTATCTAGACGAAATTCCGAAATGTTACAATTTTCATCAATTACACTTCAGTAATTTTTTTTAATACTACCAAATAAATAAAATGGATCTTATATCACATTTTAGAGCATTTGTGTTGAGCAAAAACAATTTTATCCACGTATAATTAAAGAAAAACTAAAAACTAAGAACATTTTAAAATGCTATAAATAGTTCAAACATCGACCGAATGTTTTGAAATTTGTACATAATTTATAACTAATAATGACTTCTTAATGCACCAGTTAAACACAACTTTTTACCAAAAACTATCCCTGAAGTTGATAATCGAAGTATTATTTTCTGTAAAAAAAATGTATAACGGACAGAAAAAAAAAATTATTAAAAAAGAAACACACGCGTGGGCAGCAGAGCTATCGCTCGCAGAGGTATCCAAATTTACATAAAAAAGCGAATAAACGGATCTGTGTTCGGTTTGATCCCGTAATTCAACCCATAAATGGTGGGTCACATAGAGTTTTTGTGTTTTTAGTAGGTATGAAATTTGAATTTCAGATTCTGATTGGAGCGAAGATTTTACAAAGATGTTTATTATTATTTTTTTCCACCAAAAAAATTTTATTCTACCGGAAATCTTGCTCCGATTTTTAAGTATAGTGACTTTTCTGAAAGGAAATTGGTGTGGGAAAGTAAGTACCTCCTTTATCTTAGTACCTCCAAGAATTCATTTGACGGTTTCCTTCGGAATTTTTTCAACAAATATAAAAAACCAAAAAAAAAAAACCGGGAAAATGTAAGAAATGTAGATATTAGATAAAAATATTATGGCTTTCTTTTTTCCCGTGGACAACTTTTCTACCAACCATTTTGCTTCAACTTTTAATGGTAACAATTTTTCTAAAAGAAAATTTCACTGCAGGGATACTTTAGTAAGGTTCTTTTTTTTTGGATTTTTTTAGCAAATGTGAGAATAAACATAGGAAAACCGAAAAAATCGTAAAAAAACGGTACAACATTAAACAAATATTATTAAAAAGAATACATAGAGTATACTTAATTATTTTACTACAATATGGCATATATATTGTTGACAAATTATCACTATCAACTAAACTCCGCTCAGAATTGTTTTTTCATGAAAAAAAATGGTTTATTTATGCTTACAGTTACACATTAAATTACCTTTGACAGTGGCTGCACCTGTCTTCATTATTCTAGGACGTCTTTTTTATTAATGGTAAATAAGATACTTTGGTAACACTGATAAGAAAAAAGCAGTTGATAATATCTGATACGATTGTCACGTTAAAGAAATAAGACCTTTTAGAAAAAAAAAAAAAATCTGCAAAGTAATAACGATTAACTGTGATATGGATGGGGTGGAATCAGGGAAACACGGGGAAACGTATCTCATTAAAATACGACTCTTGTATACTTTCGCTAGAGCAATATGGATTTGATAACAAGTAATTGTACAATTGAACTAACCTATACTGATTATATCGAATAAATATTTAATTATTAATTTATTCGAACTTATTTCGTTTATACTATTAATAACAATGCATCTCATTTAAGTGTTTGGTTCTAAGATAGTTTTATACAGGGCATCCTACAACGTTATCCATATGCTAATAACTTAGTCAATATTCTTTTTTTTTTTTTTGTTTTTATCGAGTTTTTTGTCGGGGGAAACAAATGTAGAGAAAAATTTATTTTTTATTTTTATCTCTTAATGACTGGATTTGTTAAATTTCAAAAAAACCAATTTGTATCTCTACACTGCAGGTTAGATCATCTATGATACAAACAGTGAATCACAAAGTTAGTTATTTCTTGTTGCTATCAATTATATAACGATTTTAAATCGTTTAATTGTTTTTATCAATAATCTAAAATAATTTGTCTGTTTTACCATCAAAACCTCTATATTATCATTTATTCCTTGAAATAATGGTTTTCTATGTATGATTACATCTGTAGTTTTAATATTTCTGTATTCAGAAAAATATATTCAAACTCTCATATTGTTCAAGATCATATTTAGCACTAAAAACTACCAATTTCACAGTAAGTACACTATTTTTTATATTTGTTGTGATTATATCGCCAATGAACGTTTTGAACAGTTTTTTGTTAATACTAAAATATTATCATCTGTAATACATGATGCATTAAAAAATTTTTTCGTTTTTAATTATTTTTATTATTAATGTATCAATCAACCATATAGTTCAGATTTTAATTTAAAGTTTTACTTTAGATTCTGAGCGGAGCGAACAATGTATTTGATTTATACTGATTTTTAATTTTTTTATGTAAACATTTTTTCTATCAGAAAGGTTATTCCGATTATCAAGTATAGCAACTTTTCTGAAAGGAAATGTTCTTTAGATGATACTTTAAAAAAGTCATTTTTGAAAATTTTAATTAATATTTAAGTTAATGAAGAAACCTTGGTTTTTAGGTTAAAAAAGATTGAAAGATTAAAAGTAAGGTAGTCGTTGTCAACCGTTTTTATTTATTTTTTGTTATTATTGAGTTTTTATTATTATTTAAATCGTTTTTAAATAATCATTGTTGTCATGAAAACGAACATTGTTGAAAAAGATAAATTGATAATTTAAATTAAACTACATACATTGTATGAAATTATTTTTATAAGGATAATGATTAGGATAAGAATGATGATTTATCTACTTACAATACAAACAATTGTAAACAATTGGAAAAAAAATTGGTTAATTTGTAAATTAATTGAAAAACACAATAAAAAAAAGATAAATTATCAATATCTTGTTTGAAGTAATTTATTATTTATTTATTTTATTATAAATTAATTATAAACATGAAATTGTGTAATAATAAAATATTTTTAACTACTTGCACAAAAACATATGTGTTTACTGAGTAATTAGTTGTATTTAATATTACGCATTATACTTTATTATGACATGTATTATTGTTGACAAACCATCAGTATCAACTGAAATCCGCTCAGAATCGTTTTTTTGTTAGCAATGGCTTATTTTTGCTTACAGATATACATTTAATTCCCTTCTGCATGCTACCTTCTAAACTCTCCACCTACAACAGTGGCTGTACCCACGTGCGATATATGTACATTTTTTTATATAATAAAATGCCCAATTGAAGAAAACAGTTTTAATTATACTATGTTTTACTCAGTATACTTAATTATCATATTAAAATAAATTTACATATAAGTGTACAATGTACCATAAGTAATACAATTATTCAAATCAATTTTTGAGCCAGCATGTAAATTGTTTTGACCCACAAATATATTTCCAACACTATTTAAATATACATTAAATAAAAAATTATTATTTTATTATTATTATTATTATTATATTATATTATATTATCATGGCTTTAAGTTTAGTTATAATCTTGATCCCAAGTTACATTAGATTTTGTGTGCTGCAAAGCGTTTAAAGCATTTGATTAGTTATGCAATTGGCTAAAGATTTTAAAAAAAGATTGTCTCTAAAAATGTTATTCTATTCTGTTACCAGACCTATTCTTGAATATGGTTGTATAGTATGGGATCCTTATACTGATAATAACTCACTGCAGCTTGAACGAGTTCAGCGAAAATTTTTCCATTTTGTCATCTTCATACTCAAAATACATTCACTCTACATGATTATGCCTCGGTAGCTAACTTACTTGGCCTTTCCTCTCTAGCTAAGCGTAGGCGTACTGCTGGAATAAAATTTATTGGTCTATTTAAAAAACGAACCAATTAGGCACCTAATAGTGAGTGCCAATGTTAACTCAAATTTTGGTAATTAATAAGTTAATTTATATTTTGATTGATAACTTAATGTTATATATATATTGTCCAAATAACATGTATTATTAAATGTACAAATGATACATATGTTTAGCTAAGCGCAATTGGCCGTGTAATTAAAAATGAATAAATAAATATTATTATTCTTATTGTTATTTTATTGGAAATTATGAGATGAAACTTAATTCATGCAGTGTAGGGTTTGAAATATACATTCATATCGGATCAATAGTTTCTTAGTAATAGTGATTTCAACATTTTAACATTTCTTCTTTTGTATTACGATGGAAATAAAAATGTAATGTTTTTCTCTAAATTTGTGTTTCCCTGGCACAAAACCTGATTGAAAAAATATATATTTATCACTTTTTCTCTATATCTTCTGCATGACCTACCTTAACCAATAACCTCAATAACAATGAGTTCTACTCTTGTCTAACCCTATGTGATTGCTTTCTTTTTTTCAACAAAATATCATCTCAATTTGTTTTTTTTAATTTTCTCTGGTATCCCTGCCCCCCTAAGCTACCTCTTGCAAATGTTGTACACTCACTACAGGATAAAATATGGTTAACTATTATACATCAAAGCAATTTTCTCTCATTGAATACTTTTAGCATTATCGCATTGTTGTTAAAATAAAATTAATATACACCACGAGTTATATAGTCGAATGATATCTACTTATCATAATTGTTTTATCGCCGTCTCATAGGTTAAAACTAATTTTTCAACGTTTTTGTCACGATTATACGATTTTTTTTTTTACTCGTGCAGTCGTGTCTACGAATGATAATACGTCTATTATCATTCGCGTCGTCTTATCTAAAGTCAATAAGATAAATGTTATTACATAATTAATTGAATAACTTACATGCACTTATCGTGTTTTTAAAATCGACAAAATCGTATTAACTCTCTGCATACTGATTTTCATCAGATAAGCAATTACACGTGTTTTTCGAAAAAAATTGATACGAGATTCCTCACGGTATAACATCCAACCGTATAAAAGAAGTAATTTACTCGTCTGCAACAGTATAATCACATTTCACTTAACTATATTAGGAAATAACGCTCATGGAGCTTGAATATACCCACAACTTCTAGTATGTTCGAAAGCGGGATTATTATATTACACTAATTATTCGACAGATTGTTATGTGCTTAATATTTTTGGCAAATTATTTAAAAAACCCATTCGATTTTAATGCATATAGTAAATAAAATACTATGATATAGTATTTCCCAAATGATGTTTCGCAGAACCCAAAGGTTCCGTGATCTAGAGCAAAGAATGCCGTGAGGAATTTAGGAAAAATAAATTAGTTTTCAATTTGATTATTTTTTTATAATTAAAATTGAGGAGTTCCAGAATGCCATACAAAGTGATTACAAATATTTTGCCGGAAGTCTCGGACTACACCCACTCATCTAAATATCCAAAATATATGTCCACGTTATGAAAAAGAAATTGGGATTTTCCATTACATTCCTCGCTCGGCTCAGAATTCAAAACTAAAAGCTAGATCCAAAATATTCTCATTTAATAAATCAAGCTTTATTTCTTTATAACTTGACTGAAATATAAAATTTTATGATCAAATTACTAAATAGTGTTCATAGTTTCCAAATTTTCATTTTAAGGATTTTTATGTGCAAGTATAATTAAAGACGATATTTTCGTATACTTATATTTCTCATTTCATTTAAAGGAATATCCTGTTGATAATACCAACTTTGGTTTTTCAAATAAAAAACCGAAAAAAACGAAAACCTATATTAAAAATTCCATAAATAAATAATAAAATAATAAAGTAAAAACAAAATTATTAAAATGGTTAATAATCGTAAATAAATATATGAATAAAAAATGTATTTATGATAAGTGTATATTTATAATACTTCATGCGACGCATTCATTAATTTATTTTTATTTTTATAGATTTATTTATTATATACATTTTGATGTTGACATTTTTGATTTCCTTTTACTCGTTCACAAGATATTTCACTTTTAAGTTTTTAGAGGAAAAATAGTGGAGCATAAGTCGTGTTGCAGCACAGTACCTGACGTTTCACTAGCAATAGTGCTCCACTACTCTCCCCCTACCCAAACTTAAAAGTGGAATATCGAGTAGACGGAAATTATAAATTTCAACATCAAAATTTATTTTATCTCTTACTCTGTCCATTTATACAATGTTTAGCTCGTCGTAAGACGCACGGTTTTAGATATCTCATTTACGAGCACGGGGTAAATATTTATCCGTCAGAAATAGTTAACATTTTATTGTTAATATGTAATCGTTTTTGGTAATAATAACTCGTTAAAATTGTATCGTACATTTCTTAGCATTGTGTACAAAATATTTTGGCGATTTCAATGAAAGTTTCATTATACAGAATGATTATAAATGTATAAATATACATATTATATTTATATATATCAGTATTCAATATATTGTAATAAATCTAAAAATACAAATTATTACAGCTAATAGTTGATTTCATAATTACATAATAATAATAATTACAAATTAGTAGGTACAGGTACACAAAAAGAAATAACATTCTTCATCTGCGTAAAATTCTGGACACACGCTAATCAAGTGGTTCCGACATATGAGCTTCATTATACACGTTGTACAGACTTTGGTTGTGTTTCTGTGTATTCGTTCACAGAATGAACATCTACCTCTAATCTTTACTTGAGATTCTTTTGGTAATTATTTACCCCGTACTCTCTAAGAGGTACGGGTTAATATAGATGATTGTCAACAGGATACTCCTTAAATTTTGTGAAAAATCTAAGTGTACAAAAATATCGACTTTAACTGCACTTAAAACTTACCAAAATCAGAATTTGCATACATGCATAGTTTAAAGCTTAAATGCTTGAGCATGCTCAATGAATCACCCTGTATATTATATACAAATGTACAATGTTATTGATATTGATACTTGAAACTTAATATTATTGTATTCGGAGATAAATTAACAAAATACTTGCGTTTGATATTATGCCCAAAAACGATCAGGTATTTATAGTATATAGACGTGAGTTTAATGGTTTTTGCACAACCGTTGCCCACGGAAACTTGTAGAATCGTTCCGGACATTTTGTCAATAGTAAACCTACCTATAGCCATAATAATGTCGTTGGAATTATATTAATTACTATTCCGCTGTCGACGCCTAAAAAAAAAAACCCTGTTTTGGCGATTGTTTTATTGTTTAATACAAATATTTAAACGGCAAAAATATAAAATGTAACGTTTTTGACCATTCGTTACATTTTTTGGTTAGTGGTTCCACACAATTCACGTGTGTTTAAATTAGATTTTTTTGTTTTCATGTAGTTATTTATAATATTTTCGTTAGAGCACTTTAAACAGCTAATATGAAATATCCGACTGTCCTAGATTTAGATTATGGATCCTTTGGCTTATATTATTATTATTATTTTTTTTTTAACTAAAGTGTTGTTATTTTTAAAACAAAAATTCAATTATTTTAATTTTAATTATTATACAGTAGGAATAGGTATTAATTTTATTATTATTATTATTATATAAAAGATATTAACAGTATTTTCTGTATATGTTCTGTTAAAGGACTGATATACAATGTTTTCAAATAGAAAAAAAAAAAAGAGCTGATACTGGGAACGGATGCAGCTACTGTTGTAGGTGGGAAGTTGGAAAGGTAGGATACATAAGGTTATTTAATTTATATCTGTAAGCAACGATAAACCATTGCTGACAAGAGACGATTCCGAGAGCTTTTCGGTAATACATAATTTGAAGTGCCGTAATTTTTTTGAGATTTTCGTTAAATTTTGATTTCAAAACGCTTGTTAAAAAAAAAAAAAGTCATACGATGATTTTGATAATTTTACCACGTTTAGTGACAAGTCCAATATAAGTATTATTACTAAGTTCCAAGTCTCTATGTGTATTTATAATTGAATTGCAGCAAAAAACTCTCAAAAATTAAAATTCCTTAAGAGCTCAAAAAGGAAACAAAAAAGGTATCTTATGATTTTTCAACTTAATAATTTTTTCGAATAAATCGAATTTACCTGCGGTAGGTATACTTTCTACACCCCTTGTCCCACCTATATCAATTTTTAAACATAATTCAGTGATTACAAATTTAATAAAAATAACAGTACTGCGGGCATATTGCTTCCATATTTATATTTATTTTAGGTTTTATTTTATCTGTAAACAACTTTTCGATCAGAAATTTAGCTCCGATTATTAACTTTAAAGGTGGTGGTTTCTGGTAGAAAATGCATTCTAGTTAAAGTTATGCTTTTTTTGATTTTTTGTGAAGTATTCTTAGTAATGATGAAAATCCAAGAAAAACGCCAAAAAAATTGTAATATTTACATACGGTTTCTGTTATATTCGATATTATTTATTTGTTGTAATTCATAAAAATAATCATAGAGGCCGGAAATATTAGCTCTTTTCAAACAATACAATTTTTAAAAAATGTCAAACATTTTTAATTATTCAAAAATATGTATTGTCTCATACGGTCCATTTAAAATAAATAGTAAACATTTTTAACATTTTAAAAATAAATTAAAGGTATGTAGAGTCCCTGTGTCCTCTTCTCAATTCGAGCACTCGTAATCGTATATTAATATGTCAATATAAATAATATTCAATTTGAAATAAATTTCCCCGTAAATATTCATTCATTTTAATACGTCCTGCGCTACAAACTAAAATCAAGTGGACATTTCAGTACGTATATATTAAAACATTTTGGAAAATAATTACTCATATAAATATAATTTATCATATTTAATGATTATTGTTTCAGTGAAAAATATTCAATCAATTTTGCCGCATAATCGATACTCGTATAAATATTTGTTTAAGGTATTACACTATTACATTTTTTTTTTTAAATTAAATTTTTTTAACCCATAGTTCTCATGGTCTCCACGTGCAATAATACTTATAATGTTTTATACTTTTTTTTTTTTTAGTGATAAGGGATATTATTTATTACTCACCTATTAAAAAATCAAATATTATTTAAACTGAAAATTATCATTGTTTCGATCTCTTCGATTTATGATATAACTATTCAAGAATTTTTTTAATTTTTTTTCCATTACTTTACACACAAAAAATATTCATACGTTTGGGTTATTTTTGAATTCTAGGTAAATCTAAGCATTTGTTAGTTTCACAATGATATATATTTTTTTTTTTTATCCGTGAAAAACTTTATTACCAGCTATTTTGCTCTGATTTTCAAGTATAGCGCTTTTTTAGAAAGACTGGGGTGGTACTTTAGGTAGATTATATTTTGATTTTCTCAGCTATTGATAATACATAAACCAGGAATAGTTAATAAACATGGGAAAATAGATATAATGTTAAACAAATATTATTAAACAAAATATATAATGCATGTGTAACTATTTTACCATAATATGGTATACATATATTGTTGACAAAGCAACACTATTAACCGAATTCATCTTAGAATCATAGAATCGTTTTTCGTTAACAATGGTTAATTGTTGTGTTATTAAATTAAATTAAATTTCCTCTCTATCTTCTCAACATTTTACTTAAAACAGTAGCTCATTCATCGTGCAGAGTATTTTTCATATTAATTAAATACTGATAAACTGATACTCATTATAATTTATTAAAATTAGAAATAGCTTCTATACAACCTTAAGCAAATATTTATGAATCAGTCATCTGAATGAATATTTTAACTGCACGTGTGAACCTAACTTAATACATTATGAACGAAAGGTAAAATACCGTTCAAATAAATGTATGGTCTTTCTTGTGACGTTTACCGCAGCAGTGTGTAGGTACGTGTATGGACAGTTATGTATACCACGTATTTTGTATTCGATTTACTGCAAGCGGTTGTTCTGTAAGATTTTGTTTTGTTTTAGCGTTTTACTTGTATTATATTTCGATTATATTATAATCATTTTGACATCCTTTTTTTTTCCGTAATAATAATTATTGAGCTGTCGTGTATATAAAGTTAAAACCCCGCCACATACCTATTTCGATTTTTGTAGAAATTACAATTTATTTATCGTTATTTTTCTTAGGTACGTTATTATTTTATATATTTATATATAAATGTATACTCGTGTATATAAATATATTAAAAATAATTAAAATGGTAATTCATTAAAAAAATATTATTATTAATTTTCGAATGAAAATAAAAACGCATGCCGTGTAAAATATTAATGTGATATTATCGGTTCGCCCGAAAAAACCTTTTTGAAGAAAAATGTTGATAAACGAATAATGAATATGAAAAATATATGCTCGTAAAAAAATTAATTCAAAGTTAACAAAATGTCATACTTTATGAAATTTTAATTTTTAATATTTTTCGATATTATCTAAACAATTCTGAAAAAAAAAAATGGTCTTAATAGTAAAAACTCCAAACAAACATAAGTATTTAGTATGCATTTTTAAATAATTTTTCGCCCAGTATTGCACAACCCGTGACAATGAATATGATTTAAAATGACAGACAAGTAACCTAAAGTTTTTAATAAAATTATAATTTATAAAGGAATATTGTAACCACAATTACCGACCTACGCAACACCGTTACGATGAAAAAATAAAATTAGCCAGGTCTAAACCTGAAATTTTCTCCAAGATGTTAATGTCCTAAGTTAAGATGTAAATCCTAAATCTTGGTCATCGAGAAACCAATACACTTAGTTCACATTTTTAAGTTATATAGTGATAATGCACAAGAACCATAATACGAAATTATGGTATTATACTAATTAATAAATCATAAACCCACCTCATGACGCAATCGAATACACCATAGCAATCCAGCATAGCGTTGCTCTGTGACTATGATAACCTAATTAATATATAAACAACAACTATTTAAAAATGATAACCAAGGGGGGAGGGTGCAGTTATCGTATTTTAAAGGAAAAAGTCTCATGTTCGGGTTTGATTTTCGGGAAAAAGTATACGCACCTGGTCACTGGAAAAATACGAATCCAAGAGCTTACTTATACTCTTACCACGAGTCTATATTATATCTACGCATATAGATATTTGAGAACATTCAGAACTGTCCATTAGATTATTTTGGATATTTTCATAAATATTTCAACGGCAGCAATTATACATTATTTTAATTTGAACGTATTTTAAATATCCCAGAGGCGACCGATCGTCTAAAACCATAATATTGACTATAAACTCGATAGTTTCAAACATTTAGTATCAGGATTTTAAAGTATGTCATATTCCTACATTCTTATATAGACTGCATAAGGAATTACAGGCTTTTTCGAAGAAGAGATTGATCTTCGATCGAAAGATAGAATAATAATAGTTAATTTTTAAGATAGGTACAAACATTTCTGAATAAGTATGATGATTATTATTATTACAAATTATAAATTGTAAACATTTAAATTACACTTCATAAAATAAAATGTAGGTAGGTATAATCTCGTTATCATTATAGATATATAGTATATTAAGTATATTAGCTCAATATTCATATCTTCTTATTTTTAAATTGGATATTATCAATGGTAAACGAGCTCATATTATAATAGTAAAAATCGTATCACTTGATTCTCAAAACATTAAGTTGACATCGTATCCAATCTTCTTTTATTCATGGATTAATGTAGAATTTTATAAGAATCACAAGAATATTATAACATATTATTTTAATGTCGCGGGGAGACACATTATCAAAATTTGTTATGTTAAACAAAAGAAAAATATTTTAATATATTAACGTTACAATTTAATAATATTAAAATCAATAATTATATACAAGTAGTTATGTTTAAGTTCACTTCAGATGATGACAATAAATATTATAGGAATTTAAAATAATTTAATTAAATAAATATTTAAAAACTATAGGATTAGATGCTTAAATAATATATTATTATAATATCAAATAAATGTAGACGACAAAATTCTGAATATTCTGATAATATTATTAAGTAGAGTAAGCTACTTCATGAATTTATCTGTAACTGTTTGTCTGTATGCCCTCTATCTACAACAGTATACACTGTATATACAACAGTTGCGTGTTATAGAATTCGATTTTGACTAACCGATAAATTAAGCTCTAAAAGAGGTTCCTATTGATTTCAGTCCAATCAGTGGCACGATTTCGATAACTTTAACGACAAAAATGAATAATTTACTTAACTAAAATTCATAGAATTGAAAAAAAAAATTCCATTAGGTACGGAAAATCGATATCTTGAATAGTGATAAACAGTAATATTAGTTTGAAAAAAAAACTTTGTAAATTTCATTATTTCCATTATCGATTGATAAATATACATATATAGTATACTGTAGACTGTAATAAGAAGATTAAACGCCTGAAATAATTTTTTTTCTGTTGACATATTTTTAAGTTTGTTTTTCTTATAGTAATTACTACAGCCTTATGCTAATTCTTCTATTTTATATTTTTTTAGAAACTAAACATAAAAGATTTAAACTGTCTAAAAAATTGATTTTATAAAATCCAAGATAGCCAATTTATAAATATGCATTGATATTTTGAACAAAATGTTGGTGTTACAAATATTTACTAATAAATTATTAGTAATAACGAATTGTTAAGTTTCTATAATTTTTTGTAATTTTTCATAAACATATTGATGAATTGGTAGATATTATTTAAATATTTAATAGTGAAAGAACAATAGTTATTTCAGATATTAGATCATCGTGTGATACAATGTTATACATTGCATCATTGTTCAAAAAAAAATTACCTACAAAATTTAAAATGTTTGCCTCGCATTTTCCCCATTTTTTAATGATAAGAAAACATAATCTTGCAGAAATTGACACTCGATAATCCACCTTTCGCGTGATGATAGTAGGGTTAAAATATAGAACAAGGGTTTTTTAAATTTTGTTAATCAAACTTTAAGTAAATAGTTTTTAATTTAATATAAATGAATACTTAATACTTAATTTCATCTAAATATTTGCCTTTTTTATTTTTTGCATAAAAACAAATAGGTTGAATATAGTTTATATGTATTATACCATACAAATTTTAGAATTATTGTCTAAGTATAATTCATAATTTAAAATTTTGTTTGTAAATGTTTTAGTTTTCATAATATTTGAAAGACTGAAAAGTACCTTCTAGAACAGGGGAGTCCAACAAACGGCCCGCGAACCGGTTCCGGCTCGACAAGCTTTTCAAACTGGTCCACCAAATTTACTGTTGTTTTAAAAATTTTATTTATTTGTCAATAGTATTTCTTAATAAAAGTAAAATAATAAAATAAATGGTTTTCTGTAAGGTGATGTTCTTAATAACTATAGAACCTAAATTAGAACTAAAGTGACAAACATTTACAAGTAACGTTTTTGACTGGAACAACAAAGTTTGATGGAAAATATAATGATATTTTAAAAAACAAACAATTCCAAACTTCTCATTAATTGTAAATTACTCGTATCACAAAATAAATCTTAAATAGGCAATAAAAGTAAAAATAAATATACATTTTTTTAAATCTAAAAAAATCGTTTCTATTTTTATTTATTCTTTAATTTCATTACCTTTCTGTTATTCTCAAAAATGTTGGCCCACGATGCCAAAATGTAACTCAGATTTGGCCCGCCATCAAAAAAGGTTGAAGACTCCTGCCTGTTCTACAATATCATCATTCATGAATACTTTCTAATTAGTTCGTTAAACTCATTTTACAAATAATCATCAGTTTACATCTATGATGTACATAATATAATATACCACAAATTGTTTTACTCATTCAGGAACTTATGCTACTACTTCGATACTCCGGTTTGGATAGGATTACTATGGTAATAAATGTTGTCCAAACTATATCCATTCATGAAAAAAATACCATCATTTTGTATTAAAAAATCAGAATAGGTACGTATTCTAATAAACGAGTTCAGGTAAAAAGGTATTTATAAAACATATTCGAATACAGGTACTTGAAAAATTGAAAAAGTATTTTAATATTTTTCGCGTATAAATATTTTAAAAACTTATTGGACAAATACGAAAATTACATTGTTTAAAAATAATCATAATACTATTATCCAGTAATGCCATTCTTAGGCACCGACCGAGATATAGTCCCAATAACTTTTTTTTAGCAAGTGGAACAATGGGCTGATAAGTACTAAGTGATCTGTATTCCGTGTTATATTAGGTCAACTGATGTAATTCAAATTTATTTTTTGCCATATCTCAGCATAATAAGAAAAAAAATATATTATATACATATCATGTTCAATTAAACAATATTTGTATTGGTGTTTTAGTTACACTTAAAAGTCAAATATTCAAATGGTTTTTAGATAGATGTTCCACAATCATTTCCTCCCCAGAACACAAATTACAGATCAGCACCACTGTATGAGTCAATATTGTTTTAATTCGATTGAAAATAAAACTGTGTGCAAATATGTTTATATTTTATAGACACAAAAATATCTATAATTGTTTAAATATTAAAAATTTCTTTTATCACAAATTTAAAACAGTCTTTTGAATTTAAAACAAATGTAAAATAAAATATATATACAAGATGTTCTAGAAGCAAATATTCCACTCTACGGGATAGTAGGTAGGTCCTACGAAGGAATAACCTGTATTACATTGATTTTCACACGGATTAGTAGAACTTAAAACAGCTGTTACTTGAAAACTATTCATTGGATATAAATGTGTGATACATTAAAATTTTCAGAAAAATAAACTCTACACAATGGATATCTTAAAATATTCCAAAAATAATAAAATAAAATGTTATTTTTTAAATTTTTTCAAGAAAAAAAAAAATTAATTCAAATTCACATATTTGTAGTCCTCATCAGTGTGAGTTATATAAAAAAAAATATAATTTGATTATCTTTTTTTATCTCTAGAGATATTCAAGAGGTATATCTTCGTGGAACAGCCTGTATATAGTAAGATACCAAAATAAGCGTATATATAATTTGTATTATAAATAATTGGTACATATTGTACTTTTAAAGGAAAATATACAATATGTGTATGTTGATTTTGACGACTTGGATTGATAGTCATTTAAAAGCTCTATAATTTACATCGTGGGAAGAATTTAAAAATAAATGCATCCTAGGAAGAAGTTGACATTACAGCTAAAAGAAGTAAAAGGTAAACTTGTCGCGAGATGCTTAAATCCCTACCTATACACGCCATCAGGGAAATAATTCGACGAAAATTCCAAAACTAATGGCCGGGAATATAGGAAAACCGATAAATTAGTGTCGTCGTACCGAAAAGTATAAGCACGTACGAATAACAAAACATGCGTGGGAGTTAAACACGTGTACAACTAGATTCGTTTTTCTAAAATATTTTTTTGTTTTGAAAAAAAAAGACCCGAGGAATGTTTGTTTAATAAAATATGTTTTTTAGTTCCGGGGAAAAATTCTGAAAATAAAATGAAATATTAGTTATAATATGAGTATTGTGTAAATAATGTATATTTTTTCGGTTTACTCTGTTTTCTTTTAGTATTTTAGTTTCGGAACGTAGCAAGGGATCTATTGGTTCTACTAATGATGAGTGTTTACTTTTCGGTCTGTGAACAGCTTTTCTACCAAAAATCTTACTCACAAGTATCAAATGTAGCACCTTTCCTGAAAGGTAATTTTATCTTATTGGTGCATTGGCGAAGTCATATTTTGATTTTCTAAAAGGTTTTCGAAAACGTTGATAAAAACCCGAAAGAAAATTACATGTAAAACGGCAAATATTTGTGCGCCATTAGCTTTTTTTATTGATTTTAAGTTTGAAGTTTTAACAGAATACTTATATTTTCTTTCTTTAGACGTGGTAAAATTTTCAAAATATTCTAGCTATTTTTAGGCTATTTATATTCGATATTTTCGTATTTTTATGTATATTTTTATTTGATAGTATCTATTATTGAAATTATACTATATAATTAATAATATTGCTTGAAAATTTAACTCAAGGTATATTACAAGTTGAACTTAGTGGTCGAATAAACAAATTTGAGTTTAAAGCATTTTATTTTTTGCATAAGTGTTGTAAAACCTCTTTTGAAAGAAAATCGTAAAATTAAGGCATTTCAAAATATAAATTAAATAACTTTATCTATCTTATACTTTCTCAACTTCTCATCTACAACAGTGGCTGCACCCGTCCCCAGTATAAGCTTTTTTTAGATTCCGAATGTAGCGAGGGAGCTATTGGTTTTACTAAAATGTTTATTTCATTTTTTTTTCTAGTCTGTGGACACGTTTATTCCTTAGCATCGGAGCAAACTTGCTTCGATTTTTACGTGTAACAACTTTTCTGAAAGCTCAAGTTATCTTGGTGGTACTTTAAAGAGGTAACTTTTTTGATTTTCGACGCAATTTTTTAAATAAAAGCACTTAAGTGAGAAAAAATGTAGGAAAACTTACAATTTCACGATTTTATTATTTTATAAGAACAGACGATATTTTCTACCAGAAAAAATCATAAAATCGAAAACTCCCTAGAAACCTTTTTTGGTTACCTTTTTGATTTTTTTTCTTAAAGTATCATCGTTAACATTTTTGAGCCACTTTTGAGCTTTTAAAGAATTTTAATTTTTGAAAATTTTTTGCTGCAATTCGGTCATAAATACATGTAGAGACTTGAAACTTGGTAATAATACTTATAGTTGACTTACCTAGACATGGTAAAATTTCTTAAATCATTGGTTGAATTTTGTTTTTTTAATAAGCGTTTTGAAATTAATTTTAAACGAAAATCGCAAAAACTATTTACTATCGAGCTGCACTCGGAATCGTCTTTTGTCAAACAATGGTTTATTGTTGTTTGCAGGTAAATGAAATAACCATATATATACGAATACATTTTGAGCCCAAAGAAAAGTCTAACGGGGTATTATTTTTTCAGTTTTACACCGTCACCCCCGACAATTTTTTTTGGAAATTAAAATACTCGACTACATTTCATTCCTTGATCTTCTAAATACATATACTCGTATTATTCTAGATAGAAGTTTTATTCTTGTTTATTATTGGCACTTCACACGAGTAGTAGACAATACGCGAATGTAATAAATAATATTTTGCGAATCACACTTATATCGTTTATATGGTCTTATTGTCGAATTTTCTCAGAAAATAGATGATACTATATTGCAATGTATTGTGTCTGTTGTTTATTATATTAATATAATTATAAATAGGTATACAAAATGTAATATCTATATTATATTGGTTGTAATGCAAATCTCCGTATGGATTAGATAAGAGGGCTTTAGTGAAGTCTAGTAGATAATAATGTTTGTATATTATATTTCATAAGATATATAATATATAGTATTATAAAAACACTCCTGTTGTACAACAGACAAAAATCGAGTTTTAGTTCCGAGATTTTAATAAATATGGCGGAAAGTGAAGAACGAGACATCATCACATGAGGATCGAAAAATTAAAAATAACAAAAATATATAAATAGAAGAGCTGATACTAGAAATGGGAGCATTCTTGTTGTAGGGGGAAAGGTGGGAAGGTAGGTTACATAAAAAGGCCCATGCATCCACAAATATATTGCGCTAACTAAACGTTGCACAATTTGTACAAATAATTTTGAACATGTTCGGATTTCTGCAACTAATTGCGCAGCACGTCAAACAACACCATACACTATACAACAGTTTGTACAACAGCCTTTGTTGTGCATAATATTTGCAGGTATATGGTCCACCCCACCTTATGCCTTTGCAGCATGCAGCAATGGGATCCACACATAAAACGCTATTACTACATGCGGAAGTTCACTGACTTTCGAGATGTCGGATATTAAAGAGACTGTGTGAACTAAGAGAAGAAATAATAATATTTTTATCAAGCAAAAACTGCGACCTTGTTCAGTACTTCAATGACATAGAGCGGAACATGAAATTATGTTATCTCGCAAACATATTTCAATTTTTGAGCTAAACCTGTCTTTTCAAGAAACACAGAAAACCATGTTTCATAATTATATAAAAAAATAGAAGGGCGAAAGAAATAAATTAAGCTATGGATCACAAGAATTCAAAACAACTGTTTTGAAATATTCAGCATATTAATGGAATTCATAAGTGAAGTGAATGAGAATAATGAAGATTACAATTTTACTCAATTTAAACAGATTATTGGTAATCACTTAAATATGTTGTCACTTAAATTTGAAGAGTATTTCCCCTCAAATCAAAACCCAAGAGATGGTTTTTTGTGGATTTTGGATCCATTCAGTTCCAATAGCTCATTAATACTATATCTACGAATGAAGAGGATATATTGGCAGATTCTTTCTTTAGACTTCACGTTAAAAAACTTAAAAAACAATTCATCACTAGATACGTTTTGGATAAAAGTTCATAGCGAATATCAGATGTTAAGTGAAAAAGCATTGAGAGTCCTCCTTCCTTTTCCTTCAACGTACTTATGTGAAAGTGGATTCTCAGCAGTAACTGCAACCAAAACTAAATATCGAAATAGGTTGAATTTGAGAGAAAATCAAAAAATGATTTTCTTAATCACCAAAAATATTCAAAATGAAACAAAAAATATCTCTTGTCATTTTTAGATTGGGGCAATATTTTTGGTAGAAAACATAAGCCGTACAAATTAAGAAAATTAATATCGTTAACGTCACAGTGCTCTGCGAATACTTGCCGTTTTACCTATACATTTCTTTCCGTGTTTTCCCAATTATTATAAAAACCCCTAGTGAAATCAAAAATGCCCTCCCAAAGGTACCAACAAAATAAAATTACCTTTCAGAAAAAATGCTAAACTTGATACTTCGAAACAAGTTTTCTGGTAGGAAAGTTGTTCACAAATAGGAAAAAAAAACACACATAGTAAAACCAATACAGCTACGTTCCAATCTGAATATTTTTCCCTTATTAAACGAAAAAATAAAATTTTAATGGGTCTAATAGTTTGATCACGGAGAAAAGAGAGGGGGAAAACCCCATACTTTGCTTTTATTTACTTACCAGGCTACCTAAATTATTATCTAGCCAGATAATTTTATTTTAATACGAACTTGTGTACTTAAGTTACAAAAGAAAAGTATAATAAACACGTAACCGATGAACTTTTTTTGCTTTTTTTTTTATATACCGATTGGTACAAACTATCATCACGGTATAATAAATTAAGAACGGAAAATTGGAATTGGTAACTATATTCCAAGGAAAACAAATGGATATTATTATAAAATTAATGTCTAAATTTTGGACTCTTGAATCCCTTTTCTCTTCAAAGTACATTTATGGAACTGGTCAGTATTGTACCTAATGCCAATACCTAATTTCCATAGAATATCATTACCCAAATATCTAAAGTGCATTCTTCAAGATTTCAAAATTGCTCCGCATAAACGATTAAACTTATACCGATTTTAGTAAGAACTATTATGTATACCGACTGATGTTTACTTATTACATTTATGATGTATTCGTTTTACTTTATATTGAATTAATGCCCATTATTTTAAATACAATAAAATACATTTCATTTTAAAAAACATATAACTCGTCCTTCGTACAGACAATTTAATTGCGTCCTTTCGTGCGCCGCGTGAACAAAACAGTGGTCGTTTTCGAAGCGAATATTTAAATAGTTATATAATTTTGACTCTCGTATTATGTGGGTACTATCAGATTATTAATGGGTTGTTAGTTTGTTAATATCTTTGAATTTCAACGCATGATTTTTGAGCATTTCATAAAAAATAATAACACATTTTTAATGTAGAATTGCAGACTAACAACTTTATAAAATGGTTTAAAAATTTTAGAAATCAGCAACCTTGCAAATTTTCAAGTTAATTTTTTCCATTATATTACATATTGTCTTGTATAAACATCTCAACGCATTACTTTTTCAATTAATTGGAAGGTATATGTACTGAGTAACTCGTACGACTCTTGAGTTCCTCGAGATTATTATTATTTCAACTAAACGTAGAACTATACAACTTTTTGTATAAGATAAATTATCAAAATTCTAATCGAGCTACCCGCATGTGATATCTCTGTCTAAAAAAACGTACGACGTTACAAATTTGTGTCCTGCTACAAAAATTACTTTGTTCTATTAAACTTAAAGGTAATGACATTATTTATGCAACTATCGAAGATTTTTTTAATATTTTAATTTTCGAGCGAGATATGAAGTTCGAGTATAAGTATGTAAAATATCATAATTAAAAAGCTGTTCTAGGATAATGGAGACGGGTGCAGCCATTGTTATAGGTAATTTAATATATACCTGTAAGCAACGATAAACCATTGCTAACAAAAAACGATTCTGAGCGGAGTTCAGTTGACAATTATGCTTTGTCAACAATATTTGTCATATTATAGTAAAATGATTAAATAGGCATTATATCTTTTTTTTAATAATATTTGTTTAGTGTTGTATCGATTTTCTAGGTTTTCTTACGTTTTCCCGGTTTTCAAATGTTTTTTCCCGGGCTTTCACATTTGCTGGTAAAACTCTTGGAAAAATCGAAAAATGACGTCATTAAAGTAGATCCCCCACCAATTTCCTTTCGGAAAAGGTGCTACACTAAGATGCAAGAACTGCAACAAGATTTCTAGTAGAAAAGTTGCGCATAGATAAAAAAAAAAAGCTCCATTCATTCGTTCCTTTCAGAATCTAAAATAAATGGGTAGTAATACGAGATGGAATCTTCATACAAATTACCTAGTAATTCGTTTACGTACTCTTAATTTTAGTTTTTGCAGTATCTTGTGTCTTTCAACACTATGAAAACGATTTATCTAGCTCTGTATCAGTCATTTTTTCAGTATGGTTCATTAGTATGGGGGAATTAACTGAAAATGCCTTAAAACCTTTACAATTACAACAAAAAATTATTAGAATCTGTCTTCGTAAGCAAGTATTAGAAGGCTCTACTAACCTTAATTTTAAAAATGTTCATGTTATTTCAGTAAAACAGTTGTTTACAAAATGTCAATCATATGAATTTTTAAACACTTAGATAACTGGGTTGATTTTACAAACATTCAAAATAAAAGAAAGCAGAAAGCATATAATGCCAAAATAAGTTTTTGTAAAAAGTCTTTTTGGTAAAAAATTTGTTAATTATCTGGGATCTATATACTATAATTCTTTACTTGTAGAAATCAAAAAAAAAATACTGTTCAAAATAGTTTAAAAGTTAAAAAAATCCGTCTATAATTGGATTCTAAATACTCATAAGTAATTATAAAAACAGTATACTAAATTAGTAAATAAACATATTTGTAACTATGTGCCTCCGTTACAAGCAAAGCTTAAAGGAGGCTCATAATTTCATTCGTATACTTTATTGTTAACATTTGTATAATATGTGTATTGGAATAAATAAAAAAATAATAAGAAATCCGTAGGTATAATTATTAAGTATCTACACGGACTGTAATTCCGCTGCAATATATGATAATTTCAACCAGGGTGAATGACGACGCCACCATGGCAACACCGAGCACACAGTTTATCTAAAATATCATACAAATACCGGAAAAATGTGATATTAAAATTCGATTATAGCGCGCTTGTTCATACGATATTGATATTGTTGATTCTGGGCGTTTTGAAATAAATCACGTATTATTATTATACGACAATATAATGTGCCACTGCCGCTACAATAATATGGCGTGGCACGTTTTCCATAATGGCTCTTTGGATGAACACGAAGTAGTGATCTGTAACAGCGGTATTAATAGTTATTAATTACACCTAGTTATTAATTAGTTATTCTCGCTTTAGTGCCCAAACTTAGTCATCTCGCTAAACCGTTTTACAAGATTACACCTACTAATAAAAAAAAAAGATTCTGCCACTGTTTTAAGAGGGAACTTGGGAAGGAGAATATATAATAGTTTATAATTGTTAATAGTTATATAGTTAATAATTTAATTTATATCTGTATGCAACGATTAAAAGATTGTCTAGTTTATGGATAAAAAGTCATTTTTTTTTTGATTTTCAAAGTAGTTTACAAGATAGTGGTTGTGCTTAGATCAGAGTCCATAATCGATGCACTCCTTGAGAAATCATTAAGAATTATATGATTCCGTCGGTTGCCCGTAGTCTTGATAATACATTTTGATATCACTATATCTGTAGTAACAACTTATCGTATAAGTCAATACAATTTATGTTCGTTAAGTTCTAATAGTTATCATAGTTCATGTTTTAGTTTAGTTTAAATTTTCACTAATTAGGTAAGTTTTCTGAACTTTTTTCAAGGGGAGAAGTCCTTTGATATTGACTTAAAATATATTTAACATACAAAAAATATTTACCCAATATTTATTAATTCATTTTAATTAACTTACATATTAGTTGTTTACTTATTTTTTACTTTTCATAGTCTAAACTCGTATTCTAAAAGGGGCCAGACCTCTTTCCACTCCTTAAAACCACCACTGTTTGTTAGAGTAATATTTTTAATAATCACAAATAATAAACGAGAACAAACGGAAAAACGGCGGTTCGATTACATCATGACTATAAAGAAATAATTAGATAAAGATTTTATATTATGTAGAAAAATAAAAATGTTATACTATTTAATATACTGATGATTTTTTTAAATAATGTAACATTTGTGTTACACACATATGTTTTAAGAGGAGGGGATTTTAAATTTTAAAAATGAATAAAACACTTAAATCTGTATCTGAATATTGTGTACATTAATGTTAATTACATTTGTAATTACTTTAATGCGTATTACCATACTAACTTAACCTTTATGCGTATTAATTGAAACAAAAATATTACCCGTACACCCGTAAAACGATATCAGTTTCCAACAATAGAATAATTGTAATGAATAGGTCGGCCGGGCTTTAGGCTAGGTTAGGTTTGGTTCGATATTTTTCGTCGCCGTCACCACCGATGGCACCGTGCAGATGCTCAGCCTTTCAGTTGGCCGTTTTTTTTTTTTTTGCTCTAATTTTCGAATTTTTTCATATTCGTGTAACAAAGAAATAATTATTTTCATTTTTATTTCTATTACTATGCTTATTAAATATTATACACATTATTTCTGTAATGTTTTATAAACTTTAGAAATTTAAATTTAATTTAAAAATTAAAAGGTGGACAAAATGGCTATATAACATTATATTAACTTTTCAATAATATTATTGAAATTAGTTTAAAATATTTCTGTAACATTATACGTTGCTTTTCAAATCTTAAAGAAAAGTTTCAATAACATTATTTTGCTGTCTGGGAGACATGGTCAACTTGATAGAACATTTTAGCGATTTTTGAACTACTTATAGGTATTTGATATTTTCAAGTTTTTTAGTTTTTAATTTTGGTAAGTTTTATGTGAACAAAATTATTTGGCCAAACAGTAATGTTTGACAATTTTATACGAAGTTCATTATAGATTATACTTTGTGGTTAAACAAATAGTTGAGCGTAATCTAATATAATTTTTACAATGAGAATTTAATTTCATATTTTGAAGAAAATCATACAAATTTTGGCATTTCAAAACATATTTAACTGAATTTCGTTTAGAATCGTTTTTGTTAGCAATATGTACAAATATAAATTTAATAAATTTATGTTTCCTACTTTCCCATTTTTCTACTGACAACAGTTGCACACTCGTCCGCAGTATCAGCTCTTTTTCTGTTCATTTTGTATTTTAAGCTTAGCTTACGTGTCCCGACGACCTGCTTGATGATGAGCTACCTACGTAGGTTTCTATTTCAATATTTGTATACGCTCTACTCACGTATACGCGTTAATAATAAATCTAATCAGAGTCTAACCTATTTCAGAAACGATGGCCATCAGTTCAGACAGTTGACCGAAGGTGAGCCGAAAGAAAAAACTATCATGGACAACAACACGAGCAATACCACTAGCAACAGCACCAGCAACAACACCTTGTTTGCGTACGATTTGTCAGCTCGGCCTGAGACGTACATCGTGCCGATAGTGTTCACGTTCATATTCTTTGTGGGCACCATCGGTAACGGATCACTGGTGTTGATATTCTTCAGGCACAAGCACATGATCAACGTACCCAACATTTACATACTGAGTCTGGCCTTGGGTGACCTGCTGGTCCTGTTAGGTTGCATACCATTCACGTCGATCGTATACACGGTAATATGTGGACAATAGTATATTATATAATAAAGTGGAGTTAAATTTCTCATAAATGTATAAAATTCCATCGTTTAAAAAAAAAAAATGCGATTCTTATATCGTAAACCAGCAATCTACGAATATTTCGAGTATATTTGATTTTCATCGACATTGTATCTTACGTACATTATTTTTAAATCAACCTCGACACGATAAATTTTGCATGAATAAAATATGGCTCATAAACTCTCAAGGTTAAATATCCGTAAATGGTTTCAATACCTAGTATAATTTGTTGCTAAGACGTTATTTTTGTAATATTACCACAACGTTGTTTAATACAGTTGCACATCTCTACAGCTAACAACATTGTGCATTACTTATTAATTCATATAAGCATATTAAAAAGACGTACGTGATTCCGCCACTATTTAAAAGGTCACGTAAATATAATTCCCAAGCAATTTAAAAATAGTGAGACTAGAGTTATCAACTCAAAAATATTCAAACTCAGTATTGAATAACTATACCATAAGTATTTGTCTTGATGTACGAGGGCATACCAAAAAAAAAACCTAACTATTTTTGTACAAAGTTATTTATTTAATTTTTTTACAAAAAAACATTTAATCTTCTTCAAAGTACTCTCCGTTGAAGTTAATGCACTTGTCCAATCTTTTGTTCCAATTTTCGAAGCACTTTTTAAACTCATCTTTTGTGATGCCTGCCAACGCCTCCGTCGTTTTTTTTTTTAACTTCATCAATGTCCGCGAAACGCTTTCCTTTCATGTTCCTTTTCATTCTGGGGAATAAAAAGAAGTCGCAGGGAGCCAGGTCTGGTGAATATAGTGGATGCGACACAGTGGTCATATCATTTTTGGTCAAAAACCACCGTACAGAAAGGGCTGTGTGAGCAGGAGCATTGTCGTGATGAAAAAACCAGTCTCCTGACTGCCACAAATCAGGTCTTTTTCGCCTCAAACTGTTGCGTAATCTTTTTAACACCTTTAGGTAAAATGCCTGGTTAAATGTCTGACCAGGTGGAACAAACTCCATATGCAACTTATATTAAAAAGTCCATAAATAGATGAAATATTAATTAAAATACATTTTAGTATTGGAATGCTTGATTTCCTAATGGCTACACAAANACAAACTCCGAATGGACGACTCCTCTCACATCAAAAAAACAAATGAGCATTGTCTTAATGTTTGACCTCACTTGACGAGCTTTTTTTAGGGCGAGGCGATGCTGGAGTCTTCAATTGGCTCGATTGTTGCTTGGTTTCAGGATCATATCCATAGCACCATAATTCGTCACCTGTAATAACCTTGGAAAAGAAGTTTGGGTCATTTTGGAATTCTTCTTTCAAAGAAGAGCATGATTCCACGCGGCCTTGGTTTTGCTGCTCAGTTAGCAGTCGAGGAACAAATTTTGCAGCCACCCGTCTCATCCCCAAATCTTCACTTAAAATTCTCTGTACTGAACTCCATGTCACACCAGATCTTTTCACTACTTCTTCGATAGTTTGCCGTCGATTTCCAGGATAATTTTGTGAATTTTTCTACATTTTCATTGGTTCGAACCGTCGAAAGACGTCCAGAGCGAACTTGGTCATCTATCGACATTTTACCACTTTTGAAACGGGAAAACCACTCAAATACTTGAGTTTTCCCTAAAGCATCACCTTTGTAAGCTGTTTTCAACATTTCAAGGGTTTCTGTACTTGTTTTCCCGAGCAGGAAGCAAAACTTGACGGCCGCGCGCTGTTCACGCAAATCAGTCATTACAAAAACGACGAGTACGAAAAATAACTTTTAAAAAAAATATCACACCAACGTAACACAACCTTCCACGATGACGGCCGTTGGCATATTGAATGTTGAGAAGTATATTTATACGCCCCTACCAGAAAAAAATCGGTACTACTAAAACTCTGTCCCACACAACATCAGTTCGGTTTCTTTTGGGTACACCCTCGTAAACTAAAATTATTAGATGCCATTAGTTTTTCGTGCAAATTTAAATTGAAAAAAAAAGAATGTATTGCAAGTGTGGTTTAGGGTTTTAATATTAAATTAGTCAGTACTAAAATAGTAGTCTACACAAACTACAATGTGCAAAGTACCATATGAAAACCACACAATTGATTTGGAACACAATAATTTTCAGATTTAAAATGAATACAATGATTTTAAAGAAACTAAACTAAATCAAAACATGATTAAAATTAATTTTTTTACAAAATACATCATTGCGTAGTACTATTATTTGTACTCATAGTTGAACAAGTAGTGTAAAGAATATTATTTTATAAGCATTAATTTGACGAGGCTGAATAATTTATATTATTTGATTTGTATTTGACCCGAAGAATGAAAGGGGAGCTAAATTTTCTGTCTTTAACAACTTTTAAACCAAAAACCTTGCTCCGATTTTCAAATATAGCATATTTTCTGAAAGCAAATTTTCTCTATTTGGTGTAATAAGTGGTCGTTAAAATTCCTTAAATTTTTTTCTATACAGTTCAATTCAATAAAGCATAACTCCACGTTATAGTAATGTGAAGTGAATAATACCTATGCACGAGACTTCAACGATGACTATAACATTAGCAAATTAAAATACCGGTCGGAATCGCAATAATTTTCTAATCGAGAATTAATATACAAGTAAACCCTCGTAGATAAGTAATAACTAATACGTATTAAAATGGTATAGTTGTGTGGTAAATGGGACGAGGATATTTATCAACGGTAAATATTTAATCGCTGTTGGTAGGTTTATTATAAATGTTCCCGAAATAACATCATTCGTCAACCAAACGTGTTAAACTACTTATATTGGGATAACGACGAACAATAAATAATATTGTTTCCGAAATAAATTGTTAGGAGAAATTATATCCGGTAAGTTTATAGCGCCATGATTACTTATATACATATAAAATTATACCTATCATAAATGATATGAAGTTTGGTCGCTATTATTATATATTTAAGAACAAATTATATTGAACACATGCAATGTTTGTGTACATACCTTAAATAATTTAACGATATAAAAACCAATGTAAACTTGATAGAAACAATTTCAAATATCTGTAATAACACAAAAAGTAAAGGGGTAATAACTAATAAGTAATTTAATATCAGTCATAATACAAAGACTAACAGGGGAAAAATAAGAATGAGAATATATTAAAATAAAGGAAAGAAGAGAGGATTTTAAAGTGAAAATGGGGTGCTCAGCTTTATAATTGTGTTACTTCCTCTTTCTACCTGATGTTTGGAGAAGTTCGGAGTCATGAATCCGAAAATGATAACAAGGTTAATTGAAAAGGAATACAATTGTTTTACGAGCCATTGGTATTAGAATGCTCGGGTTATATTGACAGTTACAACTGTCCCCATCTGTTTCTTGGATTTTTGGACATCAGTGACAATTCAATTAAAATATTCTTATTTATGTACCTATTTAACATTCCAAAGCTACGTGCACTCGAATAAAGACATTATGTTGATATTTGAATCAGAATGGAAAACGATTGAACCGTTAAAATAAATGTATATAGAAATTATACTAGTGATTAGCTGCTAAAAGTCTGAGCTAGCTTGACTCGAAAAAGATTTATGAAAAAGGTTGGTGGTTCATACTTGTTCCCTACAGTGTTCTCGACAGAGTGATTATTGAAGGAATTTTTCGAGCGGTCAAGGCATTCGAAATGCTACGAACAACCGCTTTATTTTATGAATTTTGAGATTCCATCAGTCTTTGCGTTGGGGCTGAAAGAATATAATCCGTTAATAATAAAGTTATATTCATTAGCATTTTGTATAGAAATCATAAAAGTATTCAGGGTGCAACTACGACGACGGTAGTAACATAAATTTATATTTTATTTAACCAGTATTAAAATATTTCGGTTATGTATCGATCAGAAATTATTTGTAAAATAAGAATGTAATCACAAAAACGTGTTCATCAAAATCGAGATAATTAAAAACATGAACATATCTGGCATAATTTTATTAATAACTTTTGAATTAATTAAATTTGTTTGACGTTTATATTCGTCAATATAACACGATAAATTTGTATTCGATAGTTACTGTTACATTTTCTGTCACTGTTGTTGTTTACGTTAACTTAATCAGTGTTACTCAAGTTTAATTCAGTATTTCAAATAGTAGACATGTTTTGGTGATGCCATTTTCTGTGAACAGTTTGTTACATTGTTTACTGTTGTTTGCCACATGATTGCAATACAGTTAAAACCTTTTGTTAACTATACAATGTATAACCAATAACCAATATCCAAAGACAGTAAATTCAGATTTTAATTATTGTTTGCTGATTTCTGCGACCCGATAAAAGTATATTAAGTTTTCAAAAAATCGCAGTAAACAATATCATCAAAATAATTTGTTCGTTAAACTTTAGTAACCGGATTGGTCAAAACTACATCACTAAAACTACACACCTTATATTTGATAGGAAAATAATAATAGTTTTTTGACTTTCCTGAGTGATAGCAGTATTATTGACAGATAAAACCAGTTAACTGTTAGTCGTCGTTTTAATATGAGTGCTTACGTCATTCAAAATACAAAACGTGAATATTATTATTTTAATCGCGTGTCACAAAATCTCATTTTAAATATATTGTATACACACAAATAAAAGAGAGCGGTTGATCTTTAAACGCATTTTAAAATGTCACCGTGATGTCATTTTCGTTATCATTTAGAATATTATACGTTATCTTATGATAATATTATACTTAATATACCTATTTTATAAAAAAAAAATAGCATTCATTTAATTTTTAATTAACATAACGTAAGACACTTATTATCTTGAAAAGGATTAATATTTTTTTGGAATTTGCTTTTCAGAACATTTGAGAAATTAGTAGCTCTAAGATGTTATGAAAATAATTGTGAAAAAATAAGGACAGTGTAAAATTTTAAAATACATAATTCCAAAACGTTTTTAATTTTTGAAAAAATTAATATGTTATGTATAATTTGACTATAACATGGAATTTAGAAGACCCTGTATATATATATATGATTTAATAGTCATCGGGAATAATTTAACTTGTGTTATTCAAGTATACCTACGTGAATACGTGAATAACTACCGTACTCGTGTATATTATTATATGTATTTTTTAAAGATTTATTTCAAAAAATAATGTGCTCCACGGAGCATAATGTTGCTTGGAATACGAAACTAGGTACTTCAACTTGACTTTTGTGTACACAAGTAGTGCACGGTCGGAGGCCACGAAAGTGATAGAAGAGAATCAATTATGAACGCAGTATGTGCTCCGATAGACTATCATTCCCAATAAAATAATATTGGAAAACAATTATTATTATTTACCAGTTGGAAAAATTTAAGACAGACAGAATTGTATTTTATTTATTTCAAATTCAGGGATTTTTTTTCCAATTAAACGAGCCCCACCCTTACAAACATCGAAATGTTACCACTTAAATGTACCGGCCGGAGGAACACACCAGCCGACAATATGCATTTAGTTATTTAATTTTATCTCATTTTTTTTTTTTTTTTTTTTTTTAAATTTGTTTTTACAATCCGTTACAATGTAAAAAAAGGCGAATGATAATTATTTATGTTCGTAATATAAGAATCTTCAGAGAGCGAAAAAAATAATTGACAATGTATCTTGGCGAATGTACCTGAAAATGTTACTGTAAAACGTATTTTTTAAAAAAATAACCAAACATACTTCACCTTACATGAAACATAGGTCCAATTAAAACAAAGCTCTGTTAAATATGTTAAAAACTTGAAATGCAAACTAAAATTCGATAAAATGGTACCAAAGGGTTTATTTCAGGAGGTCTGCTAACAATTTCAGAAATCTTGGTCCGAATGTCTGACTGTAATATTTATGCCAAAGCAAGTATTGTCTATTCGATGCATTGGGGAATTAATTTTTCAATTAGAAAAAAAGTACGGAAAAACAGTTCCATTACTTTCCATTTAGTTTTTCGTTGTGGTTCAGAAAAATAATTTTATGGAATATGATGTTTTTATTAGAAATGTATAAATGTGGACAAATTATCAAAACATTCTGGAAATTTTTGAGTAACTTATTAAAGGACTTTAAAATTTATGAATATTTTGATTTTTTTGATTCTGAGCGGAGCGAGGAATGTATTGGTTTAACACTGATGTGTTTTTTTTTTTACCGGTGAACAACTTTTATACCCGCAATTTTTCTCAGATTTTCAATTAAAGTACTTTTTTTGAAAGGGAATCTTATACTTTAAAGTGAACATTTTTGATTTTCCAAGAGTTTTTTCAATAAATGTGAAGAAACGTAAGAAAAACGGAAAAATTTACGAAATGTATTATGTTTTCAATTGTTTGTTTTTTGTTTTGCGTAAGTTAAAAATATTTGTAGATTTTCAAAATAGTAATTTTATAAAACATATTATTTTAAACATTTTAATGTATCATACATTCATACCTGATCAACAGATTCTTAATTATAGCCGTTTTAATTTCCAGAATATAGGCATGAAAATAATTAATATTCAATAGAAAGAAAATAATTAATGGGCTGATTGTGATTCCCTATCGCATAACGTGTTATTTTATTGAATATTAATTGTTTTCACACCTATTTTCTAGAAATTAAAACGGCTATAACTAAGAAATTATTCATCAGATATGAATGTGTGCTACATTCAAATTGTATGAATATTTTTTATAAAATGGCCATTTTGAAATTTTTTAAAGTAAATAAACAAAGTTATTTTTTTTTTTTGTGTGTATATGTGTTTAGGGGATGAAAATAAAAATATAATTTTTCTCCAAATCGATGTCCTTCTTGAAGACAAGCCGATTGAAAAAAATGTAATATTAACAGCACTAGATAAATCCGTCAAACATAATGGTGGGACATACTGTATATATTATTGACAAAGCAAAACTATTAACTAAACTTCGCTCAGAATCGTTGATCGTTAGCAATGATTAATCTTTTCGTACAGATGTACATTAAATATCCCCTCTACCTTCTTCTACCTTCCCAACTCGCCAACAACAGAGGCCCGCTCATCGTGTAAAGTATGTCCGTATTTTTATAGATTCAATTGGTTTGACCGAGCAAAAATGAACAAAAATTCAACTCATGAGGTTCTCATAAATTGTACTATTCAATGTCAACAAAAAAAAATAAGTAGTAGCTAAGGTTTTAGTATTAATAGGTTTTTTTTATGTCAGCTTTTAACTCAAATTTTGACAATAATCCTAAAAATCACGCCATTGCCATTGCAACACATGTTTAACCAAATTTCACTAAGAATCATTTTTCGTTTGAGTAATTTTTCTTTCTTTGCGCCTTTGAATTTACCCATAACCACAGACGAGTTTAACAAAAACTTCGAAATTCCGCACGTGATATCTATATTTAACTCTTTCGATTATTATATTATAATTCGTATAACATTGCATACCTAAAACACTAACAACTGCAGTCGTATTATCCAAATATTTCATCAAAAACAATAACAGTAAATAATATTGTTATAATTGCAAAACGTCGAACGGCGATCTGCAACCTAACCAACGCCGCACTCGACCTAACTTAATCTATTTCGTTGTTATTGGCAGGTGCCATCGTGGCCGTTTGGGACGGCCATCTGCAAGGTTTCCGAGACTACCAGAGACGTATCGATCGGCGTGACCGTGTTCACGTTAACCGCCTTGAGCGCGGATCGGTTTTTCGCCATCGTGGACCCAATGCGCAAGCTGCACGCGTCAGTAGGTGGTCACCGGGCCACCAAGTTCACTGTCACCGTGGCCATCACCATCTGGTGCCTTGCTATCGCGTGCGCTGTGCCAGCGGCCGCCTACTCGTACATTAAACCATTTATTAACGGCAACGTCACGCAATTAGAGGTTTGTTACCCATATCCCGATGAACTGGGACCCGAATATGCGCGGCTCGTCGTCCTGGTCAAGTTCCTGATCCACTACGTGATACCGTTGTCCGCCATCGCATGCTTCTATATCATGATGGCCAGACACCTGATAAATAGTACCAAAAATATGCCCGGCGAAGTCCAAGTCAGTATACGTATACTCGCCTCCGAATCACTGTATAGAGTTGACAATTTTAAAATCCATGAAATCTAAAAATGGATTTTTAGTGCAATATGCCCAAAATTAACGAAATAAGTATGCACTAAAAAGTGTATCTATATATCGGAAATATAGAAATTTATTTAAGTACCAAGCAAAAAATGGTCCCCTAAGGGTCTGCGAAGATATTAGGGAGTTCGCGGAAAAAAAAGTGTAATGGCGGAAAGAGTGGAATTTGTTGTATTTGATTGAAACAGCTTGTTATTGGTAAAATATTGTAAATATTGTAAATCGGATTTTCATAATATTCTAATATTCTCATCACGTTATACAAACTTTTCTTATAAAATTGGTTTATTCCCCGTGTAAAAAATAGTAATCTTTTCTATGAATTCTTCATGTTAAATTTCAGCAACATTATTTGTTCGTATTTGTTGTTATATTACTTGATAATGATTTTAGATACAGTGCGTGGTGAAAGATCTTTCAGTTTAACTATAATGTGTAAATAAACACACTAGTTTAATAATAATTTTTTTTTTTTCTAAAAACAACTTTTTAAAATGAAATCATGCTCTAATGTATCAAATGTAGCACATTTTCTTATGTTAAGATAATAATATCTCTAATTGGTGCATTAGAGATGACATTTTTTTGATTTTCCATGAGGTTTTCAAAATAAAGAAAATTATAGATAAAACGGTAAATATTTCGGGCTGGTGTTACCAATTGTATTGTTTCTAATTTTTAAGCGCGATGTTTTCTACCATAAATATTGGTCTAATTAATACAAAATTATACATTTTTTTTTGTTTATATAATTGGTGCGTTAGAAAGTTATTTGTTGATATTTCTTATATTTTTTTGAATGATTGAGCAAAACTGAAATAAACGTAGAAAGAGAGGGAAAATTTAGGAAAATATATGCGTTAGAATCTATACGGAGTGTGAAAATAACGTTTTGTACGTGTTTTTCAGATTAAAAGAAGTCCAAGTTATTGATTTCCAATTCTAAATTTTTTTTACCAGAAGACTTGCTCAGATTTTTAAGTGTAGCACCTGTTTTGAAAGGAAATCGGTGTGGGAAGGTACCTTAAAGGGATCATATTTCGATTTTCTCAGGAGTTCTCAGCAAAAATGAAAAACTGGGATAAAACATAGAAAAACTAGGAAAAACGTAGAAAAACTGGGAAAATTGGTACAACATTAAACAAAATATTATTATAAAATATCTAAAGCCTATTTAATTATTTTACTGTAAAATGACATACTGTTGAAAATGCATCATTATAAACTGAACTCCTCTCAGAATCATTTTTTTGTAAGCAATGGTATATCACGGCTAACAGGTATGCATTCAATTATCTATAACAATGGCTGCACCCGTCCCTATTATCCTAGGATGTCTTATAAAAGTTAATTATTTAAAATTTGTAGAGTGTCAAAACATTATTTTAAGAGATTTTTTTAATGATTTTATAGAGCATTCTTTGCCTTAGTTATTATTATTAGCCTCAAAATATGTATTAATCAATATAATGGTGTTTCTCGGTCCGTTTTGCGTTATGTATAAACAATATTATATTTTCAAATCAAACCTAGCATGGATCCAGAGTAAAGATCAGAAAGGATGTGGAAAAGCCAAGGTTTATTTGTGACTCATAAGTGTTATCTAAAACATGCTTCTGATATACTTTCTGGGAACCAATATTGTATGTAGTGGTCACGAATATGTATGAGAATTACATTGGAAATCCTGTAGCACAACTATAACTATAAATATAACGTAACGTGGAAAAAAAACCGTCATGTCCATGATCCTGCTCCATGATAAGGAAGTTAATAATTTAAGTGACTATCTACAACCTTTATTCGTTGAAAAATCTCGTAGAGTATAGAAATTAAGAATGAAAAAATGGAAATTATTACGTCGTGTTTCGGGCAAATCTAAATTTGATAATACTTTTTTGGTGAACTGTCTACCATTATCCAACATTTCAGATAAAAATGTTTTTTTTAAAGGATATTAGAAATTGTGGGTTGTTAACTATATAAATTAAATATTAAATTGTAAAATGAATTGTAAATAAAATTATTAAACAACTGAAAAAATTAAAAAACAGGTTTACTAAAGATTTACCTCGGTTGAAATCGTAATTCTATATTCGTGATATTATTGTTCTTTTCAAGCGTTTTAAGCATTTCAAATTTTAGCAAAAATCATAAAAAAAAAACATCCACACGTTACATATTATTTTCGTTTTAGAAAAATTAAATTTTTTGCTGCATACAAATTTGATCTAAGGTACATTATATTTATTCGTAAATAAAATTTGAACGTTATGACATAAATACTTTCTACAGGAGTTTCAAAGTTTCAAAGTTCAAATGTATAAAAACATTTTTATCTACATATCGTATTTCTGATGAGTAATTTAACCCTTTAATCATTTATTCATTTTTTATAATCACCAGAAATATTAATTAGATTAATTAAAATCGTTAAATGAAAACTAAAATTAATTAATCTATAGCCGTTTAGAATTCACAAAGGGTCCAATTTACCAGAAATAGATTTGAATGAATGTCGAGGCAATCGTCATCATTTCGGACTGAATTAAATTAATATATTTGCTAGTGTTCGCTACTACAAAGGTCTATAGTACCGCCTATAGCTTCGTAAAAGTTTACACGTATATTGCATATTTAAGAAAAGTTATTTTTGTAAGATTTTACCATCATCATTTTCGTTTTAAATCCGTTTTAGATATATTGCAATATAATAATATACAAACAGTGTACGTGATTGCTTTCCGAAAAAGCTTCTCGAATAGGTCAAGTTAAAAAATTTTTTTAAAAAAACGATATTACACTCATAACCTACAGGGTGATAGTATTAAAAAAATATGCACTCCACACTTACAAAGATTATTCCAATATACAGCTTAATCAAATTAACAAGAGAAAAATATTATAACGGAAATCAAGCAAAAAAATAACATTTCAATTTGTCACGTTACATATACAGGTGTCCCACGAAGATATACCCATAGTGACAATCAAATTATGTTTTTTTTTTTTATATATTAACACTACTCATAAAAATAAGGACTAAAATATTTATATTTCAATTAAATTTTTATGTTTTCATAAAAACCTTAATAAAATAATTATAACTAAAAAGGTAAATAATTTATTTATTATTTTTCAAAAATTTGAATACAGCCGTTTTATCGAGTTTATTATTCTGAATATTTTAACATATCAACTTTAAAAATTTTCATTGAATTTGTGATTTTAAATAATTTTACAATGTTCAGAGAAAAGTACCTATAATCATACAGTAGGCTATAATTACATTCGCTAATTGATTATTATTATGGCAAATTGAATGTACACTTTTTTTTCTAAACTTATTAAAAATCACAAATTTACTGAAAATAAAAAGTTCATACGTCAAAATATTTAGAAGAATTACCCCTATAAAATCGCTATCTTCAAATTTTTTGAAAATAATAATATTATTATATTTTTAATTAAGGCCAGACGGCTTTTACAGTAAAATATGATATAAAACAAAATAATCACAATAATTACAATACAAATTCAATAAAAAAAATGTAAACGTTAAATATCAAAAATACAATACGTGTATCATTACTATTATTAAGATATTAAAAAGAAATGGTTTTTAATAAATATTTGTAGTCCTAATTCCTGTGAGTAATAAGGAAATAAACAGAATTTGATTATCTTTATTATCGCCGGATACCAGATGTATGTATTTAATTGACTATAATATTTACAGTTAATAAACAGTTCAAGATACAAATAATAATAATTTACAAAATAAATAATCACCAAATAAAAAAATATGTAAAAAACGAAAAAAATTTAAATTAAAATGTCAATAAATAGCTCAAAAATGGTTTAAAATTGAAAATTTTACTATACCTAGAAAAATCAAACATAAGTTTTGTGTCAAAATGTCAAATTCCAATGAATATTTTAAACTGAATTACAAAAAAATGAAAATAATAAAACCATTATTTTCGTAAATTTTTTCTGAATTAAAAAAATATGTGCAATGTAATATTTTTATTTTTTATGAGAGTTTTAACATAAAATTTTAGCGAAAATTGTCAAAAATAGAGCCTTTCAAAAAATGTATAATCGAACTTCGATCCAAATCGTTTTTCGTTACCAATGGCTTATCGTTGGTTACAGATATAAATTAAATAACTTTAAGTATCCTCCCTTTCTAACTTCCCCTCTACAATAGTGGCACATCCGTCCCCAGTATCAGCTCTTTTTTTTTTATTATATGTCACGCAAATGTCATTAACATAGCGCTACACCTCATAGCGAGGCCGAATCGCATCCCAACTCTGACAAGTTTCCAGCCATTACTTCCTTCCAACCGCCAGCCAGCAGTCATACAATTATAAACAATTTGTATGTTTTTTATTTATGAACAATCTAATATAATATATATATACCTTTTTTACGATTAAAAAAAAAAACCGGATTGATTAAATATTATATATAATGTCCGAGTACTTTATATTTAAACTTATTAATACTGTTTCTAACGTGTGATGGAAAAACGCATTTAAAATAAATAATTAATTTGAAAATGTTTACTTTTTACTTAATTCTTAATTTTTAACGACAGCAAAAACTTATATAAAATATATGAGCACGAGTGGAGCTTTTAAATAAAAGTAAACATATCATAAAATTACTTTATATTTATCAGTAGGAATTCGTTGTAATTTGGAAAAAAATCGTATTTTTTGTCTTTTTTGGTTTTATTCAATTATTATGAAAACTACTTTGCATATAAAAAAACGATTTTATTTATCAGTAGTTGAATGGCGCAAAAGAAACAAAATCAAACCTAGTTATTTTTCAATTGGAGCAGTATTTCTGGTAGAAAACATAAGTTGCAAAAAACCTACTTCATAAACATAAACGTATTCTACCAATCTATTTATTAATAAACCAATTAGTATTTTATTCGTATAAATAGTACAAATAAAATATTTGTTATCAATCCAATAACCGAGTAAATGTTGAACTACAGGGTCAGATGCGCCAGGTGCGTGCCCGGAAGAAAGTGGCTAAAACGGTACTGGCATTTGTGTTGGTGTTCGCCGTGTGCTTCCTGCCCAACCATATATTCTTGTTGTGGTTCTACAACAATCCTAAGGCCCAGGAAGAGTTCAACGCATTCTGGAACGTGTTTCGGATCACCGGGTTTTGCCTGTTGTATACCAACTCGTGTATCAATCCCATTGCGCTGTACTTACTCAGCGGTACTTTCCGCAAACATTTTGACCGGCAGCTGTTCTGGTGGTTCGTTAAGTCACCAGGCGCAACAACCGTTTCGCGGAACGGTCATATTATGCGCCGAAAGAACGGCACTCGAGAAAAGGATCGGGGCACAATAAATGAATCAACAACCATGGCTAACGTTCAGATGAGCACGTTCACCAAGCGGACCACCGACATGAGCACCACCACCACAGTGCTCGGGTGCGGCCTCCAGGACGTCATCAATGTAGTATAAGGTAAGTGAAGTAAAATTAATATGATTGATTACAGATTGTAATATAGTAATACGAACTACACTGATTATTGGGGCCAAGATTAAAGATAAACAAGTTCTTGTAAGACAGCAGTCATACCAGACGGTGAACACTTCGAATTATAGATACAGTGAAATCCTTATAACGGAATCGCTCAGTACCAACTGAATTTTTCAGTTATAAAGGAGTTTCCATTACAGGGAAACTAAAATATATGGGTTATGCAAAACTATTGCTTTTTCTGTTTTAATGAAATCTCCATCTTATAGGGAGGTTTTATTGTATTTGTTTATTACGGCACGTGACGCAAGGATAATTTGAATAAAGGATATAATATTTAAAATTTGAAATTATGACTTTAAAACGTAATATAAAACCAAAACAATAAACAAAAAATAGAACTGATACTGGGAACGGGTGTAGCCACTGTTATAAGTGGGAAGATGGGAATATGAAATACACAAAAATATTTAAAATAAATATATGCAAAGATAAACCATTACTAACGAAAAACGATTCCCTAATTTTTAAGATTTTTGTCAAAATTTAATATCTAAAAGATTATGAAAAATAAAATGCATTAAACGGAAATTTGATTTTTAGACCATTAAGTACTTATAATATATCTTGTGTTAAATTTGCAAGCGTTATCAAGTCATATCATTTTAATAATGCATAACTACCAAATAAAAATGCAAAAACAAAAACGAAAATATAAAATACCTATAAATCGCCTAAAAATAGTTGGAACGGTTTGAACATTTTTTCATACTCACAAAAGGCTAATATAAGTATTTTGTGAAAACTACAGATCTCTATATTAATTTTCAACCGAATAACAACAAAAAGCCCAAATGTTGTACACTTTGCTAATTTCCTACGTTTTTATTACTGTTGTGTCGGAATTATTAGAAATCTATATGGAGAATCAACATTGAAATTTTTACTCATAAACTAGACAAAATTTTATTCAAAATATGTTATTTTTAAATTTGGATAATGATTTCTAGTAGAAAAAAAACAAATGAAATTTTTGCGCCGTAATTTTATCCGGCCTAATTATTATGAAAACTTCTTAAGATATCAAAAAATTACGTACAAACATGATACAATGGGTGGGCTAATGTTGTAAATAAGTACTTGGGAAGGTAGAGGGGAAAATTTAATGTACATCAGTACGCAACAATTAGCCATTGCTAACGAAAAATGATTCTGAGTGGAGTTTGGTTGATAGTATTGCTTTCAAACTTTGATATTAAAATTCTTATAAATATTCTTATTCTATATTACTTTTTTTTTTTTTTTTTTACCACACATTATGACTTATAATGAAACTCCTGTTAAATTGTCTAGCATTTCTGTTCGGTCTAACCTACCGAATAAATTTACTTAAAAAATTTGCAAAATTATAATAACTATAAATAGCACAAAAATGGATACAATGTTTTGAAAACTTTACCAGGCACGTCTAGAAAAGGCTAATATAAGTTTCCTGTTCAAACTTCAATTAAGTTTCTACAAACATTAATTATTAACTGAAACAATACAAAACAAAACAAAAATCAAAAATCAAAAAATTGGAAACATTTATTTCGTACATTTTTCCATTTTTTCTAAGTTTTCCCCGATCTTTCCCATTTTGTATGAAAATCAATAAATGACTTTCATGAAGTACCACTTCAGTCAAAATATTCTTCCAGAAAGATTTCTACACTTGAGTAAAATTTTTGGTGCAAAAGTTCTTCACAGGAATCATTGTAAACCTCTCTAAGCTCAGAATCTAATAAGAACGAACGAATTGCAACTCATTGTTAGTTTTTATCACGATTATCTATAAACGTGGTACCAATATAGTGTAGTTGATTCGGTTCGTATAATAAAGTTTATATTTTTTTTTCACTAGGTATCATTTTATCAAATCAGTTGTTCTCATGGGTTAAAAAGAGAAAATTCCACCTATCTTGGTTACCAAACTGGCTCTGCGTATAAAACAGGGACGGCCCATTCATTTTTTTTATTATATAAATGATAGAAGATGATTTTTAAAGGTATATAGAACGTCTCTATTCGACGAATGGGGACGTCTCGAAATCAAACGTCGTGTACACGTTTTCGCGAAAACGATCAAAATGCTAATCATATTCAAGCAATAATAGTATGTCGATTTAATTATGATGTGGTGGATGGCCGTTTGAGGGCAATTTGGATCCTACGTCAAAATCAAAACCTCGTTGTGCGGCCAGCACAATAATCAAGAATCCGTTTAATTAACACTACTACGGTTTTCCCCGCAGCAATATCGTTTTGCTTTTCTATTAGCCGAAATTCGACGGGCCATATTTCTCGCCTTGATTTATGGAGATAAAATCCTTCTGGGGTCATCTATTAAAAATAATAACTTTGAAATAGATATTATTCTTCATCCCTCGCAACCCACAATAAACCTTTTACGAACTCATTAATTTTTACCTAGCCACAAATTAATTTCACCCCATTGAAACAAGTAAGTATACTCTCATAGAATATTTGAAGGCTGATTTCAAACAATTTCCTGTATTTTTAAATTCTTAGTGGAGTGAGGAATGTATTTTACAATGATTGTTTTTTTTTTTTTATTTAACTTTTTTATCAGCAATTTCACTCCAGTTTATAATGATATAGAACTTTTTCTGAAAAAAAATCTGATAGAGGTGGTACTTTAGGAAGGTCATTCTTTGATTTTCTTAGAAGTTTTCCCAATAAATAGGAAAAACCGGAAAATAGAAATACTAAGTGAACCATTTAAGTGGGTGCACTCATTATCTCGGAAAGTATTAACTTTTTCCGTAATTTGTTTTCTAGAACATTTAAGAAACAAGCAGTTCTATAATTTTATATTTGTATTACATTTTATCACCCCAATTTTTGGGGGTAAAACCATTACCTACTTTTGATTTTCAAACGGTAAACTATATTTAAAATTTCATAAATGGATTGAGTATTAGTTAAAATAAATTTTAGTGTTGCCATTTTTAATTTTTGTTGCTTACAAATATACATTAAATTTCCACTCTACCTTCACAAATTCTCTCCTACAAAAGTGGCCCACCAACCTGCGAAGTATTTCCGTCTTTTTTTAATATACTGTACACAAAAATCCTACCAGAATTTTTTTTTTCAATTTTGTTCTTTTATTGTAGATCAGTTTAAAATGCTCATAGATTTTGACTTCAAAACGAAAACTTATATTTATCTTTTTTAGACATGGTAAAATTGTCAAGATATGAGACACTTTTCTTAGCTATTTACTGTTAATTTAATTTTTCGAGTTCTTTACGTAAAATTTATTGGGTAGGTACTCTGTGGATAAAATTGTTAGACCGAATAGAAATGCTTGCAAATTTAACATTAGGTTCATTATAAGTTGCACTTAATGGTCAGCAAGAGAAAATCGAGTTTAATACAATATTTTTAATATCAAACATTGACGAAAATCATAAATTTTACGGCCTTTTTAAAACATGTATACATAACCGAATTTAGAATTGTTTTTCGTTTTCAATGACTAATTGTTGCACACAAAATTACCTACAACAGTGGCCTACCCTTCTTATCATAGATATGTCAGTCTTTTTTTTCATAGTGTGCCTATTTACACAACTTTTCTATCAGAAATCTTGCTCTTATCAATAACGTCATACAACCATTTTGTATTTTTTTTTTTTTTTTTGTATCTATTGACAAAGTAAATGTTTGACTTTAATTGTAATTTTTTTAATAAATGAAAAATACTGACAATTTTCGTTACCTATTTTCTACCTTGGTAATAGGCAAATAAATATGACCAATAACAATTTTATATCTTCCCTTTTAACATTCCTCCAAAATAAGTGACACACCCATCAGCTGTATTACCTTTTTTTTATTTAAGCATTTTATATTTGATTTATGCATATTATAACATGTTGTATTATAAAACAATATATGGTCTAAACATTATTGTACGATCACGATAAAAAAAAATTATACTTGAAAAATTAATTGACAATATTGCAAGAGAAAATAATAATAAATGAAACAAAGAAATTTCAAATATATTATAGTTATTATTAATTATACAAAAAATTAGGAACGTAGAGCTATAAAAATGTCATACCTAACTCTATTATTTTTTTTTTTGTATTTTGAGAAAATACCAAAAAAAAAAATTAATAATGACAGTAGGTAGTCGGATTATTATACGGATGACGGAGGTTGACTTTTATGAAAATACTGTGAACTTGCGCATGAAAAACGAATATCTATAAGTGATGCAAAATAATAACAATATTAATGTCGCAGTCTGATCCACACGGACCGAAACTATCGTGTAGTCATGTAGTTCACTTCTGTGAGAGGAAATATAACTAATTATGAGTTTTCCTTAGAACTCGGCTGAAAAGTTTGAAATACGTATTATTGTTAAAAGTAGCGGACATCAGGATGTGTTCGGGGCCCTCTTAGGGTTTTCGTTATATTTATATATTAAAACCTACAACTTAGTACTTAAGAAATTGTACCCCTCTCCCATAAAACTGGGATATATCCACTACTGCTCATTTACAACTTTATAAGCTCACCACGCCACTGTATTGGTGACAAAGAGTATCACAACTATCATGACAGTAACAACCAGTGGCGGATATATCCCAGTTATGGAGAGTGGGGTACAATTTCTGAAGTTCTAAGTTGAAGTTTATTATATATAAGTGTAAATAAAACCCCTAGGAAGCCACGAACACTCCCTGATATCCACCACTGGTAATAATAATCGTAGCTCGCGTAAACCAAACTTAAAGGTATATTATAATTTAATACGCATGATGTGAAAAACATAAGAATATAGAGAGATTTTCATTTCAAAACCAATTTGTCAATTAACATAAAACCTGTATATAATAAAAACAATCGTTTGCCACTGACGAATTCACAATGAAAATTTAGCATTTGTCTAAATTCACATCACAGTGGAAAAAAAACAAACTCGTCCCAAAACTCGTTTTAAAACCGAAATACGAATCGTCATAAAAAAAATCTGTTGATTGTTGTTTTTTATTTATTTATTTTTTTTTTTTTTTGCAATTCTTCGTCAATCGATAAAAATGTAAATATACAAACAAAACAATATGAACTAACAAATAAAAAAAAGAGCAATTACTATTCGAGTAAAAACTAAATTTATATTCTAATTCTAAATCGATATTCAATTAACAAGAATATTGGTTTGTATACTTGAATTTTTCCATTTCCTGAAGCTCGTTAGTGTGAATGTTATCGGACCCTTTGAATAATAAGTTATTCAATTGCCGAGTTTTTGTGTTTGTACACTTGCCATTATTTGTCTAAATATATGCTGTGGTCGAGTTTCAGAGATCATAGGTGGACGAATCCCCGTATATTTTTTTATATATTTTACTATAGGTATATTGGTGCCTCTTAATTTAATTAATCCAGGAACGCTAGAAACCGAAGAGTATGAAATAAATATATTGAACTCATATAATATATCATTAAATAAACTTGTATTTATACTGTTTTCAAATAAAATATAAAAAGCCGAACATAATTAACACCATAGGTATATGTTACTAATGAAATAGTTGAAAAATTGAAGAGATGGTTAATTTTGGTTATATACTAATTAGAGCTTGGTAAACTGGTAAAGGTACTTAAAAGAGGTTTTTTTTTAATTTTCCCAGAAGTTTTCCCAGCAAATGTGAAAAACCAGGAAAAACGTGAAAATCGGTACAACATAAAACAATTATTATTAAAGAAAACATATAATGCCTATTTAATTATTTTATCATGATATGGCATACCGAGCGATTCATTTAAATGAATACACTCATTATCTCGGAAAGTATTAACTTTTTCCGAAATTTATTTTCTAGAACATTTAAAAAACAAGCAGTTCTTCCATTTTCATATTTGTGTTACATTTTGTCGCCCTTATTTTCGAGGGTAAAATCATTACCTAATTTTGATTTTCAAACGGCAACTTATATTTAAAATTCCACAAATGGATTAATTAAAATAAATTTTAATGTTGACATTTTTAATGTCTCTCAAGCCGTTGAAAAGATACTCCACTTTTAAGTTTGGGTTGGAGAAGAGTAGTGGTGAATTATTAACACGCCGCACGCCTTCCCGCCACAAATGATACTCCACTACTCACCTCTGACCCAAACTTAAAAGTGGAATATCTCGTCAACGGTTCGACGAAAATAAAAATAAGTCAAGACTAAAATTTACTTTAACTAATATTCCGTATATTTGTGGAATTTGTATTATAGGTTGACATTTGAAAATCAAAAGTAGGTGGTAGTGGTTTTACCCCAAAAATAACATAAATATACAATTTTAGAGCAGCTTGTTTCTTAAATGTTCTAGAAAATAAATTCCGGAAAAAGTTAATAATTTCCGAGATAATAAGTATACCCATTTATAAGAATCATTTGGTACAATACTAAATAAATATTATTAAAGAAAATATATAATGTATATGTAATTATTTTACCATAATATGACATATATTATATTGTAGACAGAGTAACCGGCTATCAACCAAACTCCGCTCGGAATCGTTTTTTTCGTTAGCAATAGTTTATCGTTGCCTACTGATATAGATTTAATTACCTATAACAGTGGCTGCACTCGTCCCCATTATCCTAGGACAGCTTTTTACTAATCAAAATAATGTAAATAATATTATAGCTTCTTCAATATACTCATAATTTAAAATGTTTAAATCTAAAATAATATACTGACAGATAGAGGCATAAACAGGTAGCTAAGGTTTAATCCTCTAATGGATAGTGTTTAGGTCTACATACTATTTTACGCTTTAAGTGTTAACTAAATTTTTTCTTAGTTATTTCTTTCAATTTGAAAAATTTTACACACTGATAAGTAATGAAAACGTATTTAGAAGAAACACTATCAGAAAATAGACTCTACTGTTGTTGACTATGGCTAATATAAATAAAAAGGAATGCATTTATGAAAAAAACATAAACATTATCTTTACTTACAATTTTTCAAGGAGGATGCAAATATAAGGGAAGGTGTATATTCAATAAAATATATAGTTATAAGGTATGCCAATACACAATGTTTATGTATATTATACATATAGTATACCAATTTATTATTAATAACTCAAAGCATTCGAAATTTTCGTACGTGTTTGTTTTACTATAACATAATAAACGTAAATCGTATAGATTTAATGCACGGTCGTTTTAAACATTTTACATAATATTCTATATAAACATTGTTGGAATACGTTTTCAATTTAATTCGCTCGTACCTATACAATATATTTTAATTTGCATAGGAAACAATACATAAACTGCAATTTGTTCAAAGTTTCTATATACTGCAGATCAATCAAGAGGATTCTATAACGACAACAACTCGAAAATAATGTTTTAAACGTTTTTAGTTTGTGACCGCATTAAAAATAATATATTCTCGACATTCGTGACTGCAATATATATATACATAAAAAAAAAGTCGGCCATATTTTTTGGATTATGTATATTATTGTCTAAATGATTATTTGAACGGGCGAGCGTATAATTAACATTTTAAATTCGAACAAATGAACTGACGCATTTGAATCGAGCTCATTTATTTGTTTGTATAATTATATATAAATACAGTAAAACTACACACTCGAATATATATTTTCATTTATAAATATTATCAAAATAAAAATAATTATATATTTTTTATTAATAATACTGAAAAACAAATCATGTGGCGTAAGATAATGTACTTGTAACCATACAAATATTTCTCTTGTGTAATACGATTCAAGTATAATATTTTTTTTTTTCGTTGGTAAAAAATAATATAGTTTTTAATCTTTGAAGGAACAACATTAAAGGTGTCTTTATTTACTATGATATGAACTGAAGCGGTTACAAAAAACCAAACAATATTATAAAACAAATATAAGGAATATTTTTGTTCTTTAATTTAATTTCACCGTATTATAATAATGAATAGATAGTATAAACAAATAAATTCTCGGTTAAGCTGTTTTCACACATGATTTTTTTCATGAAAACACGAACCTACATTGTACTATTTTTTAAATCCATTACTTTAGATACAAAATAAAAATGAAACTTATATAATGAACCTGTTACTCGATATTACTAGACAATATCATGTCCATGGAAATTTTGTTGACACTATTAAACATTTTTTACAACCTTTCGAAAGAATATCTTTCCGAACACTCTAACAGAAATAGTTAAACATAATGACCATCCAACGATTCCGACAGGGAGGCAGGAGGCTCACTCCCTCCAAGATCATATAGAAAATTGTAATTTGTGTTTAATTAGTTATAAAATGTAAAAATGAATGCAAACATGTAAATTAATATATAGTTTGTAATTATAGTTATTGTTATAGTTATATGTTCATTTTAAATTTAAAAAACGAATAAAAAAATAATAGTATTTTTTTGATTTTTAAATCTTCTAATACATAACTATCTAATGGGTAACTGGTACCTATAAGAGGCCAATAAAATAATATCAATAATAATGACGTAATATAAGATGATTTTATTTTTGAAAAACGTATAATATTTACAATTTTGTCTTCTTTTTGAATTTATTTGCTTAAGATTCATAGGTACTAAGCCCTATTTCAGGCAGCATCTGCGATCCTGTATCCCCACTGAAATATACAATTAATAATTATTCTGATCCAAGTTAAGTATACAATCTATACGAGTTACGAGTATAGCGATAAAACGTAAAATGTGTACGTCCGACAAGATAAACGTGTGATAACTAAATCCCAATAATAAGTATAGTAATAATTGTCTGTTTTCATAAATATAAAATTTGTATAAAAGAGTTCTCCCCAAAGAAAAATAAAAGAAACATAAAATTATTAATACTGTTAAATAAAACTTCATAATTTAACACTACAATGAAGTACCTTAAAGTAACTGGATTTTTTTGAATTTCCTCATTCAATATGTCAATAAAATATAATATTTTTTTAAACCGCTGGATATTAATTAAACTAATAGTTATGTCTCAAAGTTTTTAAAAATAAAAATAATAATTATTGAGTTCAAGTTGAAAATGATAATAATATAACGTTGAAACTATCGTTTTAAAATATGAGAACAAAATGCAAGACTCATTTCGCGAACTTTGATATTGTATGCACATGATATACAAACAATGATGACCTGTAACTATAAGGTGATTCCTTTATCATACATTTATTTATAATATAAGTCTAAGTAACTTTAGATAAAGATGATGTATACAAATTAACATATACAATTAAAAATAAAAAACCCGACATATTGCGGCATATATATGTTAAAAAGAAGAGGGGACAGCTTGACATTTGAAAACCAAAAGTCAACACTCAATTAAGGTATATAATGTATGCTAAATAGTATACATACATTTGAAATAGATGTACAAATAAAGATTAAAATAATTCATACACAATAGACTCGATAAATCTAAATTTAGGGGATTGAGTGATTTACAACGGTTTTCGGTGCAGTGTTAGAATTATTGAGGGAAAAAAATAACTAGAGAAAGAGATGTGAAAAATTGTATTACGTATATTAATTATTTAATTTACTTTACGGTTATTATTAATTATATTGTGTATATATATATATATATATATATATATATATATTGTATATCATTAAAAATCAGTTTACAATACATTTTTAGCCACTATCTGATTTATAGGGTTATTTAAAAAACTGATAACCTTGAAAATTACATACAATTTTTCTTCATCCATTTATTGAATCTCATTCTCACCATTGTCATAAAATAACTATAAATTCGAACTGCAGAGCTTTTGGAAAATAATATTTGAATTGTAGAATATCTCCCACCGTCTCACACTTTATTATCAAGGGGACCAAAATAAATGTGTTTTTTTTCAGATTATAGAGGTTTTCTTAAAGAGCCAAGCGTTTACCTAGTTCATTTTATGGAGATTTTATAATTATTGAAAGTCTTATTATTGAATCTACTATAATGATTTTGAAAGAAAGCAGAAATTCCATTTGTCTAGTTAAAATCTTTTGAGAAAATCACCGGATCACGGTACAAGAATCATCCTGTATAACTACAATTCTAAACGTCCATCCACAAAAAGTAATTTATTTAATTTTATTGCAATAATAATAATAATTGTTTGGTATGAATATGAATAATTTCAAATGATAATTATTACAATAACACAATGATGACGTAATAATGTTCGTGTTGCAGTTATTAAAACCCTGTACGTCGAATTAACACTCTGTTGCCGCCCCCGTGGGATCTTGAACGGTTTTTTATTGTTATTTTTTCGACATTTCGTTGTAATAGTTATTATTTTATGCGGTAAATTGGGCGATGTCGACCTGTATGATTACTAATTTAAGCGAACGACCGTTTTTAAGTATTAAACTAGCCGAATAAATTATATTATTATAATAACTGTCAATATCTCTAGTTGGGACTAACGGTGTTCAAGGGTGGCCATTGGCAATAGAGAACGAAATTAAGTACGTGTAATATCCACCGCCTCCCCACCAGACCCGAAGTATATAATGCGAAATCGCACGTTATCAACGATGCCCGAGAGGTTATTATTGTCTTTCATTTTTGCCTTAACTACAATTTTACTATATCACAACGACGCAATGGGTTTGTCAATTAGATACCCATATAATAAGTAAATAAAAAAAAACAATTATTAAAAAATGTATAAATAATAATTTTTTGGAAAAAAAAAATTGGAAATATTCACACCGTGGGTAATCACTACTGTTATATATAAACTATAAGTTGGTAAGATAGGACAGGATAATATAAATAAATAGATGTATATAATATATACATATTTCTAGTTTAGTTCAATATTATTATAAACTGAAAGCAACGATAAATTATATTATTGTAAACAAAAAACGATTGAAAGAACGAATGAGTGGAGCTCACAGTTAACTATGGTTAAACAAAGTCCTTTCTTTTTCATATAACGAAAAAACTCAAAAATTAACGATAGAAAAAAAATGTAAAAACCCAAAAATTCAAACGTGCGCCATTTAGCCCTCGGATCGAAATTTAAATTTAAAAATCCGACTTCAAGATTTCGAGGGATGAATTTAATGACTGCAAAATTCGAAATAGTGAAAGACGATATAATCAATATACGAATTCAAATTATTCGTATTATATTTGTATTTCCTATTGCGTCGCTGCTAATATACAGGTCAACCGATTCACAATATAGACAAAAAAAAAATGTTTAAAAAGAGATTGGACTCAAATTATTATTTTTACCTTTCCCCCTCCTCATATGTATAGATAAAGGAATGAAATCAAATTACCTATAATATTTTAATCATTTATTTTTACTTTACTTTGCCTACTTTTATGCAATAATAATCATAGACTAGCACACCTAGGCGAAGCATATAATAGTCCTAAGAACAGGGGTAGAAGATGCAAGGTTTTGCAAACAATTTTTTTTCTTTTTTAATCGTCACGAAAACCACCATCTACTTTTACGAAATTTCATACTAATATTGAATACTCTATAAGTCAGTGAATATAAAATTATACAGTTGTCTATTATTATTATTATTATTATTTTGTTTCAGACAAGAATATACGTTCGAACAACAAGGAAACCAGTCATTATACTATTGCATATTGTGAATTTTTATTCCTACAATAGGTACCAATATCATAGTATAGTAATAAAATAATATGCCATTTGTCAACTTGCGTTCTACGGTATGTATACTTGCAATAATATAATGCGGTTATAAATATCGTTTATTATACTATAATCGAATATTTTATAATACCACGTATCCAAAAAACTAAAACCAACTCAACCCACCTGCATAGACCTCTGAAATGAGGTATGTCATGTTGCCTATATATTTTTTGTCCTCTCCTGCCAAATTAAGAATTATGAAATGCGTGGTGTTGCTTCTTAAAGGATGATATACAATGCTATCGGATTTTTAGGTAACATTAAAAACATTTTAGCCGGATGACCTTGGATTTAAATTAAGGTTTTCGGAAGGTGATATAGCCAGGAGTACTGGAATACACGTTTTGAGCCTGTTTTTTCTAAATGCTAACCATATCATGTGAAATAAAACTTACATTTTCTCAAATCTTTAGGTTTAAAGAACAGGTATCTATTCTTAACATCTACAGATTCAAATAATCCTAATTTTTTTTTTCGAGCAACTTTAACTATAGTTGACGTTACTTGAAGTCATTTAAGTTACATTATAATTATACAATTATTTTACTTTCTTTCTTCATTTGAAGCCAATTGATGTTTATCCAACTTGGGATTTCAAAATAAAAAATAAAAAAACCAATATGAGGACCCTCTAATATGACGTATCAGCTGTAAACTTTAAGTGTATTAAAAAAAAACCCTGTATATAATATAGTTTCCCGTATTTCACGGTATTAAAAATAACAGACATATGTGTATAGTTAATCCCGTATACCTATTTTATATTCAATTATTGATTTTAGTACAAATTTTTTAACAATATTTTTTTTCACATTTGATTGATATGTAATAATGAATACATTTACGCATAAGGGAGAGTGGGTACGATTGTAACACTTTTCATAAAATTATCTTTATCTACAAGGATTTGTACCATTTTTGTTTAGTTTCACTTTTAGTCATTAAATTAACTTAATACCTTTATAAATATGTAAGTATTGAACCTTAACTTTTCCAAGTTTTTGAAAAAATGAGAAAAAAAAATTGTTACAATTTTACCTCAAGTAGGGGCAATTGTAACAGAGCTTGTGACAAAAGTAATATATATCATTTGATTCAATTTTAAATGGTTTAATTTAATCTTTATTGATAATTCATACTAATAATAAAATAAAATAATACGAGTAGCTTTGCGCATAAAAATTAATTAATTTGACTTTTAAAATTTTTAAAAATTAAAATACTTGTTATAAATTTACATAAACTATACAATAAAGTAAAAAAAGAACTGCAACTAATCAAAGAAGATAGAAATGTTAAAATTTTAGCTTGTTTAAATAATTATAATAAAAAAAAATATAAATTAAAGTATAGTTAAATGCCTAATGAAATTTTGATAAAAATTGAATGTTACAATTGTCCCTTTTAATATTTTTTTAATAATTTTAATATAAATAAAAATTACTGGCTTATTTTAAACAACATCCACAGAAACTACATACGTTTTTGAATATGTTATTATGAAGAACATAAACAAAAAATTAAATGCAAACCTTACAAAAAAAAGGAATATTTTAATTTTATTTACTATCAATTATTAAAAATACATTTTATTTCTTTATGGTGTTAATTATAATATTAACGTTTTGATAAGGAAATATTAATTATTGTACAGTGAGACAACTATCGTATTTATATTGGTTTTGGAGCAAATTATTACTAATGTTACAATTGTTCCGTGTTACAATCGTACCCAGTTTCCCTTACTATTAAATGATTATGAAGAACGGAGTTGCTCTAAAATCTATTAAATTTGTAAGCAGTTATGCTAGTCAATACTATACAAAAAAAAGAAAATGGTAACTACTATATTCAAACATTATTTTTTCTGCAGTTGATTTTTCTAATATGAAAATTGAACTGAAAAAATATTTTCAACCCACTTTAGTGAAACAGATAATAATATTATCTTTGTTTTCTATTCAACTTAAATAATTACCTGCCCACTGCCCAGGTATTTAACTTAAATCTTGAACGGTTTCTCTGTTTCACTGATTTGTCAAGTTATAATAATATAATAGAACATTAAATGGAAAAATTCCAAATTAATTTTAAAAAATATGCAAAATAAAATTCGATACCTAGGTAACTAGCCAGAATCCTATATTTGATGTGTGACAGGTTATTTTTGTATAATTAAGCCATTTTTGTTCTGACCAAACGACAAAAGTTTACAAATGTGTAATACGCAAACGCGTGTATATTATAAATAGGTATCCTAATGGTTTTAAACATTCAAACAAGCGAATATAGAGACTATTGGAAAAATACGATAAGCAATGACTTACAAAAGTATAACATAGCAATAAACTTGCGTTATGGATAACTTTTTAATTTTAGTTTTAATATTTATAGAGTAAATTGATTAGTATCAAACCTGAAGATAAGAACATTATTATCTGTGTGATCAACTATGTAGGGTTTTTTTTAATTATTTAAATTTTTAAACAAGATATAAACATTTTTAACTTTCAGTAATTCGCATGTTCATGTCTCGATTAAAAATTTAAATAATCGAACAAATCAAATACAACTACACAGGTAATATTAATATTATCTTGAAGTATGATAATGGAATGCGAGTGTAATGGTGTCCTATAAACATTAATAATAGTAATGTTCATATATTTCATTATATTTATAGGTAGTTTGTTCAATTATATTTTTTATTCTCTACATACCATTAAGGCTTTCAATAGCTTCTACTAAACTTCTATATCCATCCCTGTCTAAGGAATCCTCCAGTCTTACCAAGTCATCAACCATTCTTATTATATATCCTGCTCCACTCAGTTTACTCTCTGTCTTTTATTTTAATAGGCGTTTTTAATAACCGGATACTATATATACTATGTATATACATGAATATTCCAATGCGATTCCGGTTTATATTATTTAAATCCTATGTTATAATATTTCCTTGAAAAATTGCGGTCGGCTATCACTTTATATACGATATATACACTGACAGACAGACTGCTGAACGCGAGTCGGTATTTTTATAAGCAATTAGACGAAATTCCGAATAACAGTAACAGTAATTTTATTATATGTTTTAATATTTATGCCATATTATTAATTTGTTTTTTCACCACCACCATCGTCGGTCCACAGTGGGCTGAAATAAAAATTAGTCCACTGTGCGGCCGCTGCAATCATAAACTATAATATGCACACGGGTGTTTTTGATATAAAGAATAAAGAATAATGAAATCAGTAAATCAGTAAGCTCTGCATATGGAGTTTCTGAATGAACACATTTTAAGTATTTCCAACCCCCCCCCCTCCTTAACCTGGGATTACATTCAGATTACTTGCGTTTTGTCTAGGTTCTGCAAAAATGGATATTTTATGACATTTCCTCCAAAGTCTTCATAATACGAATCGATTTCAAGCCAAATAATTTTTGGACGTTTTAACGCTTAAACGCTTCATATCATAATATAAAAAATTTAAAAAAACAATCATCATTTTTTAAAAGAATTTCGGCAGGAATACCTAGGAATAATTTGTGTATCATAACTTCAGGTTAATATAACATAGTAAATTAAATAAAAATCAAAAATATACAAAAGTAAATCTGGGCAATACAGCTAGTGAATGTATACAGGAATAAAATTTCAATAAAAAATAAAACATATAAGCTTTACCATTTTTATAGCCAAATTATCGATTACCATCTTGAGCTAATAATGGATAAACATTTTAATAAGGTTCGAGTATAACTTACCTCCCAAATGACGCCACTCCTGATTTTGATTTAGGATCTACAGATCTCCTAACTAATAACTATTTATGTGAATTAAGATTTTCTACACCTGTAAACTTCGTCATAAAAACAGCTGATAGAATTAAAATTAATTTGTAGAAATTAGAAAGTGTACATATAAATAAAGAATACCTAAAGAGTTACCAACTCGTTAGAAACACGTCATGTTTAGTGCATAATATGAATACTTAAAATATTAATATTTTAATAATTTAAAACTCAAATACAAATAAATCCCTACATTTATTACGTTTAAAAAAAAAATGTAGTTTTGCAGCATTCGTATTAATTATAATTAAAAAGGTATCAGCCAATAGAAAATAATCCCCGAAGTTAGTCACATTCTATAACTATCTAGTCTTTCCAGTTAAACCTGATGTGGAATCAAGAGTTAAAATTACTAGAAAATTCGGTTATTTTAGGTTGGGTCAGTGCTACATTAATCTTATAATGGGTTTGGAGATTTTTGGACTGTCATTTTCAAAGATAAAGGTAAAAATACATGCTTCCAAAACGTTGCTTTTTACAGGACAACGACGAAATATTATGTTTAGTTTTTATGTTGCATGAATATTTAAAAATGTCATTTTAACTATTAATAAACGAAAGTAGAATTAGAACAGTATTCGATTTACTCAATAATAAAATTGAAGTTATTATACTTATGATGTAGTGTTAAAGGTGCCCCAATTTTTTTTAGAACTGCATAAGCAAAAAAAGAAGGTTGAGAATCACTAAAACTGATTCAACAAGTTTGCGTTTATATTCCCATCGTTATGATATAATGCAATTTTATCTTTGTTTACGAAGTTAAGAAAAATAATAATAACTTGAGTATATTTTTATTTGTAACTCAGCGGTTTCAAAACGAATTCTATTCATAATATAATATAATACTCATATTTAAGTCTGGTAATATTAACACAGTAAGTAATTATCGTCCAATCTCTAAATTATATTCATTACCCAAACTTTTAAAAAAGTTAATAGAGCCTAAACTAATTATTTTATTTAATAGTGTTATTATAAATGAACAGTATGGTTTTCGCAATTGCAAAACAACTTGTACTAATTTATTAGTTTGCGCCAATGCTCGGACTTCAATAACATTGAGTATCTTAAAAATGCTATTTTGTTCTCTCTCGTTCGTTCTAATTTGGAGTATAGGTCAATAATTTGGAATCCGTCCCAGCTTGGCCTTATAAACCATTTAAATAGTATACAATCTTAGTTCTTAAGATATTTATCTTTTAAGTTTAGGCTACTTTGTCCAATAAAGGAACTTGCTTTGAAACTAGGTATGCAATCACTTTCCTCCAGACATAAATATGTCATTTATTTTTTAAAATTTTAAACGATAATATTATTTGTCCTGAAGTCCTGAAGAAATTAGCTGGTTAATTCCATCTGTTTACAACAGGTCTACGAAAACCTTTTACGAGTCATTTCATTCTCCAACGTATAGTTTTAATGCCGAATGCCGAATGCTAAGGGTTTGTAATTTCTTAAACCTCGATTTTAATTATAATTTGGATTTTAAACTTCGGCATTTATGTATGGATTTTGAATAATATAAGGAAAGGAATAAGGATAAGTTTTATAAGATATTTAGCAAATATGATAATTAGTTATATACGATAAATTTACTGTCATTTAACACATTTTTTTTATTATTATTATTTTTTTTTTCTCTATATATATTAATTCTTTTTGTGAGTTAAATTATAACTTATTGTATTTTTTGCATGCACACCCTATTGCCCTAATTGGGCGAAAATAAATAAATAAATATTATAACTATTATATTCTAAACGGCTGTGGTTTACAAATATATGTACTACTAACTAGATACTATAACAGTGTTATTATCGCGAACAGTTGCAATAAAGTTTTAAATATTTCTTTTTAACGCGTTTAATAACCAAACAATTTTGTATTTCGTACACCCAATTTTTGTGTTCATAAAAATTAAAATTAAAAAAACCAGAGAATATAGTAATTATAGGAATAAAAATAATTAACATAGTAATAGAAAATAACGAAGAAAGAAAAGAAAAGAAACTAATCAATGTAAATACAAAACTAAATTAAACAGGTTTCGATTGTCGGTGAAAAGTAGACAATCCGTTTAAGCGCAAAAAAAAATTACATAATATTTACAAATGTACCTATGAAGATTTTTTTTATTGTATTTTTTTTTGTTCAATATAAATATATATACTTAATGTATATTTTATTTATTATTTTTATGATGCACTTATCTATAAAATATATTAGTATTAATACATTATTTTATTAAGGACTATCAAAAAAAAAGCTTCAAATAATAATATTTCATAATGTTTTTTTTATTGCAAGCACTCATATATTACTTTTAAATTGTGTGATTAGCAAATACACTAAATATACCACATTTATAGTTAATTAAGTTTATCATACGCATGTAGTTATATTGATTAAGAAATATAAAAAATAAAATAAATTATAATAATTCAATTTTTTTTTTTTATATAATATATTGATTAATGATTATAATATATATAAATATATTTTCAATAACATCAATATGTTTTCGATTCCTTAATAATATATTATATATTGTGTATTTGCTATTTTTGAATGTAAATATTATACAACAATGAACAATAATATTATTAAACATTCGTGCATTATAATAATTTATTTTTTTTGTCCTTTTATTCCCGAGTTTCGTGTGAGTCGACAGCCAATGGGGGGGGGAGAGGTTGACTTTATTTGCTTAATTAAGTACCTACAGAAAAATTATATAAACTAAACTCAGGATTTAAACTATATTACCTACTTATTACATTATTAGTAATAAAATAAAAATCATTGCTCATTTGCACTGCTTATTCAACCATATATACAAATAAATATTGAACTACATAATTATTGTTTGTAAAACATTTTATTTTTAGTTTAGTCGTGCCCAATGAAAAATCCTGGATATGTCACTAACACCCTGTATATAGTTACTGACAGTTTATGCGATTTCTTTTTACCTACTTATGTAATCCACGCACATGTCAAAAAAAAAAAAATAAAAAAAATAACGTCTCACATACATAATAGTATTATTTTTCGTTAAAAGTACACGTTTAAGTATATATGTAGGCACCTACTTATTTCTACCTTACTGAAAATATTATATTGATCGAATTCGACATGAAATAATATTAAAATGTTTATATACGTCTTTAGATCAATTTTTTTCATTTTTCTTTTTATATAAATATATACATATATATAAGCATATTTCAAGCATTTGACAAGTTCAAAAAACGCTTTTCAATACTAAAACATAAACAAATAAAAAACTAATTTTCAACCACGTCAAAAATCAAAATCATTGTCAACCCTCATATTCTTTAAGCGCAAAGAAAATTGAGTTTTTTCAAACTTTTTTTAATTATTAGTGTGATTTGAACATTGCCCCTGTTTCTTCATCTCTTGTGCAGTTCAACCGGGATGGACCTCCCGTAGTAAATAACAACTGATAAATTATTAAAATTATAATAAATATTAATTTTCTGGTTTCACTGCAAACTGTTCTAAACACCTCAGTATCGATTTGGAGGTAAGTATTATTATCTGTATTATTACGATAATAATATATTTAGGCACAAAATATTTCGAGTAGAATTTTATGAATATTACCAAACGAACGTTATAGTAAGCAATGTGCAATAAAGTATAATATACTTACATTACTGATGCAAGATAACGAGTCGTGATATCACAAACAAAGAATTATAGACATTATTTAGAAAAAAAAATTAATAAAAACTATAAATACTATTTTAATCTTACCATTATTCATTTTTTTTATTTTTATTAAAATCATATTTTTAGTTAGCTATATCATAATAATTATATAATATTATAACACGTCAAAACATTGAACAAATATAGATACATGTAAAGTTATTTTACTTATTATCATCATATTATTATAGGTATTGTATTACACATTCGAAATGTTTAAGAAAACATTTTGTTTTTTTCACAGAATCAAAATAATGTTAACACTCCTACCAGGAATAACGTGTAAATCATATTATTATATGTATAAATGTATTAATTTTACAATGATGTTTATTTTTTTACTTGTGAACAACTTTTTTACCAGAAATCTTACTCCGATTTTCATGACGGTTTGTACAATAATTGGAAAAATACTTAGGAAAAATGGGAAAATTTACGAAATATATTATTTTCAATTTTATTTTTTTGTTGCGATTCAATTCAAAATATTAGTAGAGACTTTAAATTTGGACATAAAACTTATATTTACCTTTTCTAGATATGGTTAAATGTTAACCATTTTTGAGCTATTTATAAACATTTTATTTTGCGAGTTTTAAACGTAATTTTTCTTCGGTAGGTACTGTGTGGTACAATAGCGCCGAACTCATTGTTTGTAAGTGTGCCAATAAATATTAGTACATATCTACATATCTCTACACGGCATTAAACCTAAGTCGTTGGGCGCATAACCTCTCATATCAACTACCTATTTCTAAAACTATACAATATAGATTATATTTCATTATTTTAAATTTGTATAGATGATATTTTTTATCAGAATTATTACTCCAATTTTAAAAGTACTATTAATTTATTATAAAAGTATTAAACCGATTTTGTTCCTTTTAACATATAAAAAAGAAAGTCGTTTTTGATAATGTTTAACCGAACTACTCTCAGAATCGTTTATTATTTGCAATGTTTTTTTCTACAGCGTAAAACTTGCTGCAGACTTTTACGTTAGATTCCATTAAGTTTGTATTTATAAAAAATAAATAACTACAACTTCAGACCTCTTCATTAAACTATTATAATACAACAGACGTTCTCCCATCGGTATTTCATTTACAATCGTTTTAATAATTTAATGAAATTTCTTGAGTTTAGCAGACGGTGAAAAAAACAAAAAAAAAACCATCAATCGATTGATTTACGCTTTAACGATGTTTAAAAATATCGCGTTCTCGAAGTAAAATGTAACGGTGGTCTTTAGGTTGATGCTACATCAGATTAATTTTTTTGTAATAAACGAGCGTAATAATAAGTTCATTAATATGTAAAAAAAATTACCTTATATGGTTTTTACAAAAAAGTATATTGAATTTTATCGACATTTTCTTTTTGTGAAATTTGATAACTCTCACATTTTACATAAATTACATTAATTGAAGAGCTGGATGTAAGAGGGACATTTTCTAGAAAAACGTGTTTTGAGATAAATGAAGTTAAAGTTTCAAATGTGTACACTCTTTTAGATCTGCTCATATGGTTATAAAATTTGTGTCATATGAGAGATCGAATCTAAAGAAAATAACTATGTCTTTGTTTTATTTTTCTTTGTGTCCACTAAGTTTTAAACAAAAAAGATATTTGGTCATAAAAATACCCTTCTTGCATTCATCAACAGTAATAACCTATTCTATTTCAATTTAAATGATTAAAGAACTTGAATTTTATTAATTTGTTCATAACTTTTGAATAATATGAACATATTAATAAATAAACAAATAAATAATAATAATTGTAAGAATACAAATGTAAATTGTATGTTTTATTACTTTTAATTTTAAATATTATCTTAATTCCTCAGAAACGGTTTTACCAAACCTATTAATCTACAACGTAAAATAACAAGATTATCTACCATAATATTATTTTTAAATCATTGAAAAATAAAACAATATAATTTATAAATATAACGTTCATGTACCATTTACACCCAATTACATAAATACTTCTACAGTGCTCTATTATTAAAATTTTGAAATAAAATTGTATACGAGGTTTGGCTATTAAATAACGAGACTGCCCGCGCAAAGAGTGTCCCAAGAAGGTTAGTGGAAAACCGAATACAGCGCTAGTTAGCTGGAAGTGTCTATTATACCAGTACAAAATTGGGTTTTTGTTGGTGCATTAGTATTTTTTCTGTAGCGTTTAGAAACGAACATGTTTTTTTCTCTTGCCGAAAACGATGTGTGACGAAAAACATGAGCAACGGATAAACGTAAAATTTTCTCGTTAAACTAAAAAAAAAACTCCAACTGAGTGCTATAAGTTGGCCTATAACGAGGATTTCCTATCTCGGGCGTGTGTTTTTGAGTGGCATAAATTATTTTCTGAAGGTCGAGAGTGCACCGGAATCCAATTCAGTCGTAATCCAAATTCAAAACCATGCTGATCGTTTTCTTCGATATCAACGGCATTGTGATGACTGAATGGGTTCTAGAGGGTCAAACTGTGAACCAACATTACTATTTGACAGTTTTGGCAACATTGCGCGAATGAGTTCGTAAGAAACGGTCGATATTGTGGAAAAACAAGTCGTGGATCTTGCACCAGGATAACGCACCTGCCCATGACGCGCTGTCTGTAAAGCGTTATTTGGCCGCTTAAGGCACTCCAGTACTCGAACACGTGTCTTACTCACCCGACTTGGCACCCTGCGACTTTTACTTGTTTCCGAAGATAAAGTCTGCTTTAAAAGGAATTCGGTTTGAGTCGATGAAAGAGGTGAAACAAAAATCGGCGGAACTCCTGAATGGTCTTACGAAAACAGACTTCCAGCACTGCCTCGAGCAATGGAAGAAACGAATGAAACGGTGTGTGAAGAGGGGAGGAGAGTATATTGAAGGGGAACATTTGGCTATGGAATAATTTTTAAAATAAAACCATTTTTCATAAGCAGTCTCGTTGTTTAATAACCAGACCTCGTACACATATAGTATATAAACTTGCTGAGTTCAAAAAAACATTTTAATCAAAAAGGGCATTTCCGTGAAAATGCCTTTCTTGCACCCAGCCCCCATTGTTCATGATTCAAAATTAACTATCATAATCAGATCGGTGGTGGCTAATGATATTTTATTTAATGGTTCAAGTAGTATAAAATAATAACTATCCTACTTCATCCCACAAATAGTACTACCCATAAATCCAAATTTTTTATTATACATTTTTTATTATTTATTTGGCTTATTTAAATAATAAAACAATACTCAAAATTACGATACAATATACAAGATCTAAGATTAGGAACAATTATTTTACAGTTTATAGTTTATTATAGATTATAAGATACAGGTATAGTTAGTTATAGAATAAAATCGTTCGAATTTGGTAGTTAAGTGAAGCTACACAACTTAAAACAAATTGTCTGACTACCATGAAACTCCATTTTATCCACGTGTTGCCAAACACACACACTTAATTATAATAAAACTAATACCTAATTCAAAATTATTGCTTCAAAATTTATAATCCGCTTCTGGAATCTCATTATCACTAGGTACCTACCTAATATTAATAACATTTTACATTATAAAATTGATTTTCTACTTATCGCCGTACAATATGTCGTATTATAGAAATACCGCGAGGTATCATAATTTAAACGTAATATTTTTTAATTTATCATCATTATTATTGTAATTTTTCTCTAAAGATTTCACAGTTATGCACAGATATAATATAGTTGCTGTCTATTGCTGTTTAGGTTTATTAAGCATTCTGCGAGGTAAACATTTTGCATACAAAAGAATTACGTAAAAAAACAGGGAGGGGGAAGGTAAAGAAGAAAGAAAATAGATTAGCTGTTCAAGTTTTCCTTGCGTTTATATTATAATAATAATATCATATACTGCAAAGTCATCGTCGTCATCATTGGCTTGAATCTGTCCTAGACAACTCGGTTTCCGGTATTTTATACAGGACGCCTGCATAATAATATTATAAACAAAACACTATAATAAAAATGCAAAACGTACAGAATATGCGCATATAAGTCTGAGGTGTACGCGAATCACATTTGTCTGCGTCACGAATACTACATGTATAATATATCACGTAAAAATCAATATTTGCTTGAATAAAATATTAAACATGTTAAAGATAAGTTTAAAAATATCTATTAATTTTAAAAAAATGTCTAGTGATAATAAAGCGTAATTAAAGTGTTTTACCTACACACGCAAGTACATAGAAAGTTTGACGAAATTTCTTAAAAAAACAAAGAATTGAAAAATAAGATCTAAACGGAGCTGTTTTTTTTTAAGTACCACATTGATCACGTAAACAAATTATGTAGAAAAATAGAGTTAATACTATTGATGAGTGTAAAAATTATACTCACAAATTAAATTAAAAAATAGTAAGTAGGCGAAATAATGCGAATTTCATGATTCTCATTTTGTTTTGTTTTTCAAATCAGAAGTGACAGACCCATTTTAATAGATAAATAAATACATAAATAACATGACATAGGTATATATAAATAAACCATAATATCAAATAATTCAAGTCAACAAATAAAAGTAAAAATAATAATAAAGTAAACAAAAAAGTTATAATATGGTAGCAAAATAACATGTATATGGTATTTTCATACAGCATGACGTTATTTGCAAATTGCAGATTTTAAATTTGTTATCTCGTATTTGGTTGAGCAATTGTTATAAATTAGAAGATGTACCGTTATCTGTAGCTCATCACAATCACAAATCACGCTTCCTTTTCGTTGATTACTCCTCAATTCCTCAGATTCTCCCTCATGCGTCCAACTTCTGTGCGTAGATAATGTATTCAATTTCATTAGTTATTTTACTGAGTACAAGCTATCTTATACCCCTTGATTGAATATCTCTGGAGATTATAAAGATATTAAATTCTATTTTTTTTTTTCTTTTTACATTACTCACAGCTCATAGGGATAAGAACTGCACATATTTATATTTGAATTCAAACTTTTTTTAATAACTTTTTATTTTATTATTTTGGGAAAATTTTAAGATAGCCATTCGGTAGAATTTATTTTTCTGAAAATTTTAAGGTACCTATCACACATTTATATCCAATGAACAGTTTCAAGTAACACCGTTTTAAATTCTTCTAATCCGTGTGAAAACCGATATTATCTAAGGAATAACCTAACTGCGTTACACGATAACATACGGATTAAAAGAATTTATCTAGTAATAATGCATCACTTTGTCCCAAACCAATTATTACTGGTAACTCCTGTGAAACAATATTGTCAACTTTGACCTTGATTTCCATGTGTAAGATACTTTCTTTATCAAGTCAATTAATTTCAGGGTTATATATTTATTAGTTAATATTAATAGATACCTATTATAAAATCTAATACCAATATTAAAAATCATTTGAAAACCGTATTGTCATTTTCATCTTCAATAGACACATTAATTTAATTACTTCACAGGCATAAAATTTATATTACTGGATTGCAGTCAAAGTAAAACAATGAAGAGTTATCACAACGAAAATTATTCTGCACACCTCGCGAAAATATCGTGTGCACATCTATGTATTGAAAACGATAAATTTTAAAAGAGAATTGGATTTATCTACGAGGTCTAACCAAAAAGTAATGAGACTAATTCAATAAAATACGTATATTTAAATATTAAGATACATCGATGTGATCCCCTTCAAAGTACTCCCCTCCCACCCCTATACACTGGTTCCGTTTTTTCCAGCTCTCATAACATTTCTGGAAGGCTTCGACTGGAATGTCCTGAAGTACCCTCGTCACGGCGTTCTGGATGTCAGTTATGGACTCAAAATGGCGTTCCTTTCACGGCCAATTTTGTNCCTGAGCACGACTCAGGGCTTCATCACCGAACACTTTCACCAATTTATCGTACGTTTCCATAACGGAATCGCCGAGTTTAACGCAAAATTTATATTACGTTGTTCCATATTTGTGACACGCCTTACAAACACGTTATCGAAAACATAACACAACTGGAAAACTAATTATTGTACGAAAATCGCGAGCACATGTATCGATAGAGGAGGAATGAGAGCTTAACCGAACAAAGTTTCAGATTCGCAGTGTTACCACAAGCGTGGCAAAAAAAACAGTTTCATTACTTATTGGTCAGACCTTGTAATTGTCTGAAGATATTTGTCATCAAAAACTCGGATATTAAAGCTCGTATTTTATTGTAAGGACATGTTTAATTCTATACCAAACCTATATATTGAATTTACTGCTAGGGAAGTTGTAAAGTTTCATGGCGGTACAAGTAAAATATGAACATTTATTTGTTGTACAATTATCGGTACATGATCAACATTTTGTTGTAATATATTGTTTGTACTTCACATATTTTATATCTAATAATATTTAATGATAACCATTGCAATAATGTAGTTGATATACAAATTAATAAGAGTATAGCAATTTTTCTGGCTTCAGAAAAAACCTACTTAAATTTTACTGCAGAAGGTATTTTAATTAATATTCAACTTTTAAATACAAGTCTATAATTCAATGTTCTCTGTGGAATATTCGAATATGAATAGTAAACAAAAATAATAAATTAATAAATAAACTGGCGATTGTGTTCAGTCAATATTTCATATTATTTATAGTACTAATCTATTAATAAGTAATTATTACTATTATGTTTCTTAATAATTAGTTAAAATATAAATGGGCATGTGATGTTTTTTAAGTGTAAATTATTATAATTTAAATTTAAATTTACAATATAATGTAGTATTAGCCAATACAAATAGTACTTTGATGCTTTAAGCATTTAAAATAATTTAATATTTGTATTAGGTTTTACATTCTATTGATGGCATATATGATAATATATTAATGTTTGATAATTCTTCAAGAAATAATGAAACAAACTAACGTATTACTCAAATATTTACAGTCTATAAATATTAACTATATTCATGTTATTGGAATGTGCAAACAGACAATTAATATTTTAAAAGATATGAGAAGAGATACTAAATTTCATAAAATATGGATTCAAGTAATTAAAGTAACTAAAGAAAATAATATTACTCCACCTAAATTACCCACAAATAGAAATACACCACAAAAATATGGTGAAGATGAAAATGGTTTTCAAAATTTTCCGGTTGAACATTACTATCGAATAAATATATACTACACAGTGTTAGATATAATAATAAGAGAAATAGAAGTACGTTTTAAGGAAAATCAACTACAAATTTTAAATGGACTGAAGAATTGAATTATTAAGGAAAACCCTGAAGAAAATATGTTAACATTAGCATGTAAATACATCCATGTTAGATAAGCAATCATTAAAAAATTAACTGAACATTTTTAATAAAATGTTTGTAGGCTTGATATATCTTTAGAAAGTATTATATTTAAAAAAAAAAGTGAATACATTGCAATCCATGAAATAAGATCTGGATTTCCTTTAATATATTCAATTTTTAAAACTTGTTTAACAGTTTCTACGAATACTGCTCCATGTGAAAGAAGCTTTTCATGTTTACGACGTTTAAAAACATATCTGCAGACAAAAATAGGCCAAAAAAGTCTAAGTTTATCTTTACTACAAATTGAAAAAAATCTACTTATTGATGTAGTCAAGTTATTGATGAGTTCAATGGCAGTGTGTCAGTTTCTGGATGTCGCTTAACTTTAACGTAATTAAATATAAATATTATTATATAATTTTTAACATACATTTTCTTTTTTAATATAAATATGATATTTTTAAATATATCAATTAAAATTTAAAATATACAGATTATGATGAATTTTAATATAGAATTAGTTTTTATATTTGATTGTTATTGAATAAAAATAGACTCCAGATACTTGATTAGGAGGGGGGGACTAATTTATACTTTTCACTTTTTTGTTATACAGTTTACAGGTATTAATCGTTCGCTTAAAATTTGTCACACATATCCTACACACACGTAGACGTAAACAATAGTCGAAAAGCACTACCCTCTGTCAGTCATTAAAATTTTAGGTAAGTATTAAAGTAGAAAATACAAAATCGCGGGGAAATTGTTTATCTTCTCTCGTATATAAAGGGTCAAAAGACCAACTGTGCATGACCACGAGTGGACTAAGATACATTATTTACTTACCCATTCATAACTCGTCAAAACTTTGGTTAGCAGACTTTTAATGAAGTTTGAATTTTGGAAGCCAAATCATGTATCTACCTATATATACTGGCATAATATAATATTTATATAATCATGTCAGAATCAGTTTGGTCTAAATAGACCGATATTGGTACTTGCCGTGTGCCATAGTTATAGGTGGGAAGTTAGGAAGATATGATATAATATATAGGCACAGTACAGGTACAAATCCTGCAGAATTTCTTATTAAAAGGAGAAGCGGTCCAAACATAAAATTGATCATTAACTACAAATAATTGTGCCAATAATCTAATATTGAGGTGAAAACCTTAAATTTCAGGATGGGTCCGACCCCAAGGGACTACGTACCTGGCACAGTAATTTAATTTATATCTGTACACGCAATGATAAACCATTGCTCAAGGAAAACGACTTAAATAAGTAAAAATGTATAGTTATTTATTTCTTAGTTGAACATTTGTAAAAGTAGGGATTATCAAAATTTTGTGGGAGCATAGTCGTCACTGAAAACTCATAAATAATAACTATATTCTTAGGAAATGAAAAAATCACTTATTTGTTCACAGTCGCGTACCTGTGGAGGGGGTGAAGGGGGCATTCGCCCCTTTCCCCGTGGGCATTATTATTTGTTTTTATTATCTATGGTTAAACCGGGTCAAGGTTTCTGGTTTCATCATTTTGTTTTGACAACTCGACCATTTTCTCTAATCATTGATTTCTAGTTACAAAATAAATGTGCCAGGATCATTTATGCGAGCTTGCACTGTTGCATATACCGGGTATACCGGGAAATAAGTATACCAGTAGATGGTATCATTGGCATATTCTCTTCTATGAAAACCCGGAGGTAGGCTTTTGTATTATAAATTTATAACATACATTATAATATTATATTTAATTAAATACAAATTTCTTATTTTTTATATTTTACAAATATAAAAGAGCCCAATTTCTATGTCTATTAATAAAAATGTTGTAGCTGTGACGTTACTTTTTAAAAAAAAAAATTTATTTTAAAAAGTAGATGAAAATATATTTCACCCTCCCCCCTCCCGTAAGAAAGTTCTAGGTATACACCACTGTTTGTTCACAACTTATGGGAACCAGATGTTTTGTTTTAATCCAGGTCTGAAATTACCTATAATATAATTAAACAAAATCAAATCAAAAGAAATCGCACATACATCATAGTAAAACCTGAAATATAACCTGTTAACCTGTAGTGTTGTGTTTTATCAAGAAGATCAATTTATCTAGATAGATATATTGGATTCTGAGTGGAGCGAATTATTTTACTTTAGAGCGGTCGGTTTTTGATTTTCTCCAGTTTTCTCAGCAAATGTGAAAAACTGGGAAAAACATAGAAAAACCGAAAAAACGTAGGAAAACCGGGGAAATCAATACAACATTAAACAAATATTGTTTAAAAAATATATAAAGCCTATTTAATTATTTTAATATAATATAGCATTTTATGTTGAAAAAGCATCAATATCAACTCTGCTCAGAATAATTTTTTTATAAGCAATGATTAATCGTTGGTTACAGTTATACATTCAAAACGTTTAACAGTGACTGCACCCGTCTCTATTATTTATCCAAGAAGATCTTTTTTTATATTTAATCCAATCTAAATAAATGAGAAATAAGTTATATGAGTCGTTATCTAAAGTAAAGAATTTAATAACCTAGATACATTGTTTTAATCATGATTTACATATTTATTGATATATATTTTTATTAATAATGGTTTAATAAATTAATTATTAAGTTTGATGTAACACAACCTTTATGCAAAATCTAGGTGTGTACAAAACCTGGTACACTTTACTACTTTTAATATTTTATTATATAATAGGTAATAAATAAAATTATTATTTTTAGATACATATTCCTAATTGTTTATCTTCATTTAGATAATTTTTAATAAATTATCATTGATATCTATATAAATATTTGTCAAATTGGTCTATATATAACGCTAAATATACCTACCAATCTTTACTGGGCTCAGAAACTAACACAGTAGTCAACCACAGTAGTTCATTTATAATTATTATTCAAACTGAAATATTAGACTATCATCATATACGATCAATACCTATTTCGATTTAAGAATCTGTTGCGTAGTTGTCCTTTTCTTCGTTAGGGCTCCGTTTTCGACACTGACAGTACTATCGTGTATGCTGAAAACAATATTATGATCGTGGTGTGCAGCGTGACGTCCAAATAGTGGACGTCAAAAATCTCTATCCCACGTCACCAGAATTGGCACGAATCCACACAAGTTTGGATGGATAGCGATAATCATCGGCCGAAGGACTCACATGGACACAAAGCGTTTGTTGTTTATGAGATCTGAGATTTTTTTTTTTTTTGAGGCTATTATTATTTAGATGATAACTTAATAGTAAAGGTTATATTTTCCTTACTTGAATAAAAAATATTATTTTGAACTATATATAACAACTTTATTAAGTCCACCTTGTGGGTTGCCAAAGGATATAGTATACATATTCAATATTGATATACATAGGATTATTATTAAATTATAAAATTATAGTAAATAATTGGATTGGGTTGAGCGGAACTTCTAATGAGGTTGAGACGAGGTTTCGTTTAGAGAGGCATTTCCAATTACAGTTAGTAGTAGTGTTACTATAAATACCTATAAGTCAAATATCTGTAACTAAATTGGATGAACAAATGAAAATTGTTATTGTTGGTTATACACAGTCATGTAGTACACTGGTAACCTGATAACTTTTCAAGTTAGTATGAAATGAAATATATTTTTTTATCTTATTTTAATTTTTAAATAGACAACAGAATCAATTAAGTATATATTTAATATATATTTTATATATAAAATAAATCAATCATAAATAATTAAATGGGTTTTTTTTTTTTTTTTAATTGCTTTCAGATAAAGGAAAAAAATTAATAACTAATGTATTCAGTATCTTTGATAATTTAATAACAAATCAATGCCCATATTTGGTCTATTCACACACAAATAGTTTTGGTATAAAATGCAAGTTATACATTATACAAAAATTATATCACAGAATACTAAACTTTCTCATTAATTAAAATATATAATTATAAATGGGAAGTCAGGTAGGTACTATGTATAAGTGGCTCTGGACCTATAGCCCACCATTATATTGATAAAACAGAACTCAGTTCCTCAAAGTACTTGTTAAACAAAAATTATAATATCTGTGTGATCTAGATGGTTTGTCTGTCACTTAGAAAAGCTATCGTAATTCTTTTATTCCCGTCATTTATTTATCTAATCAAAATAATTCATCAAATCTACATTTTTTTTTAGTATAAATTGATTTGTAATTATTTTTTTTAATGAAAAGAAAACCTTATATGGGAGGGACATCACATAAATTTAAAACTAAAAAAAAGGCAAAGGTGTTATGCTAAAAGTACTGCTCATGTGTGGGTCACTGTTATAAATGAGAAGTTGGATATAGAGAAGAACTAGTTTATTTCAGACTCTGTATGCAACTTCCTGACAAATGGCTCTATATTTTGTAATTATTATAAGCACTTAGAAAATATTCAAATAAGCAAAAATAACAATCTCAAAATCTCCCCGAGGAAAAATAATAAGGATTTTTTAAATTTCATAATGTGAGATTAATTTCAACAACATTTTTCTAAATATAATGTCAAGTCAAAATAAAAAGCTTCAAGTCCCAAGTCCCAGTTATATGTATTTGAATATTTATGAATTATTTTTAAATACATAAAAATTGTTAATTAATTTTGTTTTAAAATGCATAATATGTGTTAAATATAATATAGTACTTAATATTAAAATACACTGTGTATTAAATATTTATTTTGTAATTAATAACTCTTCAATCTGATATACAAATATAAATTATATTAAATAAATATAAAATAACGATTAATAAACTTGAATAAATTAACAAATTATACAACACATCTTAAATATAAAACATAAATCATACTATAAATTATTGGTTTTTCCAAATGTATATAACTTTTGATAATATGTCTATTACGTCTATTATAATATCATCTGTTAAGCCGCGTTCACACTATGCCGAATGGTGTCGATCGACACGATCAACCAAATGTGTACGTGTCGCCCGGCAATGTCGAAACATGTCGAGTCGAGTCAAACGCAACCCAAATCAAGTCGGTATGGATCAAAGAGAATCGAATCGACAACAGTAGTGTAGACGTGTCGACGTGTTGACGTGTTTAGTTTTATTAAATTAATTATATGTTAACAAAAACTGATTTTTGAGAAAAACATTTTTATTTTGTTTAGTTTTGTTTTGCTGAGTGCATTTATTTGATTTTAATTTTATTAAATAAGTTTATCATTAATTCATGATGAATTGGAGTGATGAACAGACAATTTCTTTTATTGAAATGTATCATGATCGAAGTTTGTTGTGGGACCCAACTAATTCGCAATACAAAAATAAAAACAAAAGGCATGATGGACTTATGGAAATTGCGATTTCTTTTGGCATGGAAAAATTTGATGTAGAAAAAAAGATAAAAAATTTGCAAAGCCAGTTTGCTAGAGAAAAGAAAAAAGAGAAGGAGTCGAGAAAAACTGAGAGTGGTGCAGACGAAGCATATACTAGCAAATGGTTTGGATATGACGGTATGTTGTTCTTGGCCGATAAGAATACTCCAAAAACCACTGGCTTTTCACGACTCCAATTATAATTGCAGCAGCTACCACTGCAATGTCTTCTGAATCACTCATTTTATAGGTGATTAAATAGGTGAATCAATAATATTGAATATATTAATAATAATAACAGACACTCGTAAAACACAGTAAAACACACTCGTATACGTGTTGGTACAATTGTGTCGGTCAACTAGTTCACACATATGGTGGCCAAGCTGAAAATCGACCGTGTCGATCGACACCATTCGGCATAGTGTGAACACGGCTTTACGGGGACACCGGGACACTCAAGAATTACGGGAAATTCATGTATAATATAGAATGTACGGCATCTCTAGTTAAGCATAATAATTATTTTTTATAATATTGTTAACTCAATGGCGATAATAAGTAACTTAGAATGTTCTAGCCCAAGTACAAGTTCAAAAAACTATAAAGTTATGGACTTGTCATTAAAAAGTAAAACATTTCTGACCATAAATCATCTCCTCCAAATTATATTATGAAAACGCTAGGTATACAATTTAATTATAACTTATTTCTTTATTATCATCTTGATTATTAATTTATGATTGGGTTTAATGATAATATGAATTCTGCAATTAGTTCCATTTGATTAAATTAATAGCTTAATTATAGGGATCCCATACGTACTGTATTATACGAGATTGTGCCGTATTTGAAATAACCATCCTGGTGTCCCGACCAAATAGTCTAAACAGCACTTTTGTCCCGTATTTTGAATCTCTCAGTCCATGTGTCCCTTAATTTTCATTTTCTTAAATTATATAATTCAAATTAGCGTGTTATCATGAGATTGGGTAGTAAATATCACTGTAAAAGTGTAGGCAAATTATATTTTTAAATTATGTTGACTTATTAATATGTCAGGTTGATTTCAACATTATTTTTCTTAAACTTTAGGTTTTGAATTACGGACTAGTTGAGGACTACGTCCTTACCATAACCCCCTCTCATCACATAGTTTGTTGCAATATATGTACATTTTAAGTGAGATTTAAAATCTTCCATATTTATAATACATAAATCTGGGATCCTTAGTTTAATAAGACATTTTTTAAACTTAAATAATATTTTTCAAATTAGTGGTTAAGATTGTACACCGACACAGAAATTGAAGAGGAAACGTATAATGAAGGTGGCCAGCAAAAGACAAAAGCTTTATAAAACTATTTTATTTTACAACATGTAAAAGTATTTTTTAGTGACTTTAAACATTGCTATTTGTTTTACCTTCACAAATAAAGACTGTTTAAAGATTTAAATTTTATTTATATCAACTATATCTGAGAAAAATTGTGTTACCAAAATTATGACAGAATAAGATACAAATGACCTACTAATGGCGGATATGTGGCATCAAACGCTTATACGGTTATTATTGGAAACTAAGATACCTTGATAGGGAACTTAGCAATTTAGTTTATGCCATTGATAATGATAATAACAATATTTTGTTATCATGAGTGATGAGACTGCATATCAAGATTAAGTAACCAGTGTTAAATTATGCAACCATGATGGTAAATTGTGAAATGGTATTTTTATACATTAAAGCTGATACAGTGTTAGGTGAGGGAGAGAGTGTTGATAGAATAGAAACGTCCAATTAGTATGACTATTGTACTTATTATCGGTTATGGCCGTTATGGGCTTCGTTATTGTCAACAAGATAAAATTCCGTTTTGACTTTCTGTTTTTACCTTTGACTACCTAATGGGTTTAATAAATTGCCCAATAGCAGACAATTTAATAAATATTTAAACGTTACTAAACCGCAAACGAATTATACAAATTAATTACTGTAAATGTCAAAATTATTTTTTTCAATATGTTTATAGATGTTTTTATATGTTCAAAATTATACCAAAGTGTAGAACAGAAAAAACTAGAAAGTTAAAAAAAAAATTATTTTAAAATTCCTAATCTTACAGAGATATTGACTGGTTCATGATAAAAAAAAATCACACTGTATATGTAGTGTTTACTTAGCTCCTATAATAAACTGTGATGCATAGTGTACATATACATATAGGAAATCAATATAGAATATTCAATTTTACAAAAAAAAATATGAATACTTGAATATGTTTGATCAATTTAAAACTATAGCTGAATTATTCCTCGACTTCTATAGAAAAAATATCGATGGCAATTAATTGCGTTCGAACGCGTACATGAATTTTATGAATTTTATAAATATAAAATGTATATTATGTTTCGTACTATATAATCACATATCATCACAAATACATAAAAACATTTTCACGATTAATCTTTGAATATATTGGATATTTTGTTTCCTACTAAGAAGAAAATTAAATCCAATTTACAAAACATTACCGGCCCAGTGCCCACCACCCACACACGATGGCAATAATAATCCATCATTTTCGTATTGAATTAAAATGTGTTTTAACTATCTGTATTTTTATACATTATTCATTATCTATGGTTTTATATTTGAACGTACTAAACATTTTTTTATTCGGGCATGAAAAAATAAATCAGTTTTCCGATCAATATACGAATTTTGTTTTTCGCTTTACAATATTTATTAACAGGAGCTGTGAACACGTTCAAAAGTTTTCACGGAGCAAATTCCCAAGAATCAATGTTTACAAGTTATAATTATATTATATTATATTATCGAATAATGTAATACATCACAATACCATCAGGTAACATAGAAATAATTCGAAACAAATAAACCTAGTGGTGCCTATAAATAAAATAAACTTAAAAAATTTAAAATAAATAAAAAATGAAGGTTTATATTCATAAATTATAAAAATAATTAAATAAAAACATATTTGTTCACTATAATGATGTGTACATTTTTGAAGCATAACGAGGAATGTAATAGTTTTACAGTGTTATTTTATCTGTAAACAATTTGTCTACTAGAAATCTTGATTTTATGTATCACTTAGTGATACATCAATGTGTAGCACTTTTTCTGAAAGGTAATTTTATCTAAATAGTACTTTAGGGAGTCATTTTTTCATTATCTAAAAGGTTTTCAGCTATAGCGCAAGCCTGTTAATATATACTTAAAATATAATACAATACGAATCATATGAAATAGATAGAATTCAGAAATTATAGAGGCCAAACCAGACGAAATATGTTTGATTAAAAATATCTAAAATATATTGAATTTGGATTTCACAAATTTGGCCTACCATAAAAGAAAAATGCCTTATTACAACTTAAAATAACTTACAACTTTCGAGCCCTAATATTATAAGACACGAGAACAGTTCTCGAATTTATTGGGGGGAATAGTATAGTGGTACTATACAGTGAGAATTTCAGACTTCCGTGAAATTAACAATAATTTGTACCAACGAGTACTAAACTTTATAGGAATTTTTGCCTCGCCTTTCTCATGTCATAATTAACGTTATAATTATTATCTACATCATTATTAGTTAATATACACTAGTAAATTATATAGTATAAGTACTCACACCTATCAATGTTAATATTAATTACATTTTTTTTTAGTACCGCACATTCGTACAGCTTTTTTGTAAACATAAAAAATAAAATAACATAGGTACCAACGTAATTTCAAATAAATACGAATTAATCATTATTATTATTGTAAATTAACATTTTTGATAGTTTTTATGTTCAAAAGTATAATATTATATTTATCTATCTCAATCTATATGTTTAGAAATTAGAATATTATTTTGGTCCGGGCTGACGTCAACAAATGGATGATCAGGGAAGTGCACGGCCTACATTTTTTTTCTTGTTTATTATATGCATCATGCGATTATAAAAAATTCAATAAATATCCTTTACATTTGCAATGATTATCTGGTCAAAGTAATATAAATTTAAATTAAATATTGTAAAGTAATAACCTTTCAAATAACCTCTAACTGCATACTCTCAAAAATTGTATGGATTGCATTTTCTTTCTCTTCCGTCCGCAAACAAGACTATGCAAACGCGAAGCAATAGTATAATAAGAAATATTAAATCATTGTTTACCATTAAATTACCAATTTTACAAACAAATCTGTAGAAGAGAAAAGTACCCGACAGAAAAAAATGTATAAATACAGAATGTTAATTTGAATTTAATAATTTTACCATGATATGACATACCGGGCGATTCATTTAAGTGGGTACACTCAATATTACGGAAAGTAACTATTAACTTTTTTCGGAACTTGTTTTATAGAACATTTAAAAAAAGCCAGCTTTATAATTTTACATTTATATTTTTTTTTTCGTTACCATTACTTTTTATGGTAAAACAATTTGGGTAGGTGGAGAGTAGTAGTGCATTAATAAAATGCCGTGCCCGTGCTGCCACCACTTTTTCTTCCGACTCAAACTTAAAAGTAGAATATCTCGTCAACGGATTGACCAAAATCAAAAATGTCAACATCGAAATGTATTTTACTAATATACCAGCTATTTATGGAATTTTTAATATAGGTTACCATTTAAAAATCAAAATTAGACAGTGGTTTTATCCTCAAAACTAAGTTAAAAATGATATAAATGAAAAATTGTAGAACTGCTCGTTTCTTAAATGTTTCATGAATTACGAAAAAGTTGATACTTTCCAAGATAATGAATATACCTACTTAAATGGAACACTCTATATAATAATTCAAAGCAAAGAAAATATTAATCTCTTTTACTATCAGATAGTTTTTAATAGATATAATTCCAACATGACAAATTTCAAGTGCATTCGTATAGTTCATTGAAACTAATACTTAATGACATTCCTGTACCACAGACCAGTGGTGTAACCGGGATTTTTTAAATGGGAGTGTCATATGTCTACAATAAAAAACCACGTTTTTTAACACAATAGTTTATATTACTTAAATACGGATGTAGGAGTGTCCAAACACCCCAAACACCCCCCCTCCCCCGGTCGCACCACTGGCCCAGATAATAATTTTATGATGTAATAAAGTGCATTTAATTATTATTTCGTTTTAAGCTATCTGATTGATATGTAACAATAGTAGAT